CCCAGTAGGGGACGCACGAGAGGCAACTACACATTGATGTTTCCCTCACTTTCTCCTTCCCTTGCTCTCTTTCTAAAAGTAAATAAATGAAATCCTTAAAAAAAGAAAAGAAACAAAGAAAAGGAACCCCATGAAGTCGTTTAGAAACTACAGAACTCACCCCCAACCTGAGTGCACGCAAGTGTATGTGGGGGGTATCTCCTCCTTATTAGCATACCGAACTCCTCCAGGGAGATGAAGGGAACAAAAAGTGGTCGAGGAAGAAACTCTGGAATTTTACCCCTTCATAATAGAAATAGCAAAACTGGCCCCAAAATTTTAAAAAGCATTCAAGATCAACTTTTCTGAAAATCTGGAAACCAGCCGTGACTTGTAGCAGTCTGTGGAGTGTTTATTCAAGCGACGTGGCTGGGGCTTGTTGCATTGCTGTTGCTTTTTGTTTTCTGGAAAGTGAGTTTCAAAGCATTTAAACTAACCCAGTCTCACCCCCCGCCCCCGCCCTTGCACTGCTCAGCTCACTGGTAGCCCCCAACATAAGAGCCAGAATTCCTAGTACCAGTGAAAGCAGAAAGGACCTGATCCCCAAAGAATTGTAATTCTTTGTCCTGTCCCGCCTGATGGCTCCCTGAGAGACTGGCTCCAAAGACTAGTCTTAATTTCCCCTGACTTGGCTGGCCCAGGGCCAAAGCTGCTAGCTTCGGGGCATGGAGGTGGCGGTGCCAAATGTTTCAGCTCCTGCCCCATTCTGTGATAGATTCCAGCACTGGGGCACATAACCGACTAACCAAAAAGTTTGGGTGGAAAGGCTGATAAATGTCAAGATGTATATAGGGCTTTAAAAAAGCTGTGGCACCCTGGCTGGTGTGGCTCAGTGGATTGAGCACTGGCCTCAATCTGGTGGGTCGTCGGTTCGATTCCCAGTCAGGGCACATGCCTGGGTTGTAGGCCAGGTCCCCAGTAGGGGGCACACAAGAGGCAACCACATGTTGATCTTTCTCTCCCTCTCTCCATCCCTTCCCCTCTCTCTAAAAATAAATTAATTTAATTTAATTTAATTAAAAAGAAAGAAAGATGTTTTAAAAAAGGCTATGTTCACAGAAAAAACTTGTATGTGTTCATAGCCGCACCTTTCAGACTTGCCAAAAATTCTGGAAATAACCCAAATGTCCTTCAACAGATGCTGTGGTGCATGCATGCCATGTGCCTCCTCAGCAATAAAAAGGGTTGAAGGACAGGTCCGTGCAACGACTTGTGTGAATGTCAAAGACATTCTGCTGAAAGTAGCCAGTCTCCAAAGGCTAACCATTGTGCAATTCCATTTATTTAACGTCCTCGAAAAAGATAGGATGGTGCAGATGGAGAACTGGTCCCTGGTTGCTAGGACTGGGGCGGGAAGGGGCGTCACCATACACATAGAGCAGGGACAAGTCTGGGGGCTGATGGAATGACTCTGGATCCCGGTCGTGACGTTGGTTATAGAAACCTGTACAAGGGTTAAAAGTCCTCAAACTGGACACCAAAAGAAAAAATAATCCACGGACTGTGTGATAATTTTAACTAGAAAGACGGTGTATCAGAAAGAGGTCTTTAAGAGGGGACCCATTTTATTTCTTGGCAAATCACTTTGGACCTAGAATACTTGAGCTTGGCTTGTTGTGCTGTGCAGGGAAATAGTTTGCCCTGTTGAAAGGAGAACTGATTAGGGAGCCAAAAGCTCAGAAAGCCCCTTTCTCCTGACTTGTTTTCCTGCCACTCCCTGTGCAAACAGATCAAATGAGTGACTTGTGCAATTGTCACCCAGATAGCCAGCCCGTCTCTCCCCATCTGCAATGGAAATCACTTCCTGTACGGATGTCAAGGTTTGGGAAGCTTGTTGTAAGTCATTGTGGGAAGTCACAAAACGTGGCTAGCGTAAGGAATGCGTCCTTTCTGTTCATCGTTTCAGAAGCACATGATTGTAAACTCATTTTTCTTTCTCCTTTCGCACATCCTGTAAAAACTCAGTACGACTTGCTTCCATTTGGCAGGGCCATCTAAAACGGGCTTGGGAGAAGCATCTTTTATCATTTTTCTTATCCTAAGCTGCACCATGAAGCATTGTCTCTTCCGCAGCTTCAACTAAGGGAGGGGCCGTGGAAACGAAAGATTTAATACACCTAAGATGCCTTGGCCGGTGTGGTGCAGTTGGTTGGGCAACATCCTGCAAACCAAAGGGTCGCGGGTTCAATTCCTAGTCAGGGCACATGCACGAGGCAACATATCAATGTTTCTCTCACACATCTGTGATTCTCTCCCTCTTTTTCTCCCTCGAGCTCCTCTCTCTAGGATCAATAAAAAGAAAAAAAAAATTAAAGGCACCAAAAGAGTGGCCCTACCACAGGGCCTGGCAACTTATTCCCTGCAGCAGGGGGGAGCTTAGAGAGTGTAAGGGGGGGCTAAGGAATCACATGACTTGGAGGTTTCTTCCTGCGTGAGCGGCTGCCAAAGCCAACATCTGGATTAGGTAATACAGGGAAAAAATCGGTGGGGAATTACAGAACACTTGAGAGGGAAGATATGCATCTCTATTTTCCCAGCCGATTTGTTTAGGAAAGTTTGCATGACTGCACGACTTATCTCTGAATGTAGTGTTTGTTAAAAAAAATTCTCAAGTTTGATTGTTACAGAGGCCATGTGGATTGTAACACAGAGGAAATCATTGAGGGCGATAGATGGAAGTGAGCAAGGAGGCATGATATTAACAGAGAAAGCCAAGTCTTTCTCAAAGTCCCAGACAATGAGAAGTGACAGGCACTTCTGTTGGTCCCTGCAATGCCAGAGCAGAGAGAGAACCCTTTAGAATCTGTCTTGTCTCTGGCCGGAAACCCTTAAAAGGTGAATTTGGTGAATTTGATCCTCCTGGTTGCAAACTTCCTTCCTGCTCAAATAATGTGGTTTCCTCTGGGGCATAAACAGTTCTCTCCCCATGAAAAGAGTTAAGAATAGAAGCTGGAGACCCTCCCACGTGTCAGAGGGCAGCTGTCAGCGTGACCACGGAAACAGCGCATTAGCAAAGGCAGTCGGTTCTGGGAGAAGGTGGGGCAGGTGGCTGCAGAAGTAGCAAGCGTGAGGAGCCCCCTCAGGAGACGTGGTCAGGCAGGGAGCAGGAACTCCATACAATGGAGAGCAGTGGGGCCCCAGCCAGGTGGCTCAGTTGGTTAGAGCATCATCCCTATACACCAAGGTTGCAGGTTCAATCCCCAGTCACAGCACATACAAGAACCATAAGAGGAACCATAAGAGGAACAACAAAGCAATGTTTTTCTCTCTCTCTTTCTCAAATCAATAAAATGAAAAAAAAATTTAAAGCAGCAGGTAACAGGAAGTGGCTAAAAGAGGTAAGCAAGAACAGGTGAGGGAATTTATAAGGCTCTATAGGGAGGGTAGCAAAGACCTACCAGGTGACCCTCGAGATTGCCTGCACAGGAGGGCGTAAGAAACCGATACATGACACAATCAGATGAGGTGCTTGCCTTCACGCAGGGATGAACCTGCCGGAACACACTGCCACCCTGCCCAGTTCAGAGGCCCCAGGATCTCCTGGGCCCCAGAGACAAATTCAACTTTTAGAGGCAGTCCTGGGCCCTGAGCGTAACCTGCTGCCTGTTAAAGCTAAATTTCTTGAATGCATTGAAAGAATTCATAGTGTACGTATTCTTGAGATATAAAATGTCGTCTACACCAGAAGCTTGCAGTTCAGGCCACAGGATGGTTTCATCGGCTATTCCCTGATCTTCTGGGAGTTTAAAAAGAAATCTGCCCTGGCCGGGGTGGCTCAGTGGGTTGGGCATTGTCCGGAAGGGCAAAAGGTCGCCGGTTTGAATCCCAGTCAGGGCACATCTCTAGGTTGCAGGTTCAGTCCCTGGTTGGGGCACGTGCAAGGGGCAACTGACTGAAGTTTCTCCCTCACATCGATGTTTCTCTCCCTCTCTTTCTCCCTCCCTTCCCCTCTCTCTAAAAATAAATAAAATCTTTTAAAAAGAGAAATCTAACAGCAGATATTTATAATATGCCATGATCTCCATCTTACAACCCCATCAGGGAAATACTAGTGGTTAATGTAACGAGCAATTTAGAGTTACTGGTCTCCTTCACACAATTAAATGGCCTCATGTGCCTTAAGTAAACCATCTGATAACCCGAACTTAATTATTAACCATTTATTTTCTGCCCTGGCTGGTGTGGCTCAGTGGATTGAGCACAGGCTGCGAACCAAAGGGTTGCCGGTTCGATTCCCAGTCAGGGCACATGCCTGGGTTGCAGGCTAGATCCCTATTGGGGGCCATGTGAGAGGCAACCACACATGATGTTTCTCTCCCTCTCTTTCTCCTTCCCTTTCCCTCTAAAAATAAATAAACAAGCCAATTTATTTTCTGAATTCCCTGAACTTCAAGTAAGGATATTAATATATTTAATTCGTCATCCTAACAATTCGTTGCCAACAGCCATAGCCAGAGGTGGAAACCCTGAGGGCTCGTGCCTTCCTTTGTGATCAGAGGTGATGTGAGGTAGCAGCTGAGGGACAGAAGCCAGAGACGAAGCTGGGGCTGCCCGCCGCCCCCCCCCCCCGTGCCCCCAAATCCTAGCACCACCGCTGACTGGCTGTGTGGCCTTGGGCAAGTCACCACACTCCCTGTGCCTATCTCACAGAGCTGTAGTGAGGATTACGCCAGCCCAGAAGTGTCCCTCAGCAAGTCCTTATCAGTAATCCATAAGGCACTCAGATCAGCCAATGGTAAACAGCACTGTGTGTGCTAGCTGTATTTTAAAATTATTTTATGCTCCTAACGGTAATTTGTAGCAGCTTGGTTAGGCGTGTATGAAGTTCAAAAATAGGCCCAAGGAGCTCCACGATTCCCAAAAGATTGTAAAAGCAGGTAACAACACAATCATGTTTTTTTTTTTTAATTTAGTATTTGATTCCTCGCGGTGGAATAAACGTTTCCCTTTACTTTTGCCAGAGTTGAAAATATGTCGATGAGGCTGGAAGAGATCAATGAACGGGAGCAGTTTATGAAGACGTCCCTGCAGACGGTCGACCTCCGACTGACGCAGCTGGAGGAATTATCGAGCAGGATGGTCACGGCGCTGGAACACCTCGCGGGGGCGGACAAGTGGGAGCTGATGCCGCCGCGGTCCCGCGCTTCTTCCGAATGCGAGGCGACTCACCTTCTGCGGCAGAGCAGCGTGCACAGCGCCGACAGCTGCGGCACGAGCAGGTTGCAATTGTTCGCCGAGGAGCTGGTGTGTGAGGACGCGTCGTCTCTGTCCATGCCACCGGGGACAGGCTTCCGGAAGAAAGCCCGCTCCTTCCGCGTGAAGGAAGAAAAGGACCTGAAAATGCCCCTGATCGCTGCAGAGCGCCAGGGCAGCCTTCGCCTCTTCCCCAGCACCAGCGCCCCGGCGACCCGCGAGGGCAGTCGGCTGGCCTTAGCCAACGTCAAGCACGCTTCAGAGCCAAAGTTAGGCCCAGAAATCGGGATTTCGGAAGGCGACCCAAGGCAGGCCAACTCTGAAAGAGGAGAAACCATTTCCCCAGGTCCAAATCAAACCGAGGTCATGCCTGGATTGAATAAATCCAATGCTCTGAACACTCAGCTGACAGTGGGGACAGCGCAGATAGAAGGCACCGTTTCCTGTTCCCTGGAAGACACGAAGGTGACATGCTGTCACCCCGACGAAACACTCGAGGCTTGTCAAACCGTGGAGTCCAGAAGTTTTGTATATTCCCACGGGACAAAGCTGGTCAGCGGGCTGAACAACTGGTGTGCGGAGTACAGCTCGATCATGGATCGAGCCTGTCCCTCCACGGGGCAGCAGTGGACCACCGAGTGGAAATACGAAGTTCAGAAGATCACGCGGTCTCGCAGCACCGATATCCCCTATGCCGTGTCGGAAGCCGCGATGCAGGCAGAGCTCAGAGACCCATCCACGGATCCCGAAGACGATAGCTGCGTTCCCACGAGGGTCCCTCGAATCTCTCGCTTGTCACTCGCCGTCACGGAAAGAACGGAAACAGGGAACTTACTAGCCGTGAAACCAGATCAAACTTTGGGCTTCGCGTCTTCAAGGTCAAAAAGTTTACACGGCCACCCTAGGAATGCTAAAGCCGTTCAGGGCAGGTTAGACAGATCTGGACATGCCAGCAGCGTCAGTAACCTGGGAGTTGCGTCTGGAGTTAAAATGGAGACACAGAAGGTTAAGCAAGAGAAAACGTCCACGGAAACTGAATGCTGATGTGTTTGGTTTGCCTGATGTTCAAATCAGAGCCACTGATGAGTTCCATCTCGGATCCTCGGTTTCCGAAAACGTTTTCATCAGGTGTATTTGGCCATTTGGACTTGTGATTAAAATGGAATACACTAAACTTAAAGGAATATTTTGTTAGCATCTGTCAGTAACCTTGTTTTTTGTTTTTTTTTTAGTTGGAGTAGGATCAAATGAAAGTGATGATACTCCAATAGAGGTTAATTACTTAATCAGTATACAAGAATCTTTCACTCTCAGTAACAACAACAACAACAACAAAAAAGAATCTAAGTCTCACCCTGGCTGGTGTGGCTCGGTGGATTGAGTGCCAGCCTGCAAACCAAAGAGTTGCTGGTTCAATTCCCAGTCAGAGCACATGCCTGGCTTGCTGGCCGGGTCCCCATTGGGGGGGTGGGAGAAGCAACCACACATTGATGTGTCTCTCCCTCTTTTCCTCTCTCCCTTCCCCTCTGTCTAAAAATAAATTAATAAAATCTTAAAAACAACAACAACAAAGAACCTACAGTCTCTATTTCTGAGGGCCACCAAATAGCCAAGGATATACTTCTTGGTGCCACTAATTGGTTACTTAAGGAGTAAGGAATTATGTAAGAGGGAGAAAATAAAGAGAAAGCAAAAGTGTAAAAAAGGAGGGGTAAGGGAGAAAAAAATAAATTATGAGCTACAAGAAGTAAGAAGTAGAAAGGAGTCATGAACACCACATGTTTTGCTGGGGTTCTGTTTTACATGTTATTGTTTTAAAATTACACAGTGGGCCCTGGCTGGTGTGGCTCAGTGGATTGAGCACCGGCCTGCGAACCAAAGGGTCACCGGTTTGATTCCCAGTCAGGGCACAGGCCTGGGTTGCTGGCCAGGTCCCCAGTAGGGCGCGTGCAAGGGGCAACCACACACTGATGTTTCTTTCCCTCTCTTTCCCTCTCTAAAAATAAATAAATGAAATCTTTTTTAAAAAATTACACAGTGAAAGAAAATACAGGATTATATCAAAGATCACAGTGTTAATACTTCAGGGTGACCAAGAGTTTTGTCAATGTGTGAAAAGAAAGGAGCTAGCATTTTCTTATCATCCTATAGTCCTTGGGAGCAAACACAAATTAGTAGTCCCTCCACGCACGCAATGGCTTGTGCAAAGTTGTGGCTGGAATGGAAAGGGCATGAGTGCTCGGTCGGAACTGTCGAGAACCACAGAGGCTGTTCACGGCCGAGCACGGGAGGGGTCGTGCTTCACTCTGTAAGTTCAAAGGCTCCCCCTCCTCCCCCACAAGTAACCACTGTCCTTTTGTAGTGAAGACTTCTGGGCTGTAAAACTATGACTCCAGCGCTGGGCGGCTTAAAGCACCGATTTTATTTGCTCATGGACTCTGCGGGTCAGGAATTTGGACTAGGCACAGCGGGAATGCCCCTGATTGGTGGCCTTGGCTGATTTGCGTGGTGTAAAGGCTCCTACGATGGCCGGTTCCAAGCTATCCACGTGATATCTGAATGTGGAGCTGGGGAAAGATACTCCACAGCTGGCTTCTGCAAGCCGGTACTCACTGGCTGCCGTGACTCCATGGTGTTTGAACTGGGGCGACCGAGTGTCTGGAGGTGGAGGCTGGAATCCTCCAGAAGCATCTTCCTTCACGTGTGGGCTGTGGGCTGGAATGGGACTCTCAACGAGAGCTGTCATCCATGAGGACACAGGAGCACGGCCTCTCCCAGGTGGCCTGGGCTCCTTCACACTACGACGGTTTCCAAGAAATCACATCTCTTACGCAGCAGCTCAATCTTCCGAAACTGAGTGTCCCAGCGAACGAGGACAAAATGCCATTGTTCATGTCCTGGCATCAGAAGTCACGCAGAGGTACTTAGATGGCATTGCCTGGCTGCAGATGAGTCACCGAGGCCAGCTAGATTCTAAGGGAGGGGTCCTATACGGGAGGAGTGTTAGCAATTTTGCAGACGCGTTTTTAAATGGCCACACTTGCATTTCATCACGGTTTTGCCGCCCGACTGCTCCTCATCACTATAGTTTCATCTCACTCCTTGTTTTCACTTACTGACCCTCCCCTGCAACCCTTTCTCTTCCTTACAGTTAATCTGTTGGAGAACATGGACCATTTTGTCTTGCAAATTTTGTCAGAGTTTAAATTTTCCTGGCTGACTACCCATGGGCTGTTTAGCACGCTGCACTGTTCTTGCACGTTGGCAGAAGAATTCAGAGGCTTATTTATTCCGGCTTAGGTTCAAACCCTTTGCCAAGGCTACCTGGGCAATGTTGCTTCTTTCACTATGAGGCACGTTCGCCTACTCATCTGTCTTTTTGTGACATCAGCAGCTGGCGATATTCAATGCCTAGATGTCTTAATTCATAGGAGGCTGCAAATTGCAATACTTTAATCCTATTCTTTCTTTTAATGGTTAGAATATGAGATGATTCCTTTTACCTCCTACCTGGTTACAGAGTGATACATTCACACTGTACATACAGCAGGGACAATGATGGATTTTTCCCATTTACTTGACAATTTTCAAGATAATTAATTGGTTTTCTATCATCTAATTAATATATAAAGTATATCTATTTGATGCATATGGTGTATATATATGATACTTGCGTATTAATTTTTTATATCTTTCTACCCACAATGAAAATGCTGTGAAAGTAGGAACTTTGTCTTTTCAGTGACCTGAATAGTTTTTAGCACAAGGCCAACATTCAATACAAATTTGGTAACTCATTGAATGAATGTATAAAGTACCTAGGACCTAGTAAGCAGTTGAGAAATGCTAGCTCTTTTCCTCCTGGGAAAAGGGAATTATCTTCAGGGAATGCCACTATCCCCCAGGATAGAAGAACCAAGGGTGGAAAGAGAGTCAGAAAAACAGGAGGAAGAGGACAAAATAGTGACATTAGAGCCAAAAGAATGGATAGCCGGCTACCCTGAACACACAGGATGGTCAAACAGGTCAGGACTGACAAGAGGCTGTACGACTAGCTTTAGGGATGGCGTTGCGTCCTCCCAAAATTCTTATGTTGAAACCCTGACTGCAGTGAGACTATTTTTGGAGATAGCGCCTTTAGGTTAAATGAGGTCATAAAGGTTGGGGCCCTAACCCAATGTGATTCACACCCTTATCAGAAGACACGAGAGCACTCTTCCTCATCCACGAGCTTTCCCCCTCCCCTCTCCCCATCAGCCATGTGAGGACACAGCCTCTGAGCTGGCACCAGTAACCTGCCTTGACCTTGGACTTCCAGCCGCCAGAACTGTGAGAAATCAACTTCCATTGTTTTAGCCACCCAGCCTGTGGTATTTTTGTGATGGCATCCCAAGCAGACTAACACAACTGGGTATCTGGACCTGTCATCAAAATTAGGGTGAAATTCACAACACATCTGGAAATCAGAGTTTTCCCTCTTTGCAATTACGTGGTCCCATGTTATAGTTATAGATTCTAAGGAAACCTCCATGAGGGAAACTAAATCACAGAGTCAGTTATTGGCAACTAAAGGACACCCACATATTGCTGAAGAGTGTAGATAAAAATCAATTTTTTCCAGTTTTCTTGAGATATAATTGATATACATCCCTGCATAAATTTAAGGTGAACGGCATTAGGATTTTTCACTTACATAGGTTGTGAAATGAAGCCAATAGGTTTAGTTTGCACCCACCATCTCAGATGGATACAATACAAAGAGGCAAATTTTTTTCCTTGTAATGAGAGCCCTTAGGCTATATTCTTATCAACTTTCATGTATGCCATACAGCAGTGTAAACTTAGTCATCACGTTGTACATTACATCCCCAGTATTTACTTATTCCAATTATATGCTGAAAGTTCGTACCTTTCAGCCACATTTCTCCAATCCCCCACCCACCCCACCCCCAACCTGGTAACCACAAACCTGGTCTTTCTCTGTTTTTTTTTTTGTTTTGTTTTGTTTCATCTACTTAATGTAGAGAAATCACGAAGTAATCACACAAGAAGTTTTTAAATGCATTTGCACAATAGTATTTTTAACACCTATAACCCAGTGGACTTCACATGTCAACACACAATTGTGGTTCCGGACCAAAAGGGAATCACGTATCACTCAAACAAGTTAACTAGAATGATTAGTAGAGGGCTGAATCCAGGATACTTTTCAGGGGGGGAATAAGCAACACTTGAAATCTGTAAGCTTTTAAATATCCCCTTTAGCAACACTTGTCACTCTGATTCATAGGGCCACACTGCAGCTTCCTTGTGACATTATGAAATGGATCAGGGTTGTCTTCTTCAAAGCCTAAGAAGGGTCTAGTCTCAACGAAAAGATTCACGGAAATGTAACACCATCAGCCTTCTTCCACCAAAGGCTGCTCCAGGTCAGAAATACATTAGCTTCAGAAATTTGTTAAGAGTTTCAGGAACGCTGAAGTGCGTCTGTCCTTTGCAATGAATGGGCAGATTATTTGGTCCGTTGCCTGTGGAAGCCCCTACTCTGCTAGGGCTTTTGATCACTTAGCTGCTGCTCACTTACATCCTTACATGCAAGGAGCAAAAAGAAAAGAAAGGAGATAACTCGCTTAATACCTTTTTCTACATTAAAGTTTAATAAGGAGGGTAGAAGTAAACAAACGAAATCGAGGGGTCAGGGTAGGCTGCCAATGTCATCAGTCAGCAGTGACCACGGCTCCGCAAGTGTGGGCATCCCGGGGAAATGGGCCGTCAGCTCAGCGGGCAGGACATCCCGGTCCCGAAGCTCCGCGCGGAGACACCATTCAGGTGGTGGAAGACAGTCTCGCCTAGGTGAGGGACATCTAAGGGGACTTTATATGCGGTACCAACCGCGGTGAACGTCTGAGGAGGGTCACCACCGGCGGCACCTGTTCACTCTCCTAGATTGGGTCCCTCACGCGCTGGGCGCAGTGGGGCTGGTTCAAACCAGGGCACCCGAGTCCCTTCCCTCCCCCCAGGCTCCTCCTGAGGACTTCAAACAAGAATCGCGCCAGCTGCATGACTAACGAGCAATAGTCAAGAGAGCTGTCCCAGGAAAAGACGGACAGTCGCGACAGAGGATGTCTTGAGCCAACGTCCACGATCAAAGGCCAACGCCCCCTTGTTCCGTGATCCCCGCGGGCCGCCGTAGATCCCTGGGGGGGGGTTGCCTGACTCCTGCGGGCCACCGTAGGTCCCTGGGGGCCGCCATGACCCCCGTGGGCCGCCGTAGGGGCGCCTTTCTCAGCCTATGCTCCCAAAATGGCTACCGGGCAGTGCTCCCCCCGGCGCTCTCTCTGAGGAGGTCCTGGCAGCGAGTGTGGGGCGCAAACTTTGCGTTCCGACGCCAGCGCGGCCTAGAGGCGGGGAGCGGCCGGCCGGCGCTGCGCGCTCCGTCTTGGGGCGGGGCGACAGGCCCCTTCCGGGGATGGGCTCCGGCGTCCGAGTCCGACCGACTCTGCCCTGGCTCCTCCCCGCTCGGGCGGGCGCTCCGCGGTGTCCCCGCCCGCCAGTCCGCCCGGCCCGGCTGGCGGCAGACGGGCCCTGGGCAGCCGCACGGGGAGCTGTAAGCCCGCGGGCGTCGGGAGGCGTCAGCACTGCCGCTGGCCCGCGGCGGGTCCCGGGCTGCGACCGGGCCGGGGAGAAAAGGCAGCGGTACCATGTTCTCCCTCAAGCCGCCCAGACCCACGTTCAAGTCCTACCTCCTACCGCCGCCCCAGGTAAACAACCCTTTTCCAGCGAGCGACCCTGTCCTCGAAGATTCCGGGTAGCCGCCGGGCCGGCCCGCGGGAGCGGGGGAACCCGGGAGGCCATCGCCGTCCCCCTGTCCCCATTCGCGCGGCTGCCCCCACTGGCTCGGCAAAAACTTGTAAAACTCCACCGCAGCCATTCTGTGCCCAGTGACCTGCCGTCCGTAGTTTTGTCGTGTGACGAGACTCAAGGGAGCGTCCGCAGCTGGGTTTGTTAGCCCAGCGACGGTCCGTACCGCGACCGCCAGTGTGATTGCGTCGCTTGTGGGCACCTGGTAGAGGAGGATACCTGTCTGTCATTAGGCAGTTTTACTATTTTATTGTCAAACTCCCGAGCCGATAGTGAGCCGATCTTAAAAAGAACTCGGTAAAAATGCGAAAGAATGTAAGGGCCGGGGGTGGGGGCGGATCTCTGTCTGTCGCATATGTCATCCCTTAGAACACAACATTTGCTTTAGTATCTCATGGGGAGGAAAAGTTTTTATTCTGACTTATTTTGCTCGTGTATTTCAGACTGACGATAAGATTAACTCGGAACCGAAGATTAAAAAACTGGAACCGGTCCTTTTGCCAGGTAAACGTAATGGGCTTGGGTCCAATGTTATTCCTCTGACTAGTACCATGTGAGCAACTTTCTCTTCTTTTTGCTTTAAACTTTATCCAGTCAAAAATCTAACCAGTGAGGGAGGAAAAAAAGAAAAAGAAAAATAATAATTCGCTTACAATTAAACATTAGAAAGTAATAATTGATATTTGTCTTTGCAAATTTAAGCATCATAGAAAATTGTCAAGAATGTGACCACCTGCTTTCCTGTCTCCTGAAGTGTTTTTATTTTTAAAGATTTTGTTTGTTTGTTTGTTTATAGAGGGGAAGGGAAAGGGAGAGGGAAATATCAATGTATGTTTGCCTCTAGAGCGTCCCCTCCTGGGGACCTGGCCTGCAACCCAGGTGTGTGCCCTGACTGGGAATCGAACAGGCAACGCTTTGGTTCGCAGCCAGCTCTCAATCCACTGAGCCACACAAGCCAGGGCCCAGAGTGTTTTTTTTTTAATTTTTATTTTATTTTGTTTTATTTTAATCATTGTTCAAGTACAGTTTTCTCCCTTTTACTCCCAATCCAGCCCACTCCCCCAGAGTGTTTTTAAAATGCCCTCCAGTTGTTTAGGTTGTGAAAGCTTCTCTGCCCTTCTTGTCTGTCTGCAGCTTTATGAGTTGACCACCAGTAGTCGGATCATCATTTCAGTAGTGTGAAGAGCCCCTTCCACGGTGGCTGGGTCTCTGTGCCAGTAACAAAGCTTAGGGAACTTTGCATCTCCTACTTGGCAAATGTTTCTGGAAGGTGTCAGCTGAATTTGCAAGTTTACCTGTTTCCCTTTAGAAAGGCGAGGCACTTCCCAACAGAGGAGCTGTTCACGTGTGGGGGCCCCTGGTTCCTCGCTGCAGGGGCTGTTCTGTGCGGTGTAGGATGCGCATGACATATCGGGCCTTTACCTGCTGGATGCCGGGGGTGCCCCCCTCCCTGCTCCTGGTGGTGACGCCCAGTGCGCCACCAACATTGACGGAATGACTTTTTCATTTTCCTCTCAGGGGAGAAGAGCTGGGTTAGAACGAAGGGTGCTTTAGAGAATCTTGGAGATGGAAGTAGGCATTGGTGGGAGATAGTAGTTTGTTTTTAAAGTATGTGGGCTCTTTGATTGGTATTTTGAATTGTATAATAATTAGGAAAAGTCCGTTGTTTGCTGCAACTCTTGGGGGAAGTAGCCAGATGCTTAGCAGAGCCTGGTCTAAGCCTGAAATACAGTCAGACACCAGTTTGTATGGCTCCTGTGAACGTTTAAAAATCTTAGTCACTGCTCCATACTAAATTGAGTGAAATGATTCAACTCGTATTGTAGTCATTGAATAAATATGGAACCTTTAAACTTAGTGCTTTAAAATGTGAAATGTTAAATAGGTGCAAAACACCAACCGTTAAAAACATCAGCCATGGTAGAGACTCACAATTTAAAGTTGTTTTAAACTTTAGTATGGGAGTTAGTTAAAATTTGTTGTCTTGATTTTGTTCTTGCTTTTCACCCAGACCGTGTGTGCTAAATCACCCTTTATGCACTCTCAGAGCGAACACTAGAACTACTCAGTAACCTTTGCTCCCCGTGTTTGTGGGGTTTAGGCTTAGTCACCCCAGGCGTGGGCCAGCGTACGGCAACCGGTGATCCTCTGCTGAGCCCTTGAACTTCGGCTTCATTTACTTTGAACAGCCCGCTCTCAGGCGTTGGTTGTCCCTTTCCAATGCTGTGATTTGACACTAGTCAACAACATGGTCTGAGCTGCAGGTACAGCGCTTGATTTTTAGAAACAGGCTTTTATATTGGATTGGATTGGGAAAGTGTCAATATCAATCAGCCTGAAGAACTTTTCACTGAAGGGTCATCCATGCTGTGGAACTAACTAAAAACTTGCCTTTCTACGAAAAAGGCAGAGTTTTCTGGGGAAGATTTAAGCTTACTTCCTGACTGTGAGTGGGTCACTTGTCCTAGAAATCACAGCTGAGTCTGGATCTTCTGGCCCATGTTAATTTTTTACACTGGGCCTGCATTTGCATACACGGCGGCACTGGCACCCTGCCTTCTGTTTGCGCTTAACCTGTTCCTTACAGAGGGGTGAGCTAGCCCTGAGTTAGTGTGTCTGCCGCTGTCTTATCCTCTCCTTCCCCACGCTCCCTGCCATGCTCTCTGTTCCCGGCTGTGCCCATCCTGTCACCTCTCTGATTGCCATTGGAAGCTCCTTTGCTCCCCCTTTGCTCTGCAGCCGCTGCCCCGCCCATGAGACCTGGAACACAAGTGCAAGTGAGCGAAGCCTTGGCGATCTGGCCTTCTCCAGTCAGAAACCAGGGGACAACTTGGGCAGGTCGCCTGTGGCTTTACGCAGGCGCACAGAACAAGAAGTCATTGTTCCGAGACATAGCATTGCATGCTATGCTTTGGCATGATGCCTTCGGTTCAAGGATATCCTACTTCAGTTGCCCACAGTTTGAACTTGTAATTCAGTAAGCAGATGAAAATTAGAACACAAAATCAATTGTTTATTTGTGTGCTCATTTACAGAGTGCTCTGTCAGAACTTAAAAACCTAAATTTCAAATGATCCTCATCTCTTATGAAGCGGAGAAAACAGAAGAAACTAATCATTTAATTTAGATTGTGCTCATAATTTTCAACTTGCCTGGTTCATGAAACTCCGTAAGGTGGAGATTGTACCTAATTCAGCCTTGTGACTTTGGTATCTAGCGCGGTCTGCACTGAGGTGTCGAGTGAACGGAAGACCTCCTCAGACCATCTGCTTAAGTCGCCACTGTAGCGGTGCACACGTGCGTGCTCACACCCAGACCACGCTCAGCTGGAGCCGTAGAGGAAGACCGTCCTTTTATGCCAGCGCATCTCTGCCCTTTCCCAGAGCCACGCTGCTCGAGAAAATTATACCGGAGCCTGGCATTGAAGTGCAGCACCCAGTGAGCACCACTAGCTTTGCCTAGGCTTTCTCTTCATCTCCCATCATTTCTTGACTTGCGTTGTTTTGATGATTGTGTCACAGATGCATAAAATTGCCCCAGTCCTTTGAAAGCAGGGTGAGTGGGTGTGTTTGGCATGTTTGTCAGCAGCAAGTATTGCTAGGTTATGCTCGTGTCTTCTTTTGTTTTGTAGCTGCCAGGTCAGTGCAGTGAGCATGTGGGCGTACTGGGTGCCTGGCTGTGTGCTGAATGGGGAAGTGCTGGACGAGGCGTGTGCCCGGGTCACACAGCAGGACCTCGTGCAAACCACGCTGCCTGCAGAGAGGGTAGAAGGTTGGGGTCAGGGGTTCCCAGGTCCAGCCCAGGCCTGGCTGGCATCAGTCAGAGCTAGGTGAAGGCTCAGCCAGCCCTTGGTCAAATGGAGAAAAATAGGAAAAATGCAGCTTTCTCTTCTATAGAGCTCAACTGATTTGATGTGAAGGATTGTGTTTTATTCTGAAATTATGTCCTTCCAACTTGTTTAGTGTAGGTAGGTTCTTTTGTTAAAAGAGAGTAATAGTAGCTGCAGCTTTCTAAAAAGTTTTTTTTTTTAACTGTATTTTATTTTTAGAGAGGAAGGGAAGGAGAAAGAGAGGGGGAGAAACATCATTGTGTGGTTGCCTCTTGCACGCCCCCTACTGGGGACCTGGCCTGCAACTCAGGCATGTGCCCTGACTGGGAATTGAACTAGTGATCCTTTCCTTTGCAGGCCCGTGCTCAATCCATTGAACTACACCAGCCAGGGCTTTCTAAAAAGTTTTTAAGTTATCAAAATAAAAGATTAAGAGATCTGTTGGTTTCCTGAATAATTTTTGTACTTTACCTGATTTGTGGAATTGGACCCTGGAAACCACTCGGTTAAATTATTATAATACTATAGGTACAGTTTAGCATGAGTTACTTTGTCTGCCTGGGAGTCTCCACTGTCTTCTGAAAAATGCACCCTCCCTTGTTTAACAAATTGTCCTTCCCCTTCTCTGTCCAGCCTTGCGTTCTAGTGTGGCCACCCGCCCCTAGCCCCCAAGCCTGGGCACAGGTTTGCCTGGGGCACGTTCCCAGTGGTACTACGGGCTGCCTTTGTGGTGGTGCTGCCAGTGGCCGTCGACCCAGAGGGTCTGTGCACGGGAGTGAGGTCGTATCGAGGGAGGCGAGGACCCACATCGAGGGCTGCATTTTCCTCAAGTCTCGCCAACGCAAAGCACAGATTGCTGCTTTTTACTGAGCTACTTCCGGGCAGGTTTCTGACCTTTTCCACTAAGATCTTTACCTGGCACGTAGCCTACAGGTCACTCCTTGTAACAACCCCGTCAGGTAGGTAGGTAGCAGTTGTCTCATTTGACAGAGGAGTGACTGGAATTGCAGAGGGTAAGTGGCGCAGTGCCTTGCCGCTAGAAAGGGCAGAACGGCAGCCCTGAGTCCCCTCCCAGGCTGTGCCTGTAACCACCAAGCAGCAGGGCCTTCCTGACTGCACAGGTGGCCTTAGGCCACAGAGTCACACTTTGGAACTGGGTGGTGTGGATGGGACGTCAGCCTAGAAGTGCACCAGTGAGGTAGAAAGAGCTCAGCCCTTGGCTCTGTCCTTCCCACAGCAGTGACACATTTTGCCCCAGCTTAAGGAGCACTTGCAGACCATTTCAACTGCTAGAAAGTGGAATGTCTTTGCAGGCAGGGCACTTCCTGTTGCTGGTGGAGCTGAAACAGAGGCTGGTGGAGTGCCAAGCCACTTTGTCACAAGGATGTGAGATTCTCTTCTGACCCTGGGACCTGATCTTGGAGGGGAGGGGCGGGGCGTGGCGTGGCCAGGAAGACTTGAGGTGCTGTGGCTAACAGTGAGTGAGCCTGCGGTAATCCTTCAGCAGGTACCGAGTGAGGGAGTGAGTGCAAGGTCCTGCTTCTGGCAGAGGAGCCCAAAGCTGGGCAGTTCCAGTTCCAGTTCCAGTTCCAGTTCTCTGGGGAAACGCTGGACAGTTCCAGTTCTCTGGGGACACGCTGCAGGAGAGGAAGGCAGAGGTGCTGAGGGCTCTGAGGAAGGTCACCGCAGCCAGCTGTGGGGGAAGGGCTTCCACTCTGTGTCTGGAGCACCTGCCGAGCCTCAGCCCCTGTGCTCAGGCTATGTGTCAGCTCTGCTGGTTCCCTCTTCCCGTCTGCGGGACCAGCAGCATCTTCATTGCTGGGGTTCACTGTTCAGTTGACAGTGAGTGCACTGATTGTCAGCGTCTTCTGTGATCAGATCAGAGAAGCATTCAAACACAGGGCCCCCTGGAAAATGGAAACACAGGTTGTTGGGTCGCTGCCGTGTATATTTTTTGCATGTTCATCACACGGGTGGGCTGTTTACGCACTGCTCTTGTTTTCGGCCTCACTGGAAGTCCTGCTCCCTCACCTGGATTACACACCCTTTAGGTAAAGACTTCCTTTGCTGGATGATTCAGGTTGTTTGATACCTTTTTTGTAGCTAGGCTCTAGAGATGATTGGGGACTGATTTTGTAGTATTTTGAATTGCAGATACAGATACCTTGCTTTAGGAAGAGCAAAAGACTTGGAACTGTGAACAGTGCAACCAGCTGCAGGATCCTAGGGTTAGGTTCATACCTCCTCCTGGGGCTGTCGGTTTGGAGCTCTCCACCTCAGGGCGGCTGCTGCGGGAGTGTGGGCCAGTGTTCTGTGACCCCCTCCCTCACTCCCTCGCGTCAGTCCGCCTGGGCCTTGCAGCGCCTGCTCAGACACTGACCATGAGCCTCCATGAGTAAAAGCCTGCTTAAACAGGGCCAAGTTCAACTCTTGAACCTCTCTAATTTGCTGACTCTCCACCCTGCTGACCTCTGCACCATTTCTCTGTACAGGAGTCCCCCCTAATCTGTGTTCTGCTTTCCACAGTTTCAGTTACCCACGGTCAGCCATAGTCTCATACTACACAGAACAGTCCAGAAATGAACAGTTCACAATTCATAAATTTTAAATTGTGCACTGGTCTGAATGGCACGATGAAGTCTCTTGCTGTCCTGCTCCGTCCCTCCTGGGATGTGAATCAGCTCTTTGTTCAGCGTCCTCACGCTGTGTCACTTAGCCGTTTAGAGGATTCTTTTGTTTTGTTTTGTTTTTTGTTTTGTTTGTTTAATTGATTTGAGAGAGAGAGGAAGGGGGGGGGAGAGAGAAGAGAAAGACAGCCACTTATTCATGCATTCATTGGCTGATTCTTGTATGTGCCCTGACTGAGATTGAACCCACAGCCCCAGTTCACTGGGTGATGCTCCAGCCAGCTGAGCCCCCTTGCCAGGGCGAGCATCGTTTTGGGGCTGTCACTGGAACCTTTGTGAAGTGGTAGGTGTTTGGGGGCTTGCCCACAAACAGGTTCCGTCTGTTTCTGTGAAAGGTTTTTAAACTGATAGAAACAGACAAAGTAGGTCAGTATCCTAACTTTTAACTTTTATTTTAGTTTCTTGTTTTATTTTTTCATCTTCCCTTTTAACTCTAAGTGTTATCACCAACTAAGTTGTAATTTGAGTGCAGAGGGAAATCTGATTTGGATTTATGGAATATATTTAAAATAAATAGATTGCATGGTTAACTTTGAGGTTAAAGCTGAACTCTTTCTCATTCCTTACAAAATAAATCAAAAACATTGGTTTGGGGGATCCAGCTGCGTGTTAATAACATACAAGCATTCCATCACATAATGCCCTGAAAGAGAAGGAGGTGTTCATTTCTTCTCCAGAGTTCCTTCCAGCTAGGAGAGGCCGAGCGTGCCGACCTGGGTGCAGCCTCTCTGATGACTGTTCTGTCCGTCGCAGGTGTCGGAGCCCGTCGTGCTGCAGTGTTTGTCTCTTACACCAGGGCAGGAGGCCTGGCTGACGCTTGCCGTTGGGAGGGTGAGGGTACTCACGGCTCTGGGGAGCCTTCGGTGTTCCCTCTTACTGTCGTCATCACGAAACGCTCCCTCTTGGTCACACAGCGACCGCCGACATTTCAGTGTGCAGTTGCAGCTCACACAGTGCTGTTGTTCTTTTTTTAAAGGAGAAATTGTTGTAAACGAAGTCAATTTTGTGAGAAAATGCATTGCCACAGACACCAGTCAGTATGATTTGTGGGGAAAGCTGATCTGCACCAACTTCAAAATTTCCTTCATCACGGACGACCCGATGCCACTGCAGGTGTGTTGGTCTGCGTGCTGCTTCCTTGTGTCACGGTTCCTGACTCTGGAAGGAAGTTAGGGCTCATATGATCATTGTGGGGTTATTGGGAAAAGAATTAATGTGAACGTAACTTTGTGTTTCAGAAATTCCACTTCAGAAACCTCCTTCTTGGTGAACACGATGTCCCGTTAACGTGCATTGAGCAGATCGTCACAGGTACATATCATGCTTTCCTCCGTGCATAAAGCCAGCACTAGTCCCCTGGAAGAACTGTGTGCAGATAATTCAGATGCTTGGGTTGGAATTTTATTTCTGTAGGTTTTTTCCTTTTTTTGGAGTCCTAAGAACATTACTAAAAGAGATCAAGAAATTGTTTTAAAATGGAGATACAGAATGTATAGCTTTTTATATTTTCTAGTACTTGTCCTCTTTTAGATGAAAATTGTAATCGTAAAATGTATTCAGAGGGAAGTGGTTGGTGTGCAAAGAATCATGTGAAATAACTGTAAAAGCAAAGTTAGAACTGGTCCCCCAAAGCTCTAGGAGTCACAGACAGACACACATGCGTGAGTCCAGCAAAGCAGCGCTCAAGGGGAGGGGCGGCCTTCCAGTGATTGTTACTCAGGCTCGGTTCGAGTTTTCAAGAGTGAGGAACAAGAAGGAATTTTTTCACATTTTAATCTTTTTTCATGTTTTCTTTTTTAGTAAATGACCATAAGAGGAAACAGAAAGTCCTAGGCCCCAACCAGAAACTGAAGTTTAATCCAACGGAGTTGATTATTTACTGTAAAGATTTCAGAATTGTCAGATTTCGCTTTGACGAGTCAGGTCCTGAAAGTGCCAAAAAGGTAACACTTTTTTCTGGTTCAGCTTTGTCAGGTTCTGGGTTTTGCGTTACGCTTACCAATTTCAGTTCTGTGTGGTAGTTCTGATTTCTCAGTTGCTCAGAATTTTTTTTTTTTAGGGGAAGCTGTCAGATACGTTAATAGAACTGTTTCCTTGGGCTAGTTTATGGCTGCTTTAAAATATTCTATATAATTTTCTTATCCGCTCCTAAAATATTAAAATGTATCATGTGGAGACTAGTATTTTTTTTATGTCAAGATTCTTTAATAACGAGATTGAAAAGATGGAGATCTATTATAAATGAGTTTTGGTAGGACCTTTAATTTAGTACCTCAGCACTTTATCACCAAACTTTATCAGCAAACTAAGAGGTAGACGGAGTCACATAAGGGTTAGGCAGATGAAGAGTAAGGGGAGGGGCCTAGTGAGCGTTAGTGCTTCAAAGAAATCTTAGTGGGTTCACCTGAGTGACATTCCACAGGGGCAGCCAAAAGCTAGGGGCTTTTTAATTGGCTTGTCTCCCCTCTCGTCCCCTGCCTTCCAGGGGAACATTTGTTGCCTGTTCGTGGAGTCAGAATCAAGGGCAGAAATCCCCACTTCAGGTCCACATTTTGACCTCTGCAGAGGAGGGAAGCTGTGGATCCAGTGCCTCCGCGTCTGGTCTGTAGTGCAGCAGTCGCGGAGAATGATAACAGAACTCCTGGAGAAGCCTGCTCCTGTCTGCAGAGAAGAGAGGGACAGTGTCTTAGTGAGGCAGGAAGTCGCTTTCTCAAAAGTGAGGCAGCTTTGGCCCCACCAGAAACTGGGTGCATTTGTTTTCCGTGAACAGTAGACTCACTGCAATAAATTTTCTGTTGCTATCAGAAGTTGTTGTCAGAATGGTCTTAAGGCAGCTGCCTACATATCTACTTTGGTCAGGAGATGGTAGATTTATTTTTAGAGTTAGAATCAACAGTTTCTTCACAGGAAGACAGCAAGCATGAGATGAATATCTGAAAACGACAACTTGGACTAGATTGTCCAGCACAGGGGTCTGTGGCTAAAAGTTTTCACACGGAGTCTGTGAATCCACGTGTCAGCTTGCTACGTTACTGAAAGTCCAGCTGGGTAACTCTGAGGCCCCTTTTAGCTGTTCAGGTCTGCAGTTCGTTTTTTTGGCATTTTACTAATTTAAGATGCCTAGTCTCATATAGAAAGGCTTTATATTAGTTAGGTGGTAGACGCTGTGTAAAATATTCTAGCCAAGTTACCTTTTTTTTAAAGATTTTATTTATTTATTTTTAGAGAGAGGGGAAGGGAGGGAGAGAGAGAGGGAGAAAAACATCATTGTGTGGTTTCCTCTCACATGCCCCCTACTGGGGACCTGGCCTGCAACCCAGGCATGTGTCCTGACTGGGAATTGAACCAGCGACCCTTTGGTTCACAGGCTGGTGCTCAATCCACTGAGCCACGCCCATCAGGGCCAAGTTACTTTCTTCACCTTAAATACATGTAGTAATTTAATCGAGTAAAGCATCAAGAATCTCTGTGAAAACTCTGACTTCAGAATGTGTAGCATCTCAGGGACAGGGACAGCACAGAACCCAGGAAACGGAGTTGGAACACAGATTTCTTACGTAAGAACTTGATACAGTGGGTTCATATTCCCAGAAAGTTGACATCTCTCCCAATCGCCTACATTTTTCAGATGACACTATTTCAACGATTGGAAATCATCATAATTTGGCTTGGTTCTCGAGCCATCTAGATGACTTGGTCTGAGACCGTGGGCTAAGTGAGTTGAGAAAATAAAGCATGAACACGTGAAAATTAAAGGAACAGTACAGAGTGGCAACGTAAAAGATGTTCCCACACAGGTGGTCAGTTGCCAAATGAGTGACACAGAGTAAACGGCCTGGAAAGTCAGGCTGTCCCTTGCCTGCTGCGCTGCTGCTCAGTGGCCAGGGGCCCGGTTGAACTGTGTGCACAGGCCAGCCTGGTTCCACTTGTTGTGCCCTCTCTTCCCAAGACCAGGCTTCTGGCACGAATCCTTTCCCCACTGTCTGAAAATATAAAAAGCGTGTTACCGCAGACCCAAAAGAAATACTGTTTTTGTTTTTTGTACAGTCACAGGCGGGACATGCAAGGAAAAATATATAGGCAATAAGACTATAAATAGAACAGTTTTTCCCTGGTTTACAAGTCTTCAAACACAGAGGGTCACATCACATGTGGTTGCCAAAGCTTAATTCTTCGTGAGTTAAAGGCAAAATTCTAGCATTCTTCTATTTCAAGGGGAAGTTTTCATCTAAAATGAGGTAACAAGTTGGGAAGCTACAGATTGATTTTATCTCCTTGAAACTTTGAATGCTAAGGTCTCTCTGGAAATGCTTTGACTTTAAAAGTTGTTTTAAAATGACCAGATGCATGTTGAGTGTTCTCTGGTGGGTGAACTGTTGATTAGTTTTGAAATACTGAAAGCCTTCACATTTCTGTTTGAAATATGAAATCCTAAAATGCTAAACGGATTCCCATGTTCTTAGACATTGAGGGAAAGCCTTCTGTAGTCTAGCTGGCGGCCCCAAATTGTGCTAAGACACAAAACGAGACGCCTTCGCCCTCCTGGCCCCGGGCGGTGACAGGCACAGAAGAAGGACACTGGGCAAGGTCTGGGACGGGATTGGGCAGTGCAGAGCTGGACAGCTAGCGTCAAAGCAGCTGGGAGCCACCATTTCATTTTGAAGAGCCTTTGCTCACAGCAGGATAAAAAATTGTTTTTAACGATTTATCCCTCATAGTACATATGTCACTTTATGTATGTGTAGAGATGGTCAGTGGGACACACAGCCTTCGCTTCTTCATTTTACTCTCCCATGAGCTGGCCGTGAGCCGCCTGCCTGGGCACACGTGCCTCGAGTGAAAATTCAGCTGTTCTCCTCGGAGGCAGTTGGCCTCCCCTGGCCTGTCGTTTTTTCCCCGAGTCGGAGACTGACTGCTCGGTGGCTTTCAGACCACAGACGTCCAGGAAGGCGGGTTGCTTTCCGTGCCAGGACTTGGTGAGGGTCGGCCTGCTCCTGGGCTGCCCTCCAGCTGGTCTGAGAGGGGAAGCCAGCACCCGTGGGTGCTCCAGCCTCTGCCCAGACAAGAACGTCTGTCTGCCTTGGTCTGAAAATCACTCCCCCACAATAAAGTATCTACCATCGTTTAATGTCTATAGTACCAAGGTTTTCTTCATTTCCTCTGATAGCCAGGGCACACGAACTGTTTCATAGGCAGTTTTTAAAGATGTAGAGTTTTTCTAAAAATTTTGAAGCTTAGGGAGTATGTTACAAAATTAGAATAAATTTGTGTGAAAGAGACCTACTTTTTAAGATGATGGGAGCTAGGAATGTGGACGGAGGCTGTTAAAATAGCGAGCATGAGAAAGCTCAGCAAAGAGGACTCCTGGCCCGCTGTCTCTCCCCAGAGTGCCCCAGGCCAGCAACCCGAACGCAGCCCAGATGACACAAGTGGGATGGGCTTTGCCTGCGTGCCCAGAGATACCCCGTACCCCGGTGCCACGAGCAGATACCCACGCTTGTAATTCCACTGCTGAGCAACCAGTTCAGGTTGTGCCCCCTTCCCCCAGGGCAGCCACCTGCACGTGATCAGCCTATGAGCCCCAGCTCCGCATCGGAACTTGCGTGCTGTCGGGCATGCCCTTCACCTCCCAGCCGGCAGAGAAGCGTGTTGTGCTGTGGTTGGGGGCTCGTAGAAGCGGGCTCCCCCGGGTTGTGGCCAGCAGCTGGCTTTTGTTTGGTTTTGCTTTGGGGCCCTACAAAACGTTCTGTAACCCATGATATATGACTGACTTTTGTGAAGACAAGGCCTGTGAGTGCTTTCTAAAAGTCTTAGAGGGGGTGATACGGCATTACCAGCCTGGAGCGTTTTCCTTCTTACATTAGTGACTGATCTTGCCAATGAGTGTTTTTAGTGCAGCTGCTGGTAAGCACACAGCACCTCCAGAAGGCTACTGAGAGACGGCCGGGACAGAGGGGTCTCTAGGCCTTTCCTCGGCTCTACCCAGACAGTGCCCCTGGTCTGTCTCTACATTACTAACCTGCTCCCTCCTTCCCTCTCTGTAGCGCTTCATCGCCCTTCCCTCTGGACTTCCCTTCTCCGGTAGCGCTCAGAGTGATCTTAGTATTGTTTTTCTTATTTCTCTTGTTATCATCTGTCCTCCCCACTAGAATGTAAGCTTCATGAAATCAGGCGTTTGTGCCTGTTGGCTGCAGCAGAATGAATGAGAGGCGTGGCACCTACCCTGGAGAAATTGGATGTGATGGAAGAGAAATAACCCCTGTGCCTTACTTTTTATTGACGCTCATAACTGTTATGGGAATACCTTGGTAGTACAGCCACCCGAGCGCAGTTCTCTTAAGAAACTTTATATCGGGGTGCTGTTGTGCAGGGAGAACAGGGGTGTCTGCAGTGGAACAGTGAGACGGCTCGGTCTTGGAAAGCCTGTCAGGGATTAGAGTCGGATGGAGGTGACAGGTTCACAGAGAGCCTGGTGGGTTGAGCGGTGGGGAAGGACTTCTGAGCAGAGTGTGGTAGAGACGACGGCTGGGGCCGGGTCAGACAGAACACGTGAAGGGACGCTGAGGGGCTGGTGGGAGGGTGAGGGGCATCTGGGGCAGGGGGCCAGTGGGTGCAGAATCAAGAGGAAGATTGAATTTGTTATGGAGGCGTCTGGGAGCCACAGCGAATTTTCCAGAGAGCAGACTGGTCAGAATCACATCTTCGCAAGGGAGTTCTTAGTGTTGTGGGTTTGTTTCAGGATGTAGGGAAGCCCACAGAGATGCCGTCAGGTGAGTGTGGCTGCAGGCTGTGGCTGTGGCAGTGCAGAGAAATGGGGCAGAAATGAAAAATGACCTTGAGGAAAGTGCGACAGAGCTTATACACCCCACACGGGACCTAGAGGACAAGGAGGCGGTGGGACTGTGTCCGGGCGCAGCTTTCGGCCGCTGCTGCAGAACTGCTGGCGGGGAGACTGCCAGGCGGGGTGGTGTGGGGGCCGAGGTGGGGGCCCCCATAGCAGGCTCTCGGTAGGCGTTGAGGGAGAGACAAACGACATGATTTCAGGAAGTTTGTCGCTGTTGTTTTTAGTCAAAACTAAAACTAATGGTAACTGTCTCAGCTGTATATTTTAGAAAGGCAGGAAACATTACTCTTTAGAAGGCTTTTTAGTTGTATTTTAAACAGGAAGCTAATATATGTATCTACCAGTTAATAGAATTTGCATCAACCTACCCCAGACTAACAATTAACAACTTTCCTTGCTTGCTTGCTGTCAAAAGTATATCATACTGGCTTCATGCTCTTCCTTCTAAATGATACTTAATCTTTTTCAGTAAGATTTTCTGTATTCTCTGCTTGCATATGTCCTAAGTTTCTTTTTTCTTCTTGCTCACTTAAGAATGCTTCCTGCCACCATCCAGTCCAGGGCTGTGTCGGCACAGGGCATTCTGTCCAGCAGCAGTTGAGAGTAAGGAGAACCAGACTGCGCGTGTGGAGCTCCTGCAGGGCCACATGTGCATTGAGACTCTTAACTCCCATCGTGGCTGTGGATACTGTCTTCACGGTGCAGGGGCGCCACCCGAGGCCCAGAGAGGAGTTGGCCCCCACAGGCCCCGTGGCTGGTGCTGGGCGGAGCGAGGCGGTGCTGTGGGGTTTGAAAGTCTGTGCCTTCCGCCCCAGGCCTGTCTTGGCCTGTTTTACTGAAACACAATTTTGTTTTTTATGTGCTTCTTTGAGCCACCCGTTCATTTTGGAGTTTCTGCCTAATTTTTTAAATCTTTTTGTGATTGTGGCTTTTCTATTAAGGCTGCGTTATTTTTGATCCATGAGGTATGAACATTACATTTTCATGCCTTCCATTATGCCGTCCAGATTGCTAGTGTTAGGGTATTGCAGTCCACCAAAAGTGAAAGTTTTTTCTCTTTTTTTTTTTTTTTAGGAGTAGATGTGTCACTGCCTTTTGGGAGAATGCCTCTGTAGTTTTCAAGTGTCATTTATTTGAATAAAATTACTTGCCTGTTAAAATTCAACTCAGCAAACACTCACTGAATACTTTCCACCTACTCACTGAGGATTGAACAATGTCTTAAGGGCACGACAGTGAGTGAGACACCTGGCCTTGAGGAGCTCTTTCACCTTCTAGGTCAGCAGGAAAATGTGTAGATAAGGGTCTGTAACCACTGCCCCGAGACGCTCCCAGTAACCAAGGCCTGATTGTGCATTTCATTTAACTGAGTGTGTTAACGTCAAATTCTAAATGTAGAATTTTTCCTAGGTATGCCTTGCAATAGCTCATTATTCCCAGCCAACAGACCTCCAGCTACTCTTTGCATTTGAATATGTTGGGAAAAAATACCACAATTCAGGTAAATATGAAAATATTCAATATTGTCACTAACTTTACATTGTGTGCGTTTTATGTTATGTTTCTCAGAAGCCCCTTACCACCTGGGCTCTAGTGATTGTGGAGTTGTTAGCATCACGGCCGTGAGAGAGGCGGGCCCTGTGCACTGAGGGAGACAGCACTTGTCGGCTGTTCCCTCCGAGGGGGCTGGAGAGACCCCGTGAGCAACCTTGGGCACAGGGGCCATGCAGTGTCTCCCTGCCGTCCTCGGCGTGTGTGTTCTGATGAAAGAAGCATTCTCCCCTGTTTGGTTGGTAGCTTGAGTTAATCTTACCTGTTAAGAAAAGTGGTAGAAAGTGAAGGTATTTGAAAGGCATGATCTTTTTTGGCAAGGTGTGATTCCATGCAAAAGCGAAAGAGGTTAAACTCTGTAGGGGACTTCATTAAGATGGTCAGATGGTGACTTCACACTTTGGGGTAAGACTGGTGGAAGGAAGAGGAGCGCTTGTCCAGAGGACAGGTGTGTTCGAGGCAGATTTTACAAATGTGGAAGAGTTCTGCCACATATCTGTGTCGGCAGTGACGTGATCAAGGACAATGCCAGGTGCTCCTGTAATTCTGTGCATTCTTTTTCTATACTAATGTAATTGGAATCAGCCACTTTTAAAAACCTTGTAAAAGAATAGAGGGTAAATGAAAAGGTCATGGCTTATATTAGCCCCTTGTGGGTCGGTGACCACCTGTCGGCTCGCTCAGCGAGTCACATGGTCTTCCAACTCTGCACGGGAGAAAAGTAAATCAGCTACATGTTTAGAGTGAAAGATCCATCCATCCAGCGTGGTCTGGAGGGGACCTTATAAATTATTCACTGTACGGGTCTTTCCATTCTGTTCCCTCCGAACATATGGTGGCAATCTACATACTCTGTAGAATGCAAGTATGTGGCAGGGTCGCTCCAGTGTAAGTGCACTGGAGTGTGGGAGCAGTGTGCAGTGTCTGCAGACGCATGAGGCAGGCGCCAGTGCAGCTTCGCCGCTTTGAAAGACACTCGTGAAGCGTTCTTCATAGATGGTATGTGAAGGTCGTGGCACTGTGTGGGAGTTGTACCACATGGTTTTGGTAACTTAGTTCTTCTTACTGAAATACAGCTAACTGCAACCTAGATTTGAGTGATACAGTTGAATTTTAAAGTTTACTTCTTAATGTAAAGAAAACACACTTCCCATCCTGCTCTGCCAGTTAGAGGAGCATTCCTTTGTGTCATCAGTGAGCTGTGGACCATGATCATCAGGGTTGTTGTCAAGGACAGCAGCTAAAATGAGTTTCAAGTGCTTCAGAAGTTGTAGGAGAGTCTCTGATTCCTGCTTAAGTTTCTCAATGGTCCAGACCTGTTCTTGATGCCCCTTTTTTCTGATGGAAATGGTTGAGTTCAGGGTAATGCCCTTTGCTTCCCACAGTAGCGCAGTGCCCAGAGCTCAGCACACACGGCCAGCCTTACTGTGCACCAGGCGAGCTGACTCCTGCTTCAGTTACTTTTCCCAGGTCTCCCCCTCCGTCCTTGTGGGCATGTCTGTGTTAACAGTTTGTTTATTCAACCCATACTCTCCTGCTGCATTTTCTCTCTCTTTTTAAAGATTTCTTTATTTTTAGAGAGAGGGGAAGAGAGGGAGAGAAACATCCATCTGTGGTTGTTGCCTCTTGTGCGCCCCCTACTGGGGATCTGGCCCACAACCCAGGCAGATGCTCTGACTGGGAATCGAACTGGTGACACTTTGGTTCACAGACCAGCGCTCAATCCACTGAACCACACCAGCCGGGGCTGCATTTTCTCATGTGCATCTATCGGTTCTGTGTATCTGCTTTTGTATACCTTGTTGGTGAAATTGACAAGTAATACTTAAAATATTCAGGAGCACTTTATATTACATCCTTTAGACTCCCCCACCTTTGACAGTACTTCATAAACATAACTTGGCCAAGGTTTTGTTAAGATTCCTCATAGGGTAGCAGCCTTTAATATCCTTCCGTGCTGTTGCAGAAGCACACACTGCATCTTTAAGATCAAAAGAAGCCTGAGATTTCCACACACTGCAGTCAGAACTCATTATTTGTGAGTGAAAGATGCCCAGTAATCCACTCTTGAACTTCTGGATTGACATCTTGACTCATTGGCTGGATTAAAGAAGTCCTTTTTGCAGGCAGGGAGGTGACAAAGCTGTTTCCAGACATAAGACCTGAATTTAGAGAAGGTCCCATGCAATTATGGAGGAAAGGAATCTTGTAGATGGCCCTGGGCCTTCCGAGGTTTTCTTCTCAGAAACTCAGCCTCACGTGAGTGACAAACTGTCTCTGAGAAGCTCTGCAGTCACTCGGGTGCTTCTGCAAGGTTGCTGGAGTTCAGGAACAGCTGCTGTGAGGCACAGCCCCCCCCCCCCCCCCACTGTCCTTCCCATCACATCACAGGGGGGCCGGTGTGGAGAACAGGGCTCCTTTTGTTCCCTTTGAACTTGAAAGAAACCACAAGGACTCTGTTTTCATCAGTCAGGTTATTCTTGGGCAGACAATGTCCAGGAAGCACAGGCTCGTCTTTGTTAGAAAATTGATAAAATGTCAGATACACTTCTGCAGAAAACCTCACGAAGCAACCCGCAGCCTCAGTGCTGGCAGCCCCAGTCACGGCAGACCTCGTGCTGGGACACAATGGGGTGCACGCTGAAGTCAGCAGGTCGACTCACAACAGAAAGTGCACGTTTTCAGTGATGTTTATTCTATAAATTTGTGTGCATTTTATTAACACAGGTTTTGATACCAGGTTTTCCTTGCAAGGCTTGTTTGGAAGCCACTTACAGAGGCACAGTGCATTTGAAGCAGTGCTCGCCAGTTCTTTTCAGGTTCGCAGTGCAGCTGTAAATGTCGTGACAGGTGCACGCTAGTAGCTCCTTGCTGGCCATGTGCCCCTGGAGGGGCTCTGGGAAGCATGGCCACGCAGGCTCCGCCCCGGCCTGCAGGTCCCCGTCTCCTGTTGGAGCCGCCAAGCTGGCGCACCTCTGTCGGACTCCTTAGTGACTGCGGTCTGTTTCTTGCCTCCTTCACATCTGATTTCTGCGGCACCACCACGGTGACAGGCTTTCTTCTCACACGTGCGCTGCTTTTGTTGTCGGTGCTGTGGCCTGCGGCCATTCTAAATAGGAGAGGGGCCTCTCTGAGGTCATCTCTGTACAGTCTCGGGTAGACTTCTGAACTGTGCCACAAAAGAGAGCCAAGGTCAGGAACACACGGACTCAGGGTTCACTATTAGTTGGCTGAGGAGCTGTGTCCTCAAACCTGTTGGCCCACTGTCAGGGGACTCAGATCTTTGTGAGATGAGCTGCTCCGCTGGCCTGCTGCTGCGACCCCTGTGAGCGATGTGGGTCAGATCCGTCTGTGGGGCAGGCCGCATGCCCCGTCAGACCTTTGGGGGTTTCTGGAGGATATTCCAGTTTCCAGACTCTGTAACTTCTGTAACGCTGGGCTGAGGATCAGCTGCACGTTCTATATAAGGTCTCACTGAAGAAGGTGCAGAACCTGAAAAAGACCTGGTCCTGGTGCTTGAGAGGCAGACAGGTTTTGAACCAGTGAAATCAATAAAATAGCAAAAACTGCAGGATCCTGTAGGTCTTTTCCCTTCACAAACAGCAGTGTGTTCCCAGCCTAGCTCGCTGAAGTCTGTAACTTCAAAACCCCGAAGAGTGTTCCGTTTCAGACCCTCAGCTAGGAGCGTGCTGCCAGGCTAGTCACGGTGCCTTCAGAAGTCTTGCATGCGTGCTCTGCACTTGCGGTGGCGGTTGTTTGCTTGTGCGGCAAAGACGGCTGGCACAGCGTCAAGTGGTCACGGCGACGGCGGGCCTCGTCTGTGCCTGGCTTCAGTGAGGGTGACGTGTGCTCTGGGTTTCTGATAAATCCCCTGGTCAAGTTAAGGAAATTCCCTTCTATTCTAATTTCCCAAAGTTTTTGTTTTAAATCATGAACAGGGGTTAAACTCTGTCAGTTGTTTTTTTGCACTTACAAGCTAATCACAGGGTTTCTTCCCCTTTAATTTGGTCATGTGATGAATGACTTAGGTTTCCTGACATTGACTGTCTTTCTGTGGGTGTGGTCCTCTGGACCATGTGTACAGAGTGGGCCTTGCCTGGGGTTCCATGAAGGGTCTGTGTCCTGGAGAGGTCACGACCCCTGAAGTTCCGTCCTGTCTTGTTACCCTAAAGGAGGCTCTGGGGAGAGGGCAGGGAGACTCCAGGATTTGTGCTTAGAGTTAGCACTTTAATTTCAACAAGTTCTGCCAAACTCAGAGTCACTGGGTAATTAGTTTTATTTAATTTTAATTTCAGTTTAAGTAGCCCATGGAGCTAGTGGTTACTGTTGGGGGCGGCGCAGACCAAGAGTCCAGGCCCAACTAACTTTCCAGCCCCTCACGTGCCATCCCTTGCATGCCCAGCGTCCTCGCTCGCTGACGCTGTGTAGTCAGTGTGTCGATCGTGCTCTGCCTGCCCAGCAAGCCCACCCCCTCCTCGCCAGCCCCCCGGCAGCATCTGGCTCATTCCCCGGGACTCTGTGCAGACGGGTCAGGTCGTGAGACCTTTCCTGCCCTCGCCTCGGTCTCCCCAGGGAGCTGGGGCTTCTGCTGCTGCTGCCCTGTCATCCCACCTGTGCCTCCAGCACCCTGCGACCAGTGTCAGTGCTAGACATCAGGTCTGAGCTGTGCTTTCCCGTTCAGGCCTCAGCGCCGTAGGGTCTCAGAAAACACCTGTCCTGCACCAGGCGCTAATGTGACCAGTGTTGGCGTGGGTGTGGCCTGTTCATGGGGCAGTGGAGGGTGTTTCGTGGCTGCAGGGGGCAGTGGGGGTCAGGGAATAACAGGAAGTCAAGGTCAGATCAGTTCTGTGAGGGAAGCCATGTAGGTTTGCTTGATTTGGTTGGAAAAGGAGCACGATCAGAAGTTTGGGACCATGGTGCAGCATCGTGAAAGCATGTTTTTCGGGAAGTGGTCACGTGGCAAGTTTGGGCAGTTTTGGGTACAGCACAGCAGCGTGCCAGGGATGCAGCTGGGAGACCTGCCACAGCTGCAGCCCTCACAGCGAGACACCGGGCTGGGAGAGACATGCCATCTGTCACCCAGATGGGCAGGGTGGATGAAGCCGAGTGTTGGGACACCTTTGTCCTTGGGAGTCCCTCTGCAGGCTCTCCCAAGGCTGCGGGGGTGCTCCCCAGGGAGAGAGGGCTCCTCACTGTGGAACTTCAAATCCAGGCACTTTGCGCTGAAATTCCAAATGGACTGGCGCTCCGGTGGAATATAAGGAGTCCCCGTGAGCTTGTCCAAGGAAAACCTCGTACCGCTGGGAGACAAGAGTTTTATAATGAGCCATAGGAAAGGGTCGGGAGGTCACTATTAGCATGGCAGTGGGTTTGATGGCTTAAGAACAGATGTCTGTTGGATGCATCTATTTTTCCAGGTGAAGTGTGGAGAAAACGAGCAGCGACTTGGGTTCCCCACAGTTTAGGACAGGGGGGTGGGGGATGGGGGGATGTGAGGGCGGCTCGAGGATGGCTTCCGTAGACCAGCAGGGGTACAAGTCTGTGGACATGAAGGAGAAAAGACACAACGAGGAAGCTCGGGCAGCGGCCGTCATTCCTCACTGGGGAGGGGGTCAGTAAAAGGGAGCAGGGACGGTCTTCTGAGCCCAGCGTGCCTATGTGGGTTGGAAGTATTGGAACAGAACCTGGCAGGGGTGGACAGCTAGAGGGTGCCGCAGGAGTTGGGGAGGAGGCGAGGACAGGAGGGCCTGAGGTGTCCTGAGAGAGAAGAGCTGCCGCTTGGGCAGGACAGCTGGGAAAAGGATGACGGTCCAGGAGAGACTAAGGGACCAGCAGGGAGGAGGCGCCACCTCTGCGGGGATTGGCGAGAGGAGGCACTGAGACGGGATGCTGTGTCACTGTTAAAACAGATAATCAGATTGCTCTTTCTTGTAGCCAACAAAGTTAATGGGGTGCCCACGGGAGGCGGCGGTGGAGCTGGAGGGGGCGGCAGCCAGAAAACCCCGCTGTTCGAGACCTACTCCGACTGGGACCGAGAGATCAAGAGGACGGGCGCCGCCGGGTGGAGAGTCTGCTCCATCAACGAGGGCTACATGGTCTCCACGTGGTGAGTCCGGGGGCGCAGTGCCGTGTGCAGCTGGGAGGGACCCCCGCAGGAGTGACGGTCACACTGCTGTCCCTGGTGAATTTCAGGCTGCGGTGGGTGGCCCATTTGTCTTTAATGCTGCCTTCACTCATGGTTCGTGTGGGAGGAGAGGGCTCTCTGAACATGAAGAGGGCGCCCGTGTCCACTGGCAAACTGGCAGTCCTCCCGCGCTGCCGTTGCTCATGCAGTCGGTGTCTGTGTGTGTCTGTGCCTTGTAAAGGCCTCTTGTCCTCCGTTTGTTCAGGCTGGGAACACAGTGAACTCGTCTGGCGTGACTCTTGGGCCTTTTTGTGGATGACAGGCTCCTCCCACCCTCTTTCTTATTAGCCCTTTGTTTGGTGACAGAGCCGGGCCACTTGTCCTGTGGAGTTTTCCACACTCAGGGTGGTGCTGTTTTTGTGCCAGCGCTGCCCTCCGGCATGCTCCTCTGCCTGCAGTGCTTCCTATAGGCCATTAGCCACCCCCAGGGTTCACTCGGGGGCTCCCTGGCTGCGGCTCAGGGTTTTGGCAAGAATGCCTCGGTGGGCGGTGCCATGCACCTGCTGCTGTATCGCTGGGTCCGGCGTCTCTGGGATGCTGAGGGACAGGGCCCGGTGGCAGGCGGCCTGGTCCTGCGGTGCAGAGGTCCCTCCTGGGGCTGTCGCTGCCCCTGGTTTTCATCAGCGGTGATGGCCAGTGCTGTCGGTCAGGTGCTCACTCTGCATCCCTCTGGCAGACCTCCCTCCCGTCAGCTCGTTAGGGCCCAGTAGCACAGCTGTGCTTGAACAGCTCGGGGCTTCGGGCACCAAAGCCCACAGAATCGGGAACCCACCTACACCTCTCAGTTCCCCCAAACTTAGCCACTGATAGCCTGCTTGACCAGAAGCCTCACTGATAGTTTAACCAGTCTGTTGAGGTGCATTTCATATGTTACATGTATCATGAACTGCATTAAAGTAAGCTGGAGAAAAGAGAATACTACTGAGAAAGTCATAAGGAAGAGATGGTATTCTTCCTTCTACTGTATTCCATCTACTGCATTCACTGAAAAACCCTGAATATAAGTGGACCCCTGCAGGTCAAACTGTGTTGCTCACAGGTCTACGGTATGTGTTTGCCCTTCTCCCTTCACCTGACCAGTTCTAAGGATTCCCGAGAATCCTCCTAAGGTGACCGGGAAATTGTTTTTTAATCTGTTTGTTTACATCACTGAGTAGTCACGGGTTTGGGGCATGCCTTTTCTTAAGACCATGAGAGTCTTCAGTAGTTCTAGCAGAGAAGCAGTGTTTGGGAGCAAAGCACTGCCCTGCTGCTGCTGGCTGATCGGCACCAGGCACTTCCCAGGGTGCAGTTATGGGAGGTGTTTGGAGCCTGCAGTTTGGGTCTCCTGCCACCCCTTGACTTTGGACTTTGTGGCCAGCACGCTCTGGTGTGTTACGTGTTGAGAAGCACCTGGCTGAGGCTGGCTGGGCCTGCCTGTCCACCTGCCCAGTCATGGCAGGGGAAGAGAGAGAAGAGGTGGGTGTCTTAAGGTGCACTGAGCAGCCCACTAATAACTGCTGTCCAATCAGGGCCCTGGAGCCTGCCTGTCCTGGAGAATGGGGAAGGATAGAAGAGGGAGATAAGGAGCGAAAGCTTCTCAGTAGATTCCTGGGTTTTCGTTTTGTGTGCTTGGCATCTCCTTACCTGTCACCTGTCAGGGGAATAAGATGGAATTGTTTTTCAGAAATTGCAATCATGTTTGATTGCTAGTCATCAAGGAAACATTTCAAATGTTTCCCTTGGATTTTCCCCTGCTGTAAATACAAATTTCGTGGTGACTGGCCATGTCATACTGTTTCAGACTGAGCCATCTGGGGTCATCAACGTCTTCCATGGTGCACGCTGAGCAGCCGCTAAGTGGGGTGCACATTGAATGGGGATCCGCGTGTGTCACTCTTTGGGCGTCTGCGGGGCAGACTCACCCTGCCTGAAGCTCGGGACCCTGACGCTGTGGTGTGTTTGTCCCTCCAGCCTTCCCGAGTACTTTGTCGTGCCAAGTTCCCTAGCAGACCAAGACCTGAAGACCTTCTCCCACTCTTTTGTCGGGAGGAGGATGCCAGTAAGTACCCTCTGTTGGTTTCTTGAACACCGGGGCCCATTTTCCCACCCAGTTACGTAAAGGCTCTGCTTCCGTCCTAGCTATGGTGCTGGAGCCACGCCAATGGCAGCGCGCTTGTGCGGATGGCCCTCATAAAGGATGCGCTGCAGCAGAGGAAGGTCGACCAGAGGTGAGCGGGGCGTGGGCTTCCTCCTCCCTTGGGCCCGTCAATCGTCAGCAATAAGCACAGCGAGTCACTGAGTCCCTGAGACGAGTGGGGAGTGGCCCGGTCTTGACAGTTCGTACTGCACGTTCCATGTGAGAATTACTGTTTTGAAAAGAATGGAAATGTGTTAAAATTACCACGTAAGTGATACTGGCCTGGCTGGTGTGGCTCAGTGGATTGAGCATGGGCTGCAAACCATAGGGTCTCTGGTTTGATTCCCAGTCGGGCCACATGCCTGGGTTGCGGGCCACATCCTCAGTGGAGGGTGTATGAGAGGCAACCACACATTGATGTTTTTCTCCCTCTCTTTCTCCCTCCCTTCTCTTCTCTCTAAAAATAAATAAGTAAAACCTTAAAAAAACATATAAGTGATACTGAATATAATTTTTTTCTGTGGCTTATAAGACACTGAGGCCCTTGTGTTGCTGAGATTTTGCTGTAATGTTGCTTTAAACATGCTTTCAGATTGCAGTGATGTCCAGTTGAGAAGCTTCAGGATCAATCAGACTTTTCTGTAATTACCATATTTTGCTGTGTATAATGTGCACATTTTTGCCCAAGTTTTTGAGGGAAAAATAAGAATACACATTATACATGAGTATAATGATGGCATACCATTGGTATAAGAATCCCATGTGTAGCATCCACAAAAACCTGGGTGCACATTATACGTGGCAGAATATGGTATGCTGCCTTAGGTCACTTGAGCAGGAGGCATTTCTTAGTCCTCCTCACAGTGGTGGACAGCCCTGTGGTCGTCTCTCCTCGCAGAGCCCCTGCCCCCGGGCTCAGTGCCCAGGGCCAGCCCGCCTCCCCTCTGCATGTGTTACTTTGTGGAGTGTCAGAGGCCACTTCCTCTTCCCTTTCTGAATTTCTCTCCTCAAGAAGCTCACCCATGGCTTGTGGCTTTAGTGACCATCAAATTACATTTCTGTCTGCAGTCTAAATTCATATCTCCCATGTCGAGGTCCCACAGGTCCTTTAAACTCACTGTGTCCAGGAGCAGAATCCAGGACTTGGCCGCCTGGCCCTCTCCCCGCCTGCTCTTCAGAAACCTGGGGGCCGTTCCTGATGCCTTCGTCTCTCACCTGCCTTCCCCGTGTCCAGGTGGCCATCCAGTTCTGTCACTTCACTTTTCAGAAATCTTTAAAACACGTGTAGCCGCCCATCTGTGCCCATCCTAGCGTGGTGGAGGGCACCCTCACTTCTCCCGCCTCGTCCGGGGCCACGCCCCGTCCCTCCTGTGCTCCAGCCACCCTGGACTTCCCTGGTCTCCGTCTTCCGACCATTGCCTGTGCGCCTGAGCTCTTCCCTGTCCTGGGCTGCCCTCTTCCTGCCCACCCTCGGGCACTCTCCCCGCCCCCTCGGGACTCACCGATCCTTTACACCCCAGTGCAACCATCACCTTCAGGGAAAAAGCCCTCCCTCACTACCCACGTCAGATCTGGCCTCAAGTCACATGCTATAGCTCTTCCCATTTTTAACTGTGTGTGTGACAGTTTGATTGCCGCCTCTCTTTCTGATTAGACGGTAAGCTCCATGCGGTGAAGGGACCATGTCTGTTTTCACACCATTGTCTATTCAGCACCCAGGAAACACCTACGATACTATGTATTCGGTACTAGCTAAGTAAAGGAGAGCAAAGGAACAGATCTTAGAAAAGAGGCTTGGAGAGCCTCAGAGATTGTACGTCGCAGTCCGTTCTCGGTGCAGCCAGATCTGAGGGTTTCCCACGGTGCTGTAGCTAAGAAAGGCACGTTTGCTGAAGCAGGTGACTCTCAAGTGACCCGTTAGCTTTCCGAAGAGGCTGGTCACTGCAGTTTGCACAAGTCTATATTGCCTGGTGGGTTTTAATTTCACTTTACTCACACTGGAAATTATCATGTCCACATACTCCAGACCTTGTTTTCACTAGTATGCCTGCTGATTAAGTTAGTGCTCTTACAGACTGTGGTTTATTAAGCTAAGATGTATTTTAATTCCTTTCGCTTTTCCAGCTATCCTATTCTTCATAACTAGGACAGCTTCCTTTTGTTGTCCAGCCCTATCTATCTCCACCCTTTTACCCTCAGACCCGTCGTGTCAGCCCCGCTGGCCTTCTTCCTGGTTCCCCACCAGCTAAGCTGTGTCCTACCACAGGCCCTTGGCCCCTGCTGTCCCTCTGCCTGGAACACTTTCCCCGAGTCCGTGCACGGCTCCTGGTCGTCTGGGGTTTGGCTTCTGTGCCAGCTATACAGAGGAGCCTCATCTGACAGGGGGCCTGAACTAGCCTGTACACCACCCTCCCCCTCCTCGAATTACAGCACCCATGGCATTTACCACCGTCTGTTACTTTCCCGTTTCCCCGGACCCCCAGCCAGGAGGTGAACCCCTGAGGGCAGAGGCCTGTTCTGTCTTGTTCATCTGTCTGGCCCCAGCTTGTGGTGTTTTGGCTTATGGTAAGTGTTCAAGAAAAGTATGCGGAGTAAGTGATTGAATAGTGATGAAAGGGTTTTGTCTTCCTTAGGGTTTGTAATGCAATAACGAAGAGTCATCCACAGAGAAGTGATGTTTACAAATCGGATTTGGATAAGACACTGCCCAATATCCAAGAAATACAAGCGGCCTTTGTAAAACTGAAACAACTGTGCGTTAATGGTAATTTCATTTTTATTTTATATATACGTATGTAGTGAGTGGGGGTACAGCATTGTATGAGGTATGTTAGGGAAAGTGGTATTCCTTAAAAACATAGTAATAGATATATTTAAATAGAAGCTCATTGAAATATTTGTACAGGTTATTACTGTATGAGGTCAGAAGCCCTTAGAAATTAGAGTTCAAACAAATGCTTTCTGTTGAGGAGGGGGAAATGAACCAAAGAAACCGAGTTTGTCATGAAAGGAGTAGCGGGATGCTTTCAGATTGGAGCAGCTCGCTGCCTTCCAGACTGAGACCTGAAAGCGCAGCTGCCCTTGAGAGCGTGATCTGGCAGAGGCACGTGCAGTCGTGCAGGCCCAGACTTCCGGGAGACCTGTCCAAGCAGACGCTCGTCAGGTGCTTCCACTGTGCCCCAGAGGGATGGCCCGAGTAAGTGGCTCAGGGAAAGTGCGCAGAGCGAGCCCCTGAGTCACCCGGGAGCCCAGAGCAGCAGCTGTCACCGTGGGTCTGGGTCAGCGTGGGCGCAGCTGGGGGCGGGAACACGGTGACACAGATGGTTCTCAGCCCTTCAGTCAGGTGGGATTGAAGCATGGGGTTTGCGAGGCGACAGGCACCTTGACGGGAGCCAGGGCACGACCGGGCAGGGCAGCCTGACAAGAGGGTGCCCTCATCCCTGCCGTGGTCAGCAGCCAAGGCCACCTAAACCATGTGCAGGGAGGGCAAGGTCACGGTGAGGAAGCTGAGAGTAGGGGCCAGCGTCAGGGCCTGGGCTGATCACGACCTCTTAGGACGTGGAGGGGGTTGGTCTCGCCCCGAGATTTCCCTGGAAGAGCCAGAGAGAAGGTGGAGCCCCAGAAAACACTTTTTTTCAAAACAGGATTGTAACCTGTCCTCTTAAAATGTTCCTAGAATTGAATGAAAGTGCCTGACACTTCCTTAAAGCCAGTTTTTAGATATTGAAAACGGATGTAGCACTTAACTCCAATGCTGATGGTGTAAAATTAAGCTTAAAAAGCCTGAGAATGTGCCGTATGTGTCTGCATAATTAAATGTATATATGGTTACACATTCACTACAGAGCCTTTTGAAGAAACGGAAGAGAAGTGGTTGTCTTCACTGGAAAGTGCGCGGTGGCTAGAATATGTAAGGTTCGTACCCCCATGTTCCCGTTTGTCTGAACTTCACACTTGAGGGAACTGCAGACCCACAGCGGGCACAGAAACCGCGCAGAGAGCCCGCACTCTGCACCCCGCTTCCCCCGGGCGGCGCCCCATGTGACCAGCTGTGTGGGAGGTGACCGTGCTGCGGTTTGCGGGCCGTGTTCACACTCTCCCAGGCCCATGTGCCTGCGCGCGCGTGGTCCTGTGTGACTCTGTCACGGCAGGCTCCTGTGGCCACCGCCACCGTCTGCACACAGCTCCACCACCCCAAGGCCGCCTCCGCTGCCACTCAGAGTCACCCCGCCCCATCCCTGCTGCCTGGCACCCAGCTGGGCTCTCCTCCTTCTCGGCGGTTCGGTCCTTCACGAGTGTTCTCTGAATCTCCTTCCTCTTCGTAAGAGGTCAATGAACTTCCCTGATCTAAAATTCCCTGATGTAAAAATCACACGGGTCTCTGTTGGGCAGTCATGTAAATACTGGAGAAACTCAAATGTTACTGAGAATACAGATGTAGACAGTGCAGGATTAGAGTTCTCCAGTTTCAGTACTTCTAAAAAATCTGTGTCGTGCCAGTATAATTTTTAACAGTACTTTTTTTTTTCAGGACATTCCTGAAACATTCAGCAGAACTCGTGTACACGCTAGAGAGCAAGCGCATCTCTGTGGTCCTCCAAGGTAATTCATTACCGAGAACACTGGTCACCAGCAAGCGGGGGCACTATTGTGTCCGTTTAAGTCAGCTTATTGACTCTCGGCCCTCTCTAATGTGCGACACTACCCCGTTCACTCTCCAGATCCCTCACACTGCTAGGGTAAGACAGGGGCACAGAGGCTGCACGCAGGAGAGCAGGAAGGAGCCGGTTGACTGCCAAGTACTTAATCTGCCTCCCTCCCTCGGGGGAAGGGGGCTCGCAGTCCTTAGTGGGATCATACACAGCATTGCTCTTGGCCAAGGAGCCCTTCTCTCTAACCGTGTAATCTTTTCTTTTCTTTTTTCTTTTCTTCTCTTTCTTTCTTTTTCTAAAGATCTTATTTATTTTTAGAGAGAGAGGAAGGGAGGGAGAGAGAGGAAGAGAAACATCAGTGTGTGGTTGCCTCTCATGCGCCCCCTACTGGGGACCTGGCCTGCAACCCAGGCATGTGCCCTGACTGGGAATTGAACCAGCGACCCTTTGCTTCACAGGCCGGCACTCAATCCACTGAGCCACACCAGCCAGGGTGCCATCTCTCTAATTCATGCAGATCTTAGTGTAGATGCCTCTGGCTCGTGCCAGAGTGTGCCATCAAGAAACGGTTTGATATCAAGAAATTGACTAACTCAAACAGCCAGTAGTGTGAACTTTGTCTAATGTTTGGTAGAAAAAAATTGCAATATAAAATCTTCCAGTTAAGCAAAGGATAATTATATTTTAAATAACTTTATAGCTGATAGAATGTCTAAGCTTAGAGGTGAAATTTAATAAGCCGTGAACTACCTATTAATGTAATAAATTCATACTGCCTAGGATATGAATATACTATGCTGCCAAAGCTTACAGAAGTATTTTTCCCGACTCTCAAATTTAAATGACTTTAGTGAGGTAAAAATATGTAAAACCCTTGGGGGAGGGAAAGAGCAGTGGTGCAGTCTTCCACGTAATGGTTAACGGATGCAGTCCGCGTGTATTCGGCTCTCGAGCGCGTGCGGAGCCCAGCGGTGGAGTGACCACTCCTCTCTCGGCCCCTGGCTGCTGTCGCCCGCCGCGCACGACGCCGTCGTCAGTACATCTCTGCTGCCTTTGTGGTGGCGGTGGGAGTGGCCCGCCCGCTCCGACACTGTCTCGCAGAAAGGGTTCTCTGAAGTGCGCTGAGGTAGTTTATGTGGTATAAAATGCACCCGTTCTGAGTGTAGACGTCAGTGATCTTAAGTAAGTAGACCGTTCTAGAAATTTTCTGTTATCCCCAAAAGAGTCTTCGTGTCTCAGCTCTGGGCAACCACTACCCTCTAGATTCTGGGTTTGCTTTTTCTGGATCTTGCCTGTGAGTGGTCTTTTGCCTCTGGCTTCTTGCACTTAACTTCCTTATTTTTCAAGTTCATTCGTGTAGCACGTGTTGGCAGCTTGTTCTTTTTTTATTTCTGAACGGTGTTCCGTTTGTAGAGGCCATGTTTTCCTGGGATTTGGATAAGGATGTCCAAATTTGCCCATCAGTGAAGTTGGGGAGAATGCCACCTTCACGGCGTTGAGTCTGCCAGCCCATGAAAGGACTGCTTCTGGGTTTATTTGGATTTTCTTTCATTTTGTGAGCGAGGTTTCATAGTTTTTAGCATACAGATCTTGTGTGTGTATTTTATTTCTTACACTATTGTGAGTCCAGTTGTCTTATTTTATTTTTATGTTTACAACCTGCGCACTCAGATCGGTGCTGTGGGTAGACTTCCTGTGGCCTCACTGAGCTCACGTGTGAGGTCAGGTGACTGTTTTGTCGGATCCGTAGGGTCGTTACACTCATGGTCACGTCTGTGGATGTGGTCATTGCAGTTCCCATTCTCACCCAGGCAGCCTTAGCTCTCTCACCTGATTCCCCCGCCAGGGTCTCCGGTACAGGGTGGAACAGCAGTGGCTGGAGCAGGCAGCCTGGTCTTGATCCTAGTCTCTCACTGATAAGGACGATCTCAGTTGTAGGTTTTGTAGCCTCCTGTTAGAGACTGAAGCCACCTTCTGTTCCTGGTCCACTGAGAGCTGTTACCCAGCACAAACATCAGACTGGCATCACACAGGTGCTTTCTGTGTGTGTAGGAAGATGATCGTGTAGTTTCTTTTCTTTTTAAGATTTTATTTATTTATTTACTTTTAGAGAGAGAAGGGAGGGAGATAGAGAAACATCAATGTGCAGTTGCTGGGGGTCATGGCCTGCAACCCAGGCATGTGCCCTGACTGGGAATCGAACCTGCGACACTTTGGTTCACAGCCCGTGCTCAATCCACTGAGCTACGCCAGCCAGGGCGATGATCATGTAGTTTCCGTCCTTTCTTATCAATATGGTGTGTCAGTTGGATTGTCAGGTGTTAAGCCTGCTTTGCATTCCTCGGATAAATTCTCTCATTCCTGGGGTACTTTGGTTTGCTGATATTTTGTTGGTGACTTTTACGTCGAAGCATAAGGGATGGATATCGGTTAATAGTTTTCTTGTGATCTGCTTGGCTGGCTTTGAGAGCCGGGTGTGACCGGCCCGGTTGAAAAGGGCACCAGCTGTCAGAGATGGGGGGAAGCCGTTTGCTACTTTTTTGGACGATGGTGGACAGTCCCACCCCTCTCACTCACCGTGCGGAGTTGTCAGGAGGGGGGACTACCTAGTATTTAGTGTCCTTGACAGAACAGGCAGAAGGGACTCGCAGAAGAGTTCCACCACCCACCATGGAGATGGGACACTGTGAGGGGCATGCTGCCCTTGTCTGGAAAGTGTTCCCCTGTGAAAGGCCATCTCCCACTGGACACGAGTTTAGCTGATATGAAAGTCCAGTGTTTTAGAGTTGCTAGTGTCCTCTCGGGGGTCATTCTGAAGGCACAGAACACAGAATCGTCCCCTCTCCCTCTCCTTCCCTTGCAGCCCTTCTCGGTGTGGTCCTCATTTTCTTTCCATTTCATTGACAGAGGAGGAGGGAAGAGACTTGAGCTGCGTTGTCGCTTCTCTTGTCCAAGTGATGCTGGACCCCCACTTCAGGACAATCCCCGGGTTCCAGAGTCTGATCCAGAAGGAGTGGGTCATGGCCGGGTATCAGTTCCTGGACAGGTGCAACCACTTGAAGAGATCGGAGAAGGAGGTAATGCAGCTCAGCGCCCGCTGCCGGTCCGGGGGTGTGCAGAGACTTGGCTTCGGGGAAGGGACAGGGGGCTTTTTAAGTTCTGCCGCTAGTGCAGCGTCGCTTCTTAGCCCAGGCCTGTGTCCAGTGGACGGGGCACTGGTGAGGACTGTTGTGGCCGTGTGGGCAAAATCTGAAGAATTGTCTGTTCATCTATGTAAGTTGAAAACTACTTGAAGAAATGCAATAATTTTTTTTGCAAAGTAGATAACAAGCACATTAGATATTTTGAAAAATCCTTTTTGGACCATCCCACATTCGTACAGTGGGGCACCCGAGAAGAACAGAGCGTTCGCCACAGACTCACTCTGCACCCAGCCGCAGCTCCAGGCGGGCGCTTTTTCGTCCGCCACAGAAACCTCCCAGGCTGCTGTGGCCGCCTGGACCTGTCCGGGGTGATGCAGCTGCCCGGGGACATGGTGTGAAAGAGAATGGGGTGTTTGGAGGGACGTTCTTGGAGCAGCTGGGGGTTAGTGGCAACTTGGATCCCTAGTTATGCTGCGAGCTGCCAGGCAAGGACCTCATCACCAGGGTTGTTCAGAGCAGGCACAGTGTGTGGCCTGTGGCGTCTTACATTTTGTGACAAACGCTAGGACTCCTCAGGATGCGCCGGGCAGGTCGCAGTAGCTGTTGTCGGCTGTTGTACGTGGGGACACAGCTGGGATCCTATGACTGGTGATGCCAGCTGTTTGCTAGAACTCAGGGAAGTTTCTGAAATCTGAGCCTGCAGGGTCAACCAGAAACTAATCCCAGAAGTAGTTTCTTGGTTTTGGGTGGTCTTTTTATGTTCTAAAAAACTGTCCAGAACTGTGTAAGCAAGGCTTACACATATTTCGCTGTCCCTGTTTATACAGTGACAAACTGTTCATTTCACTTTCAACTCTGCCTGCTTCTCAGGCAGATGAGGGTTGTGATGTTTATCATGTCACACGTCCCTTGCAGGTTTGACAGAAGCTGTGTTCATTCACACGTCCTCAGCTCAGCTTAGGGGCCAGATGCTTCGGCTCACGCGTTTTGTTAGTAATTTCTTCCCCAGCCTCAGCGATGGGTTTGGAAGGAGAGGTGTGAGAGGAAGGACACATCGAATGACCCCGTTTCTGCTCCTCCTTGCCAGTCTCCGTTGTTCCTGCTGTTCCTGGACGCCACATGGCAGCTGCTGCAGCAGCACCCGGCCGCCTTCGAGTTCTCAGAGACCTACCTGGCCGTGCTGGGCGACAGCACCCGCATCTCGCTGTTCGGCACCTTCCTGTTCAACTCCCCGCACCAGCGGGTGAAGCAGAGCACGGTGAGCGGCGTCGTGGCTGCGGCTGCGTTGTTTTCACAGCTCGGATGAGACGGGGTTGGAGGGCGGCTGGCCGCGTGTGTGCAGTTCAGTGGAGCCTCGGTTCTTGAGCGCGATTTGCTGTAGGATGCTGTTCTAGAAGCGGTTTGTTAAGATGGGAGATGTCTAAGAACCGAGGTTGGACCGAATGTACTTAGAATGATTTTGACTACTGCTTTAAGCTGTAATGAATGAATTTCCTAAATGCATTAAGGATATAATCTAGGAGCTTCATTTTTATGAGTATTTCATGTATTTTCTCTGATGTAAGTTGTTTTAACCACTGTAAATATCATGCTTTTACATTTGTATTTTCACACTTCGGCTGTCCGGTGGGCCATCAGAGGCACTGGGTCAACTAGGGTAGAAGCTGCACTGGCAGGATTCTGTGTCTGTGCGAGTCGTGTGCAGAAGCAGTCTCCGAGGTGGCACGTGGGCCCGGTGCTGGACTGACAGCGAGGCGGTCGCATGTCACCCACAGCATGGTGCTGCCTGGCTTTGCTGTGCCGGGAAGACTGGGTCAGTAGGTCAGCCGGTCACCAGGCTGCACGAGCCAGAGCGTGGGTGGGGGCGGGCTCCTGGGAGCAAGGGCCAGCCTCAGTGCCGGGGTCTTCATGGTCTCAGCCTGCTACGAGGGCCGTGGGGAGTGGATTCCTTCTTCCTGCTCCTGGGCTCTGGTCCAGACCCTGAGGTCAGTCCCTGGATAGGTGGCGAGCGGCTCTCCACTAGGACAGGAGGTGTGAGGTGGATGGCAGCAGCTCCACCCAAAGATGGTTTTGCTGCCTCACTTACCAAGTTCTGTACCTAACAGGTAACTGCATAAATGGGTGGTCACATGCTTCACAAGGAAGATGCCGCTGTTGTAAAGTAACTTGGACATTTGTGGTGTCACGTTTGTGAAACCTGAGTTCTTATAATAGCATCCTCATGGCCAGAGGGTCCAGCCTCCTTCCGTCTTCAGGAGGAGTGCGCTCGCTCACACAGGCTGAGAAGTGTCCTCCGGCCCGAGGGGCCAAGGGTGCCTCTTCTCGGGAAGGAGAGCCTGCCACTCTGTGGGCTGGCACTGCTGTGGTTCTGAAAGTTTAGCTTGTGTGATGACAGATGGCTCATCCAAAACCAGGAATTCACGTGAGAGAATCTTTACTTCAGCATCTTTTCACAAAGGTTCAACATTTTTATTTTGCAGGAATTCGCCATAAGCAAAAATATCCAATTGGGTGATGAAAAGGGTTTGAAGTTCCCCTCGGTCTGGGACTGGTCTCTCCAGTTCACAGCAAAGGACCGCACGCTCTTCCACAACCCCCTGTACATCGGAAGGAGCATGCCCCGTGTGCAGAACGGCTCGGTGAAGCCTTTCAAACGGACCAAGGTAAAGGACCACCTGGTCCTCGCTCACACGCCCAAGAACATCTCGCTCAGAACACAGCGTATTGAAAGTGAAGCCCCTTCCGCTGACGACACCGCCAGTGCAGGCTTTGAGGACCCTGTACTCTCTAGAGGACTTGACCGTTCTCTGCTTTTCCCTCCTGGTGTCTGAGGCCCGTGAAGCCCTGGGCAGTGTCGAGAGTCAGCGGATCACAGCTGTGAGCTGGGAGGCGCCTTTCCTGAAACCCATCCACTCTGCCTACTGTTCCCTCTGGAATCAGCCAGCGCAGATTTTTTTCTAAGCCAGAAATCTTAGAAATCTGCACTTAGGCCAGTCGATGGAAGAATAGGATATATTGCCCCCCACCCCCATGCAGGCTAGTTGGGTGGAGGTCTGGAAAAGCTGAACTTCAGTGGAGGAGGGTTGGAGTAAGCACTACAAGGGCAGGGGCACAGTGTCTTTCTGGCCGAACTCCCCAGTCCCCATAACCAGGAGTTTGTATTTGCCACCGCACCTGTGCCGTCTTTCTAAAAAGGGCCGCCTGGGACGGTAATGCTCACCTCTCTCCTGTGCAGAAAAACTACAGCTCCACCCTGAGAGGAGTGCCGGCCTCCTTCAAGAACGGGATCCTCGGTGACCAAGAGGCCCTTCCGCGGAGGAACTCACTAATATTGAAAGTGAAGCCAGACCCCCCGCCGCGGGCCGACAGCCAGGACGGCGGCATGGAGCAGTTCTTCCGAGAGTGGCTCTCCAAACCGGCCGACCTGCACGGCGTTCTCCTGCCACACGTGTCGGGGGTGCACGTGAAGCTGTGGAAACTGTGCTATTTCCGCTGGGTCCCCGAGGCCCAGATCAGCCGCGGGGGCTTCATCACCGCCTTCCACAAGCTCTCGCTGCTGGCCGACGAGGTGGACGTGCTCAGCAGGACGCTGCGGCAGCACCGGGCCGGCCCCCTGGAGGCCTGCTACGCGGAGCTGGACCAGAGCAGGATGTACTTCCGGGCCAGTGGCCCCCACGACACCTCGGGGACGCCAGAGTTCCTCTCCTCCTCGTTTCCCTTCTCTCCCGTCGGCAATCTGTGCAGACGGAGCATTTCAGGAACGCCATTAAGCAAATTTTTAAGTGGGGCCAAAATATGGTTATCTACTGAGACGCTAGCAAACGAAGACTGAAACAGAGTGTTTTCTGTCTGGAGGGAAGCTAGAGGCTTTTTCCTCGGAATTAGAACTGCTCACCCAGGCATTTGAGGTTCTAATAACTTTATATGTAAGAACCGTTGAAATTTGCACTAATGTTTAAAAACATGTTCAATTATGCTTCCTTCACTCTGTAGAAGATAGGCGTGGGTTTCGGTTTTGATGTCCTTTCCCTGTCATGGTAGGTCTGGCGCACTTTGAGGGGATGTGCAGGCAGACACGCCCACACCTTGTTACTGTGATCAGACTCACCGGGGTCTGTCTGCACCCCTTGTTCCTGCCGCCTTCAGGAGGCTCCCAATCCTCAGGCTAGCGACCCAAAGAAGCCCGTTAGAAGCACTGAGCAATCAGGGCTGGGCATTTTTCCAAGAAGCACGGATAGACCTCCCACAGGCAGTAGTAGGTACCTGTGTATCTTTCTGGTCACCTCCTGTTGTCTCTGATGGAACCCGCCTGAGGGTTCAGTGTTCCCACGCCGTAATTTATTTGTGATCGCTTTGGGACCGCAAATCACTGTGTCTTAAAATCCTGAGTTTGCTCTTAACTTCTTAGGACTAACTTTCCAGTGATGTGCACTGTTAACTTGAAAAGCATTTGCTGTAGATAGCATAACTAAACTTAGAAGTGCCTTTGACAGTAATATTAAGGTATGAGAAACACAGTGAAATATAATTTGTTTTTAAAATTAGGGAGTTAAGCCCCCCTACCCCCTACATATTGAAAACAGGCTCTTCACACTGAGTTCATACCAATAGCCAGGAGTGCCCAAAGCCACATTTGCATCCCCCTGAAAGTCTGCGAGGGCACAGCAGGCCTGTGGGTGGTGGGCTGCCCAGGCTTTGGGGGGCCACCTGCACCGAGCCCGCCCTCTTGAAAAGGGCTTTCCCCTCCGTATCTTCAGTGCCGCTGGCTGTCGCTGGCACTTTCCCTGGGAAACAACCAGTGAGGCCCCGAGTCAGGTCACTTGTCCTGAAGTCCCTCCTCCCAGAGAGTGCTCAGTGCTCAGGAGGAGAGAACTAGAGAAATGAAAACACGCTCGGCCCTGGCTGGTGTGGCTCAGTGGATTGAGTGCCGGCCTGTGAACCGAGGGGTCGCCAGTTCGATTCCCAGTCAGGGCACAGGCCTGGGTTGTGGGCTAGGCCAGATCCTTGGTGTGTGTGTGTGAGAGACAACCACACGTGGATATTTCTGTCCTCCTCTTTCTCCCTTTTTCTAGGGATGAATAAATAAAATCTTTAAAAAACAAACAAAAAAAAACCCTGCCCTCTCAAAGCCCCATCATTTTAATAGCAAGAGCCCTCTGTCCCCCTGATACAGCAGTATCAAGAGGAGACTGAGCAACAGAGGGGTGGGTCGTCTTGGTCAGGAATGCCCTGGTTTTGCAGCCGTGTGCAGGAGCCAAAGCTGCGGCGTCAGAGCGTAACCTGCGGTGCTGGCGTGCAGCACTCCCCCAGCATCCCTCGCTCCCTGCTCGAAGGATGAATGTTGTCCCACTGCTCTTACCTGGTTTCTTAAACTGCCATCCTGCACTTGGAAGAAAATTTCATAGTCGTGTCTAGTTAGCTTATTTCCCTCTCTAAACCAAGTGTTTTACCTGCCTTTGTAGTGACTAGCTGTTCCTTTTTGAATCGTTTGCCTTTGCGTTGATAATGCCTCTGGCCTTGAAGGGCTCCTATGCAGTGTCTCAGAGGACTCCCCTTGTGGAGGAACTCAGGGTTCCTCCTACCCATCGCCTAGAACATAAGGGCTCTCTCCAGCCGTTACAAATAGCACCGTTGCCATCGAACATTTTATAGTCCTTTTCAGAATCCTGTCCCAGACCCCCTAGAACGCCACAGCTGGTTTCCTGCCACTGAACCTGTGCTGTTCATTCTCCTCCCGTTTTCACCAGCTGCTGCTTTGCTGCAAATTGTTCCAAGTTTGTTACTTTTGGAGCGGGTTGAGCATTTTTTTTCTCTATAATCTTCTTCCCTTCACCCATTTATGGCAACTCCTTCAGTAATTTTTTTGATTTATAAGTTTAACAACAATTAGGTACTATTAATACTGTCCTCAGATAGAAATTGTGCATATTTTTGTATGATAATCAAATGTAGTAAAAGACGGAGTTCCGTGTTATTTTGTGGGCGGTGGTTGTATCGTGATTACTGTGCCGCAGCGGACCGTGCATAGTATGAAAACCAGCTGCCACAGCCTCAGTCCCGGCCGCCGCAGAGCCGCCCGGCGTCCCCGGGAGCTCGCAGGACATGGCGGTGACAAAGTCCCGGTGGGGTCACTGCGCTGCCCCAGAGCAAGCCTCCCTCTGGGTCCCAGACTCCCGCAAGCGAAGCCGGGCCCCCCGGGCACCAGACAGCTGGGACTTCCAGGACTGAGCTTAAAAGATGTACAATGTCTTACTGTTATTTTGTGATGGAAACCAACTTTAAAGCCAAAAATGTCTAACTTTATTTAAGAGAAGCATATTAGTTTGTGCTCATGGAGGGTGAGCACAAAGCATTCAGCACGTCCTCCCGCCAAGTCGGCCTGCTGTAGCAGTAACCTCAAGTAGCTCACCTTGACTTTGAGAGACAGCTAACACCTTCGTGCCTGAAATTGACTGTGACTTGAGTTACAAAGTAGGAGGGGCAGGAAGAAGGGTCTTGTTCAGCAGTGATGTGTGTGAAGGAAGTTCTGCCTCCTGCTCAATAAAAATCCCAGTCGTCGGTTGGGGTCATTATCAGTGTGATGTCATCTGCGGGAACAGAGTGGTCCGAGAAGTGGGGGCTTGTCCTTGCAGCTGCCTGCGTGGGGGGTCCACTCTGCGCTCTGGCTTCTAAAACAGAGGAGTGATCCCTGACCTTTTTAGCATCACTCCAGAACCAGCTGGAGTTACAGCCATGCAGGTGTTCGTGAACCATGGCCTCACCTGTCATTCCACCTCATCAACTAAAAAGCTAGGAGGGACACTTCCCTGAAGTCCCAGAATTGGTCTGTGGGGGCCTGGGGCCCCAGGCCGACTCCCGGGTCCGCCATTGTGGTGACCAGCCTTCCTTACGCCTTCCCCAGCCCGAGGCTCCCAGCTGTGGGCACAGGAGCCCCGTCTGTCAGTGGCCTTGTCCACACAGAACACCACCCTGATCTAGTCACTGGGGGCGTTCCCGGGAAGGATGGGAAGGGACACCTGCCTGTGATAGAGATCGCTCATTCCTTGGGTGACACAGGCCTGAGCAGTAAGAGCAGGCACTGACTGATGCACTAAGCAACTTGATGAGAATTTGCTTTTTAATTCCTAAAGAAGTAAGAATTTCAACTGCTCATGCCCTTCTTGGATAATGGTAAAATGAGACAGGTTAACAGCTGGGTGAAGTAGAAGGGGAAACTTAGAATCTGTTTCCAGACGTGCACCCTCCTTTTATAAAAGCTGTACACTGTCTCATTTGTTGGGGGGTTTTCGGCTGGTTTGGTAAAAGTCTCCAGTTCCTAAAACGGCCACCCAAGTTGTCCGCTTTTTACAAAGTTCATTACTGCTGTGTGGAATCAAGGTGTGTGTATATTCAAGCCCATACCAAGTGTCCTCTCAGGTTTATTGCTGACAATCACAAAGTCAAAAGGAAATGAAACGTAATTGCACTGAAGCTTTTGAAAGTCCTAGGCCCACGGCTCTCAGTTGAGGCCTCTGCCCTTGGCCCCCATGGCGACCACGTGGCAGACCTCGACGTCCGCCCCCAGCGTCTGCAGCTCGTCCAGCCAGATCATCTGCTTCTGGGAAAGGCGGTCGTTGGGGCCCTTGACTTCCACCAGCTGGAAGGGCAGTTTTAGAATGATTAGCACCTCATGGAGACAGAGACAGAACAGCCATGCAAGTAAGCTAGTGTTCGATTCGCTATGGTTCCTTACATGGTTCATTCTGTTGCACTGCACGGCTGTCAACATTGAAAACTTCTGCTCTTAAAAAGACACTACTAAGAAAATGAACAAACAAGCCACAGGCTGGGATGCAATATACCTGATAAAGGACTCAATGCCCAGAGGGTTTTTTTTTTTTTTTCAGTCTCAAAGCTCACGGATGAGAAAACAGCTCACCTACGGCGGGCAGCGGCATGAGGCCAGGGAGGCATCTGGCCTACAACACGGGAGGTGCTCGCTCTCGGCAGCTTCAGAAATAGCGCCCAGTCCTCCTGGCCTCCTGGTGTGCAAGCCCCTACACCACGCTGCCCTTGAGCGTGGGTTGTACCCGGTGACCTGCTTCTAACAGCAGGACGCAGCGAGCGTGACGGCACATCACTCCCGAGATCAGGTGAGAAGGGACGGACTACCATCATTCTCGCGTGAGCCGCCCCGTGGAAGGCAGGCCCACGCAAGGAGCGAGGGAGGCCTCCCCAGCCGCTGCAGGACCCTGGCCCTCACTTCAGTCGTTTTCTAGGGATTCGATCTCCCTGACAACCACACAAGACGTGGCTCGAGGGGGACCCAGGATGAAGTCGCTGATCCAATTACAAACAGGACTTCCCATCCCGGCTCCACTGACCTTGAAGCGATGACTTTGGGAGTTCCACACCACCAGGTCGGGCAGGCCCCCTCGGCAGTGCCGGAAGTCCACAGCCAGGCGTCGGCACACGCCACTCAGGATCGGGCCCCCCACGCAGGAAACCAGGTCCTGAACACAGAAACGCGGGTGACCAGCCCCTCCCTGGTGACCGCGGCCCTGAAATACTCCCAGTGACCATGAGACAGGACGGGCTCAGTGGAATCCAACAGACGTGGGTCTGAGGATGCCAGATATGGTTTTGCACCGGGACTCCAGAGCTGCCGGCTAAAATTCCCCCAGCAGCTCTGAGAAGTCAGTTTTCCTTTGCCAGTTCCCTCCCTTCTGCCAGCCGGGAAAACCCTGGGAGCAGGCGGGGAAGCAATTTGGAATAGGACTGCGCCGGCTTACAGAGGCTTTAGCCACAGGGACAGGCACAGCGTCCCCACTGCCAGGGGCCATGGGTCAGACGACAGGAAGCTGCCCACCAAGGGGGAGGAGGCATGGTGGACTTGTATGCCTCGACGTGTTCCCACTGACAGCTGGCATCTGGGCTGGGGCACTGTCGCATACATGCACACACGCCCAGATTCACGCATACATGTACACGCACATCTGTGTGTGCGTGTGTCTGGTGTGAGGATTTTCACCTGAGCTTGCTGAAGGGAAGCGAAGCGATCCCAGCTGACTACAGAAGCCGCTCGGCCTTCCTGAGCCTGCCACACGTCCGCCACCCAGGCTCGCAGGTGCTCGGCGGGGGCGCTGTGGATCTGCTGCAGCCTGGCCTCGATGGCCGGCTCCCGGCTGGCGAAGAAGCTGTCCGTGTGCAAGTCCAGCGGGAACGCCTGGCGAGACCCGAGCCATCAGGGAGACTGGTCAGCACAGCCGGCCCATCTGGTTGAACTGGCACATTGTTTTTTCTCAAGGGGCGGGTAAAAAATGTCTAACATAAAAGCAATTGATTCCACTGGCTTTTAGAGTAATAACGTGGAAGGCGTTTTTAGGGGAATCAGTGGAACTCTTAGCAAGCACGTGTGACAGACGGCACCTGTGGCAGCACCTGGCTCACACCTGGACCCTGGCAGGTGCTCAAAAAGGTTGAAGCTGCAGATACACTAACGTTGCAAATGGAATGTTGAAGGTCAATGCACCTTCAAGTCTCAAACTTGAAACGAGCACCATGACAAAAAGGCTGTGCCGGCAGGTTTGGGGGTGGGGGGCCAAAGACACGTGGCCCAGGTGGGCGTGGGTGACGGACAGACACACAGCCAGGACCCCAGAGCTCGGCCGGCTACCTGGTAGGCGGTTCTGAAGACGTCGGGAATCCCGTCCATGAAGATGACGTCCCACAGGAGGAGGCCGAACAGCGTGCTGAAGGTGGACCCTTCCCCATGAATCCCTGCGGCCAGGCCACACACACAGAGGAAAAGTCAGGCGCCTCCTTCTGGTCAGGAACCGCCACCACAACCCACCTCCTCGACTCGCAGGAAATCACAGAGAGACTGGGGATTTGAACACCACATTCACGCTGTCCCTGGCTTGTTTGTTAATGTTATGTGGCTTATCCACAGAAACAGCCTCGGAGCAAAACCCGTGTCGCCGGCTTCTAACGTCCCACCCCCCACCCACCCACTGCCACTGAGCACTTTTCCCCACAGGCGTGAGGTGGTGGCTGAAACGTGGGCCGAACAGGGGAAGATGGCCTCTAACACCCAGAGTCCGTCTCGTTCCCTTCCCCACCCTCCCTGGTCAGCAGCGTCATCCACTGAGGACAGGATGGATGGACGACAGCGGACCAACGTCCCAGGGTGACTGGGAGGCCTGGAGACAGGCCGTGCCCTGGTTACCTTGGTCGAAGCCGCTGCGTCTGTAATAGGCCAGTGCCAGCTCCTCCACGGAGCACAGCACGGTGGTGGGGGTGGCAGCCCCCCCGGCTTCCATCACAAACACGGACTTGCCCATCCCGTGCTGCGGGCACAGCCGGCCCGTGATGGTCACCTGAGGTGGCGACAGGAGAGCGCCCATGAGCCTGACTTTGGTGTCCCGAGGACACACTGTCTTACATGCCCCAAAGCCACTTTTCTTAGCAGAGCTCAAGGCTGCGTGACCTGCACTGTGGCACCTGCGAGGAGGTGGCCAGGTCACCGCCCTGGCCCTGGGGAACACGTGGACCCCCAGAGCTGCTCTCCACGTGCCCTGACCGAGAAGGCGAAACTGGCAAAGGCTGTGAGCTTCTGACCTGGGAGTTTTCCAGAAAGTCGTTCCACCCAGGCCATGCGCAAACCTGGCAGCCAGCCCGGCCCAAGTCAGGAGAACTGGGGTGAAGACAAGGAACAATGGCCAAGGCATGGTCCAATGTGAGTTCTGTTTTCTAAGTCTAAAAGAAGACGCAGTCCTGGCTGGTGGAGCTCAGTGGATTGAGCATGGGCTGTGAACCAAAGTATCGCAGGTTCGATTCCCAGTCAGGGCACATGCCTGGGTTGCAGGCCATAGCCCCCAGCAACTGCACATTGATGTTTATCTCTCTCTCTCTCTCTCTCCCCCCCTCCCTTCCCTCTCTAAAAATAAATAAAATCTTTTTTAAAAATTAAAAAAAAAAAAAAAAAGATGACGACGACGCACACTCCGAACCATCCTGGGCTGCCTTCACTCAGGACGGAACCCGAGAGACAAGACTCACGTGTTTCACATCGTGCACGGTGATTTCCGGCAGCCGGCGGAAGAGGTGCCTGTACTTCTGACAGCTCGGGGACTCTCTCAGGCGCACGGCTCTCTGGTACAGGGAAAGGCGGTGCCCCGTTCTCACCTCAGGATCCGCCAGCCCTGCGGCGATGCACTTGATAGCCTAGCAAAGAACACGGTCCCACATCAGAATCCAGAAAGCCTGGGACGCATCCAGTGAGTTCATGTGACAGGAAACTCCGCTGTTGGTGAGTGACTGAGTTTTTCTAATTAGCCAAACAGCCCTCGTAGAGATGAAGACTATTCCTGAGGTGTCATTGTGATACTCTGCGTGCGCAGGTGAGTCACGCTGTTCCCTGACTACAAACGTCTGGAGCACCAGGGACCAGGCTCCTGACTCGACCTCCCAGTTACATCTCAGCTGCCACACTCTCATGGAGACCCAGCAAGTCCAGGACACCCTGGAGCGTGGGCCCCAGGACACGGGAGAGCCAGACTGGGCTCAGTGGTGCTCAGGCATCACCTGGGAGCTGTGAGAGAGACAGGTGTCCCCACCCCTGAGCCACAGAGGGAGCACCTCCAGGGCAGGGCCCGGGCGTGTGACTACTTAGGGGCTCCTAGGTGAGTCTCACCCTGAGCTGTCCAGGCTTCTCACTCAGGGAGAAGCTTAGGTTTGCAAGAGCTAAATGCATTTCCTATGGTTATTCAGACTTGGGCCAATAAACCCACTGAAAAACCCCTGCCAGGATGACAGTCATCAGGCAACGGGAAGCAGTGAGTGCTGGGAACAAAGGGGGTGGAACTGGAGCCCTCGTGCACTGCTGGCAGAAATGTAAAAATAGGCCCTGGCTGGCATAGCTCAGTGGATTGAGCTCGGGCTGCAAACCAAAGCATTGCAGGTTCGATTCCCAGTCAGGGCACATGCCTGGGTTGCAGGCCACAGCTCCCAGCAACCGCACATTGATGTTTCTCTCTCTCTCTTTCTCCCTTCCTTCCCTCTCTAAAAACAAACAAACAAATAAATAAATAAATGAGAAATGTAAAAATAATTCAAATGCTGTGGAAAAAAGTTGGGGGCTTCCTCGAAAAGCTAAACATGGAACCACCCTAGGACTCAGCCATCCCACGTGGGGTATTTTCAAACAGAGACTCGCACCCCCTGTATTCTCAGCAGCGTCATTCACAATCGCCACAAGGCGGGAACAACCCAAGTGTCCGCCGACAGGTGGGAGAAAATGTGATCCGGAAAATGGGATAGGACTCAGCCTTGAAGAAGAGGGAGATGCTGGCACGTGCCACCACGGGGAGGAACCTGGAGGACACTGTGCCCGGTGGAACAGGGCGGCGACAAAAGGACAGACACTGTGTGAGTCCATTGATGTGAAGCATCTGGGACAGGCCAAGCGACGGGAACAGAGGTTAGATCAGAGGGCACGAGGGGCTGGGGGTGGGGGGGGATAACGGCTTAATGGGTGCAGGGGTTCTGTTGAGGGGGACGAAAATGGGAAATAGAGGCGATGCTGTCACAACATTGTGAGTGTGATTAAGGCCACTGAACTGTACACTAGAGACTGTGCCAGTGGCAGGCTTTATTTATGTGATGTACCTTTTACTATAAAATATAAAGTAAAAAAAACAAAACACCCTGAACAATCCACCAAGGGTCAGGCCATCAGGAGTGGAATGGTCAAAAGGAATCGAGGATGAGGCACCGGCAGGAGGCAGGCCGGTGGGGGCCTGTCCGCAGGCAGGGGACAGCCAGGCCACTCACCTTGGCCTGGCCTGGCCAGCAGGCACTAACCAGTTCCAGGACTGATGTAGAGAACGCCAGGGTGGTAAGGGGAATGATGAAGACGGTGAGGGTGGCCAGGAAGAGCTTTGGAAAACGGCTAAAAGGAACCGAGATTTTCCATCCATCTCCCAAATAAGCTCTGTGGCTCATCTCCCTCTGGGAATGTAAGTACACACTCCCGTCAGCAGAGTGGGGGGTGGGGCAGCGAGGGGAAGCTGCCCACTTGTTTGAACCTCTAATCCCACGAAAGGAAGCAGCAGCCTGCACACAGCCTCTCTGAACGGCTGCCCGTGGGCTGGCAGGTGCCCTCTGTGGCTGTTCCAGCCACGTGACCACGGCGCGGGAAGGAGATCCCAGCCCCACCCTCCTCCAGACGGCGGAGAGCGGCTTCCCCAGCCCGACCTCCTCCGGCTCACGAGGCACCTCTTCAGCTGAGGGTGGTAAAAACAGCCAGCCGTGTCTCCACACCCAGGGTCAATGTCTCCACCCCTGCATCACCCTGACTCCGGGAACGAGCTCCTGGGGAAAACAGAAGCCCTCAGAAGCACCATGCCCTCCGTGCGTGGCCAGGGCGAGGCCAGCCCGAGGACGGGTGGGAGGACTCGGCGGCCACACACACAAAGGGCCACTGTTGCCGCCGGGATCAGCTGCAGAGGCCCCGTGCCGCCGGCCCCAGAGCGTCCCCAACGGAGATGGTGGCCTGTGCAGCAGCCAAGTGCAGTGGCTCGCAGAGGGACAGAGCTGCTCATCCAGTAGCTGCCATGAGACATCCTTCAGCAGCCTCCCACCCGGAGGCCCCGAGCAACCAATGAACAAAACCTCCATTCCCAGAACGGAAGCACCTTTCTGGAAAGGCCCTGCTGAGGGCGCAGCTGTCAACTCTCCTGGCCCCTCGCCCCCTCCCCCGCTGGGTTAATTCCTGAATCCCAGCACAGGTCCCGCTGCCAGGCCTGATTTGCCAACTGCTCCCACATCAGTGAGCACAGGACAAAAGTCTCCTGCCTGGAGATGCTTGTGGCCACGCTTGTGGTAGCGACCTCGTTCTTTCTTTTCTTTTTAACGTTCATTGGTTTTAGAGAAACAGACAGACAGAGAGAAACACTGATGTGAGAAATATCAACTGGTTGCCTCCCATATGCGCCCCGACAGGACTGAACTTGCAACCCAGGCATGTGCCCTGACTGGGAATTGAACCCCAGACCTTCTGGTGTATGGGACAACACTCCAACCCTCCGGCCTAGAGCTCGACCTTGCTATGTCTTTTAGGGAAAACACGGAGAAAAGGAGGTTAAACGATGAATGTCCTAGTGACATGTAGATGTTTAAGGTGGCAACACGCTGCTAGACTTTTCCAGTTTATGAAAAGTGCAAATGGGACAGCTCAGGCATGCATAGAGACTGAGTACCGACCGGTTCGAGGCGTTTCAAGTGCTGGTGCAGGTTGAGAGCCAGCCGGTCCCACCAGCGGCCTCTGCTGTCGGGACAGTAGATCTTCTGGGCCAGGAGGTCCTTCAGTTCCTTGACCGCTTCCTGTGGCAACAACAAAGGAAGCCCGTGAGACTCACACGTGCCAGAAAAGCAAATGAGATTGGCAACATGTTTACAAAGCACAGCTTCCCATTCTGCCGTCAGGCCATGGCCATGGCCACCCTCTGGAGGGGCCTGAGCTCCCCGAAGTGTCCCTTTGGGTGCCCCGCCAACTTCAAACAGTGCATGGCATTCTTGCAGATAAGTTACCGACACAGGGCCGTGAGGGATCAAGTTCCAGGCAGCCAAGCCCCAACCCCCTCCCAGGAGCCCTTGCAGGTCCTAGGGCCAGCGCAGTGAGAAATTTGGGGCGGGCAGGACACATTCACAGGGGCGCTTTCTGGTCTAAATTTGCACAAATCATTGTACAAATTTGCACAAATCGTAAATTTGCACAAGTCATTCTTAATCTGTTGTCCGTGGGTCTCTCTGCAACATCTCCTGACTGCCCTAAGAAAAATGCACAAAGCCCATGTACACGTAATTGCAGGGTCCAGAGTCCCCAAAACTCCTCCCGTGGACCCTCTTGATTCAGGGACCCAAGTCAAGAACCCAGCTTTGGCGAATCCTCTGTAAAAAAACATTTTCCAAAACAGAACATTGAACGTAACAGAGGTTAACTTGCACGACCTCACAGAGTTCAGTGCAAGAAAGGATATGACCAAATTTCGGCTTTGTGATGATAAATTACCTCCAGACAGTCCGTGACAGCTGTGAGGGGCACACAGAGCCTGTGGGAGACCGCCCCACGGCCACCCGGCGCTCCGGAGGGGCTCAGCCGCAGGGACTGACTGGGCTCTGTGTGGGGCCGCGTCCGGGACCCTCAGGCCAGCTCCCAGCACAGCGGGCCGTCCAGCCACGGCCCTGCTGACCCAGCAGACAGCGGGCTGCCCACTTTAAGTGTCCGTGGAAAGTGTCGACAGCCGCGTGGGCTCCGCCCCCGCCCAGTGCACCGCTGAACTGTCCCGAAAGGCCGGACGGAAATCTGCGTTCTCACCTCGTACATGTGGAGCCTCTGCAGGATTTCCACGGCCCGAGAGAGGATTCTTGTGTAAACCCACCCGACAGTGAAGCACCGCAGGAAGAGCGGTAAGTTCTCGTGGTACCTGAAATGAACGTGGACACACCCGCGGTTTGGAGTTTGGTTTACTTATTGTGAGGCAATCCCAAGCAGTGACAAAGCAGACCGAGTGCCTACCTTTTTTAAAAAAAATTTATTATTTAAAAACATTTTTCTTATTGTTGGCACTATTACAGATGTCCCCATTCCCCACCCCCTTTGCCCACCTCCACCCAGCCCCTGCCCCTGCCCCTGCCCCCCGTCCCTCTGGCCATCCCCACACCGTTGTCTATGTCCGTGGGTCACGCATACACGTTCTGTGGCTAACCCTTCACCTGCTTTCATCCAGCCCCTCCTCAAGCCCCCTCCCCTCTGACAGCTGTCTGTCTGTTCCCTGTGTCCATGCCTCTGTTCCTCTATTCTTTCCTTTAAGATTTTATTTTTTCATTTTTAGAGAGAGGTGAAGAGGAGGAGAATGAGAGGGAGTGGATTATCAATGTGTGGTTGCCTCTCGAGTGCTCTGTACCAGGGACCTGGCCCGCAACCCTGACTGGGAATCGAACCGGCGACCCCTTGGTTCGCAGCCCGCGCTCAATCCACTGAGCTACACCAGCCAGGGCTATTTCTGTATGAACTTTAAGTCCTAAATGTCTTTCCAGAAGACATATTTCACAGTACAGCCTGATTTTTCTCATGGCTGTGTAACAATAAAGGAAACCTTTCTCAAATATGGAATACCTTTAACATCAAACCAGAACAGGGAAGGCTCAGGCACTGTGTCCTTGAACTCTGGAAGTGTTCAACTCCATTTCCCTTTTCAGGATAACACCCGTCTTTGAACTCCCATGGAGAGAGCATGTCTGGCACGCTCCCCACAACGTCTGCCCGAGGCTGGGTCCCCCCACCCCATTAAATTCAACGTCAGCTCACCGATACTCGGGAGTCAGCAAGCCCAGACAGCCAGGGACGGCCAGCCCACTGCTGGCTCCCCTGAGTGTCTGGTGCACAGGGACCTGAATTGCAGCGAGTCCCCCTCAAACGTGCAGACGCCCCCTCCCTTTCAGACAGCAGCGCGACTGCGCGGAGCAACCAGGAGCGTCACCTCCGCAGCAGGTCTGACCGCAGGACCGAAGGAGCAAGTGCTCCGTGAAGAAAACGACCTAACCACCGCCCCCCCACCGTCTCACCTCAGGGAAGGGTGGTTTTTCAGGGTGTCCCAGTCCCTCTTGGCACGCTGAGAGAGCTCGTTCGCTGCTTCCCAGTTCCCGCTGGCCATGGCGGTGGAGATGTCGCTCAGCGTGTGGGCGGCGGCTGCGTACCTGCAGGGACGACTGTCCTCAGGTCAGTCCAGTCTAACGTCACTTACATATCCGGGTCCTTTGAGTTTTCATTATTTTCACTATTTACAGCATACCGTATTTTGCCGTGTATAAGGCACCCTGTGTATAATGCACACCCACATTTTTGTGTGCGTTATACACGGGATTATCATACCCATGATGATACCCATGGTCTGTCATCATCATACTAATGTATACGGTGCATCCTTATTTTTCCCTCAGAAAATGTGGGCAAAAATAGTGCGCATTATACACGGCAAAATACGGTACCTACTTTCTACAAAGAATATGGTTTATTATTTTTCTCCGTAGCCCCACCCCCAACTTTTGAACTTGGTTACTCCATGGTCCTGTCAATCACAGAACTGAAAGGTAATCTTCAGCTATAACAGTAATAATGGCAATTATCATACTAAGATATAAGAAGCTATCCCCAGAGGCCAGGCCCTAAGCTCTTTATAGGTACCAATGTGCATATGTAGGAATATACTACTATTCTCCCCATTTTACAGGCGAGGAAACCGAGGCAGAGCAGTTTTACAGTTCAACAGTATAGAGGCTGGAACTTGGCTCCTGAGCACAGGGTCTCACAAAAGGGAAAAGTATAAAGTGAGTAAAAATGAAAAGGTAAAAAGACACACAGCAGCTAAAAACAGGGTAAAAGGAAGTGTTAGAAGATTCGCCAAAAAACATTCCTCCAGCTGAACTAAGGCAAAATGGGTTGAAATCAGCTTTTATTGGCATTACTTTGATTCAATGATTTATTTTGAATGAATATGCTAGGCAATATTTCAACGACTTTCCTAAAATCAAATAGAATCAAATTCAGTTCATGGGAGTCATACACCTTAAATCGAGACTCACAAGTGACATTTTAGGGGATCCAAATTTATTTGTCTTCTAAAAGGTTTATTTTTAGGAAATGCAAATATTTTTTTCCTCTAATAACTATACCATGTTTATCAAAACCTACTTTTGCCAGTCAAACCAAACATTCACTAAATCCATGTACCAGCATAGGTGAAAATTTCCAGTGAAAATTTCCAACCTAACGCATCCACGGGTCTGGTAGAAGCACAGAAGTTGGTATCAGCATTATCAGAAGCATCCTTACTAGGAAAACACTCATCTTCAATCTTGTCCGTGCTGACAACATATTCCCAAGGCAGGTTCGTGCAAATGTCTCCACTTTCAAAACTGCTCCCTGCCAAAGCTACTTGGGAACATAAGCCAGGAGAAACTTTTGTAGCTCTGACCCAAAATCATCAGTTTTGGCAAGCGTAACTGAGCACATTTCTACATTCTCCTGAGAGTCTCAGAAATGTGTACACGTGGGGCAGAAAGATAACAACAACAAAAAAAACAAACTTTTTGACTAGGAATTTAAGTTTCTACTGTGGCTGAAAAAAAAGCGTTTTATATGAGATTAAGAATACACAGCTCTGGCCGCAAGCGAACGCGATCTGACCTGATGAGGTCTTCTCGGTCCTGGAAGATTCGGGTCTCCCGATGGACGGTGTACTGAGGAAACGCCACGCGGCCGAGGTTGACCAGCAGCACAGTGCAGAGCTGGCCCTGGCCCCCACAGGAAGCCTCCTCCTCCTCCAGGGAGTCGGTCAAGGAGAAAAGCAGCAGGACCCGGGAGAAGACGGCCCGGGGGCCTTGACACAGCCTCAGCGAGGGTCCAGCCGAGGCCTTGGCTCTGAGAAACAGACCATCGAGAAATCAATCACTTTCCGCTTTTAATCATCTGGGTATCAGATCTGACCAATGATTTTCAGAAGTTGCATATGAAGATGGACTGATTATACTTCAATGCAAAGTTTCCAAAAATAAGAATTTGGATAGTCTCCTTTTAATCCTGCAAGAACACTAGTTCTAATTGCATTTTTCCTGAATAATAAAATACTAGAATCGACCAAAGGCCTGTGGCCTGCATTCTCTCACCTCCCACTTTTCCTTGGTCCTAGAAATCACTACGGTATCACAAGAATTGTGAATAATCAAACAAAAAAATGAATCCAGGGTACCAGAAAGAAGACTCATCTGCCTTCTCGACCTAATTGCAAATGAAATCGGCAATTACATTTCGAAAGCAGGTCTCATCTATTATAAGCTAATAGATTATTAGCTTATATCAATACCCTATCAATATTTTAAACGTTTGCACTGTCATGAGCCAACAAAACCTTTTTAAAATCACTGCTCCGATGGCGGGCGGCTTCTTGCCCCAAGTGCAGACGGATGGCTGTCTGGCCAGTTTGAGCAGAGCGTCCACCAGCTGCTGCTTCTGTGCGCTGGGGTTCACCACGTGGAAGGTCTTCGCCAGCGTTTTCAGTTCGGGAGCAGAAAGGAGTTCAAGCACTTCAGGGAGTTCTTGCAACTCAGATTCTGAAACGGGTTTAAAGGACATAGTTTTCAAGAGCTCGAGCAAATTCTCTAGCTGCAGAGGAACCTGGCTTTGGCTTGATTTGCTTGTTTCAGTCTGGACCAACTGGCAACTTGAACCCAAGACTCCCATCTGTCATCCTCCTTATCCTTGGGGTTCCAGTGCAGTACTGTGCTCTGTCAGGGAGCCGGGCACTTGATGCTTCTGATAAGACAACTGAGGTCACATGCTGTTTGCAAAGGCTTCAATCAACTCAACAATTCCTGAGGCAGTCTCCTTAGAAACTCTAAGCTGGGCGCTGCGTGGGGGGTAGATGAAGTTTTCAGAGGCGATGTTAGCATACAACAGACCAGCTTTATTCTATCATAAAGTGAGGAATCTGAGCGAGGACATGAGGAGGTGCCGGATGGAGACAGTGGAGGAGGGCGAAGCAGAACCTTCAGTGGCACACACCCACATACCTGTCCTACGTGGCTTGGTGGCCCAAACCACGTGACAGACAGGAAGACAAAAGGAGACACTCTTTCATGATCCTAGTTTTTTTTTTAATTCTTTTTTAGGATTTTATTTATTTAGACAGAGGGGAAGGGAGGAAGAAAGAAAGAGAGGGAGATAAACATCAATGTGTGGTTGCCTCTCACGCACTCCCTACTGGGAACCTGGCCTGCAACCCAGGCATGGGCCCTGACTGGGAATCTAACCAGCGACCATTTGATTCGCAGGCCAGCGCTCAATCCACCGAGCCATACCACCCAGGGCAATCCTCGTTGTCTTAATCCTGAAGGCAAAGAACAGCTCTAACGTCACATGAATAATTCAGTGTCCTAAGGTTAAAAACTCAATTTAATAAAAAGCACACAGTTACTGCTTATCAGGCATCAACCAGGAAATGGCACCACACTGATGTCATCATCATTCTGCACCACGTTCATTCCTTGTGTTCTGTTTTCATCTGCGTTTCCTCCGACGAGTCATACCTGTGTGCAGAAAGCCAGCTCGCTGCAGCTCTCCAACCACGGGGGTTAAGTCAGGGGCGATCTCTTCATACTCCAATTTACTCATCTTAATCCAGCCGAACTTACGTTGGAAAAGTCTTACATATAACTTCTGACCGCTCTCTGCAATCAGGTTAAGAAAAACGGGAAAATGTTATCTTTCTTCTCTAAAACAACATACAAACATCATTTACTTCTTAAAACTGAGATAAAATGAACTTTATTAGAAATACATATATGCTTCCTCAACTTACATTCCAAGAAAATCTTTGCTTCCTGCGGAAGATGTAATTTATTTGAAATAGAAAGTCCCACCCTGGCTGGCGTGGCTCAGTGGATTGAGCACCTCCTTGCGAACCAAAGGGTCACCAGTTCGATTCCCAGTCAGGGCACATGCCTGAGTTGCAGGCCAGGTCCCCAGTAGGGGGCCATGTGAGAGGCAACCACACATGGATGTTTCTCTCCCTTTCTTTCTCCTTCCCTTCCCCTCTGTCTAAGAATGAATAATCTTAAAAGCCCCCATGGGGATGTCTCCTTGTCACATGTGCTTGTCACCAAACAACAGGAAGATCCCCAGGATGGACAGTTCTGCCACTTGTGAATTGTATGAATATTGCTGTGCCTTACTGAGAACTCGTTTTCTCTTCTCTAAGGAGGGGCTGGTGGAAAGCACTAACCCCACCTTCCCAAAGTTGGTGGAAAGATTAAACAAGATGACGTAGACCATTTTAAATGGTCTAGAAGCCATTTAAAAAGTTCCAATGTGGGTAATGATTATTGATCACTTCAGAACTTCTTAGCACCACACTGCCCATTTTCTTGCCACCGTTTCCCCTTGCTCAGAGAAGCCCTACCTGGATTTGCAGTTATTTTGTTATTTACTTTCGGTCTAATAGGCATCATTCCATTTGTGGGTGAAAATAATTTCAACCTGGCTGGGTACCTAGCTCAGTTGGTTAGAGTGTTATCCTGATACACGAAGGCTGTGAGTTTGATCCCCAATCAGGGTGCATACAAGAATTAACCAGTGAATGCATCAGTAAGTGGAACAACAAATTAATCTTTCTCTCTTTCTCTAAAATCAATAAATTAAAGAAAAAATGCTACCTTTGGTAGGGTGTAGCCTCTCTCTTTCTGTGATCTCAGCCAAGCTACTTAACCTGTTTGGTCTCAGTTTCCCTGTTACCCAGATAATCATAGAATTTCTGTCAACTCTAACATAATAAAACTATATTTTTAAAATGTTCAATATATTTTTTTTTCCTAAAGAGACCAAAGCAATTCACAGTAGCTGCTTTTCCCCACGGATGGCAAATGAGTCGCCATGGAGAGCAATACACAAAGATGCGCAGAACTTGCACGGGGGAACCTGGTCCTATTTCCCAATCACAGGGGAGCACAGAGCCACCAGCTACTCGAGCAAGTGTTTGCACAAATGCAACCAGCATTCAACCAAAGATGCAACTGCTCTGGATAGAACAGTCCGTGTGGTATCACATCCACGGTCTGCTGAGACCAGCACAAGGAGAGAAGGCAGCTCGGTGGATCCGAAAGCAGCTGTGCCCAGTGTGGCTCACATGGTAAGAATATAGGGATTTCCACCCTGGCTGGGTGGCTCGGTTGGAGCATCTTCCTGTGCACCAAAAGGCTGCGGGTTCGATCCCCGGTTGGGGTGTGTATGGGAGGCAACCAATTGATGTTTCTCATATTGATGTTTCTCTCTCCTTTCCTCCCTAAAATCAATTAACGTATTTTTTAAAAACTTTTTTTAAAATATAAGGAATTCCGAAATAATTCCACTGTGTGTGAATTTAAAGCAAAAACCTTTCACTTGAGCATTAGTAGTCATGTTCACAATTTCGCTAATGCGCTGAGGAGTCAGCCCTGGCTCCCCATCTCCCAAGGTCAGTGTGTCCTCCAAGCAAGCTTTTCCTGCCTCAGGAGGGGCCCAGTTCCATCCCGCCACCGCCACCGTGGCCCTTTGGGTAAGCAGTGCAGCTGTCACAAGGGTGGCTTTTGTTCCAGACCTGCTCCTCTGGCTCGGAGCCCCCACTGGCTGCCAAGGAGCCCAGGCACAGCCTAGTATTTTTCAATGGACCAATTTAGCTTGTAAGTTTCCACTTCCTCCACACCCAGACTTTAAAAGGCAGAGTCCGGGAACCCAAAATATTGTTGGGGGTGGGAAATAGGCCTCAACACACCTCGGTGTGTTTTTTCCTGTATTTTTTTTTTTTTGGCTTTCAATTTTGCGGAAAGGCTGTGCAGAAAGCAGACCTAACCATAACCCGGATGACATGCTCAAAATAAGTGTAAAGTATGATTTTCTAAGTTGCACTGGATTTTTTTTTTAATTTAGAAAAGGTGGTACAATGACCAAACACATCACTAGGTAAAACAAAACCCATTTCACTAAAGACTAATGGATAGAAACAAGAGTTAAATTCCCATTGCATCTCATTAATGTTATAACGAAAAGATGTTGAATTAAACAACGTTGTTTGAGAATCTGCTATGAAACATATAAAGGCATGATACTGCAGGCGCAGACATCATGGGCACAAAACCTCGTCTCTTTTCCATACACATCCTCCCCCAGGGGAACCTCCTACAAGGCTGACTCCTGGGAGGAGTCCCAGATGATTCTCAAAACCACACTGACTCCTTGTGGCCACCAGATTACTACCCAGCACATTACCACTTAAACCAGGACAGCAAATGGGAACCCAAAAGTTGCAAGGAGAGAAGCTTAAGATACCTGATAATTGATAAAATTTAGTCACAATCCCCTTGTCGTGTTCATCGAAGAGCATCCTATCATCTTCATTCTCAAGTACGGCTCCCAGCACCACAAGGAAACTCCGAAGGTAGTAAGGATGGCTCGAGGGTGCTGGAACTGTTTGACCATCATGACCGTCACAGCCTGACCCCTGTTCCAAGGGAACTCTGCAAGTGACTTCATTCATTAAGCCACTGTCATCTTCCAGAGGGCGTTTGGGGGTGTCACTCCCCTTAGAAGCATCGTGTGTAGAACTATGAGATGGTGCCTCCTGATCTGACACCTGTGGTTTAGCTTCCGCAGCCACAGTCATTGTGACTTCAACATCCGCCTCGAGTTTTTCAACACCTGCGCCCTGCACTTGACTGATACTCTCCTGCTTGGCAAGACTGGCCTGCGAAGCAGACTGCAGTCTACTCCCCGGAGTTAATTCTGGTGCTGACATCATAGCAGCATTATCTGAGAAAGCAGGAGTGAGGGTTGACCTCCCACATTCCTGCGTGGAGTTTTGGTTTGCTGCGTCTATTAACGTAGCGTCTTCTACAGTACTTTCAGTGTTTTGTTCAGTAAGAGAATCACAGGTAAATAGGTTTTCCTTTTGAGAACTGTTTTCCAACATCTGATCTTTGTTCTCGGTCTCTGAACAGTTAACCGTCTTAACCCCTGGGGCTGAGGAACTCTGTGGAGTATGATTGGCAAACTCCTCATTCTTCTCTATTGATCTTTTTGCTTTTATGTATTTTCTGGACAGTTTAGATGACAGGCTTCCCAAAGGAATGACCTTGACATGACGCGGACTCAGATCATCTTCATTTTTACACGCCTCGTTATCATTACTTTTAAAGTAGGGACTCGTCTGCTTTTTTACGCCTGGTTTTGCTGAATCCGTTTGGTCAAGGGTTAAATTTGTCTTTAATGGTGACGACTTCTGTGGTGTTACATCCTCTACGGCAGTGTTCGTTAAATCTACAGTGGACACGTGGGAATTTGTTAAGCCACCATGCCCAGGGTCAGCTGGAGTGACATCACTGGGGTCAGCACACATTTCATCAAGGTGCCGGTTTAGGTCATACCTGGGCACCATTTTACTACAAATGGGACACGCGAGTCTAGCAGGCGGTGCATTGTTAAAACACAAAACAATGGACTTAGATTCATTCTTTTTAGTTCTGTTGGTTGATAAACTCCTACGGAGTCTTTTATTCGAAGGCGATTTCCCTCCTGGCATCATGAGTGTTAGAAAAGCTGGAGGCTTCAAGTAATGAAACAAAGGATGTCACTGGGGAAAGACAGCGATGGTTTGCTCTTACTTCCCTGCCTTGAACAAAAAAGTGGGCTCCTATGGAACCTCATGGTATTCGTTTGGCCGCTTTCTTCTTTCTGCAAAATGGAACACATGCGGACCAAAAACGTTTTATGCATTCAAAACAGGGTAAAAGAAAGCTCTAAGCATGCGCTGGCAGCATCTCTTGCTTAAGGAAAAACCCCGGGCTGGGGACCGGGGACCAAGGCTCCACATGCAACCTCAGTGTGACCCCAGCCCTAAAACGACAGCCCTGGCCTTGGCAGGGAGCATCGCTAAGAACTCGCTTTAAGATCTAGAATTACCCGTTCTTAAAAAAGGGACAATTTGACTACTCCAGGCCCTTTTTAGAGACCATTGCATCGGTAACCATTTCCGGGAAAGAGTGGCCACCTGGGAGACCCCCCCGCCCCGGGTCGTCCCACTGCAGCTGCAGCCACCGAACTGGGTCGCGGAGGGAGCCCGGCTGTTCTCTTGGGGCTGTGGCCACCAGCGATGCACACCTGGGGCTCCGCCGAGGAGCCCGGACCACCCACCCTTCAGCCGCCTCCCTCCCTCTGGGCCCAGCCGCCTCGTGCCGGCCGTCCCCCGCCCTCCCGGCTTCGCCCCGCCCGCCCCAGACCCGCGACCCCGTCCGGGCGACCCCTTGCCTCTCACCCGGCTTGGCGCGCCAGGCATGCCCAGCCGATCTCCGCGTCTCGGCTCGCACAGGCTCGTCCAGAGGAGGCCCGAATGATCGATCTCCACGCCCCCTCCACGCTGAAGGCGTCCCTCCTCCCAGCGCGGTGGAGCAGAAAGGAACCCTGCGGGGCGGCCACGCACCTGTTTCGCGTCACACCTGGCGGAGGCGACTGCAGGTGCTCCCCGGCACGTGCATTCGGCTCGCACGAGTGGAGCTCCTTGGGGGATTGGTCGCGGCAAAGTGACGTGACCTCCCGGGAGAAGACAAAGGTATGAACTCTACCCAACCAGTGCTGCTGGCTAGCTTCCCGCGGGACGTCCTGTTGGCGCCTTGATACAGTAGATGTAAATAACCTCAAGAGCAAAGGGATACTAAAACGGAGTCAAGTGCAGCAGTCCCGTCGTATTCCCGGGCTACGGCCCAGGACCCCAGCACATGCCGGAAACCGCGGATAGCAGCGAACGCTGTATAATGTTTTCTCGTGTAAATACAGATCTGATTTTAATTTATGGAAGTTAATAATATCGAATAATAGAACGACAACAATATACAGTAATAAGAGTTACGTGCTGTGATCTCTCTCTTTCTCTGATAACCGAGACAGCTCCTAATTGACTTACGGGCCCGGAGCTTCTACCGAGTACAAAGGCATGATTCACGCAGGGGCGGGGCTGAGCAGGTCCTGGCGAAATTTTATTAAGTTACACAGAATGGCAGGCAATTAAAAAACTTATGAATTATTTCTGGAATTTTCCAATAACATTTTTGGACTGTGCTTGATCACCAGTAACTAAAATGGTGGGAAGTGAAATCGCAGATAACGAGGACTCCTGTAATTAGGGAGTGGTGAGTTTGGGGTGTTTATCAGTTTTGTTTTTAATATAGTTTAATGGTGAGGTTATATGATTTATAATAATGGCTATGTTTAACTGAAAAATTCAAGTTTATCGGTCAGCTCTTGGGCACTGAGACCAGCAGCTTCCTGAACCCCCAAGAAGGACCAGAAGGTAAGCTGAGTGCAGGGGACCTGGGCTTATTGTCCTTTTTCACTGCCTGCAACAGGGGCTGGCACTGTGTAACTAATTACTTCATAAATGTGTGTTGCACAGATGCGTGAATAAGTGAACAAACCCAAGAGAAGAGACACAAAGAGGGAATTCATCAACACATATGCACCAAGTGCCTCCCTCGTATTAGAAAATGTTCTCGATGCTGACAATGTGGCAGTGCACGGAGGAACAGGGGTGAGGTGGGGAAAGATAGAGGAACCCCCCCCCCAAATTAAATTCTGTAGAGAATTAAAAGATGAAGACTTAGAAGGGAAATAAACCCAAGGGAGGGCAGGGATGCAGGTTTCAATCTGAAAGCATGGGAAGGAGGAAGGCCCTCACTGTGCAGGTGACGTTAGAGCAGACCTGGAGGTAAGGCAGCGACTAGTCCAGGGAAGGACATTGCAGAAGAAACAGCGGCAGGGAGCGGGGGGTGCACCTGAGGCAGGAGCTCACAGGGCAAATCTAAGATCACCAAGGCCAGGAAAAGTCTCTCCCCCTTGTAAAGCTTGCAGGAGTGTCCTGCCTGCGACCCACATGAGGCCCAGGATGGCTGTGAAGGCGGCCCAACACAAAATCGTAAATTTACCTAAAACGTCAAGACTTTTTATGATTATGTGTCACAATGTACTTAATGTGTGGCCCAGAGATGCCAAAAGGTTGGCATTTCCACCCAAAGCGTCCTAGGAGACGCTATCAGACAAAAGGCAAGTGTTCCCTGGACAGGGATGCTGGAGCTATGAGCCCCTGACCGTCATGCTTTCTTCCTAGTGTTCACCTTCTGTCCTGATTGTTTTTAAAGATTTATTTATTTCTAGACAGAGGGGAAGGGAGGGAGAAAGAGAGGGAAACATCAATGTGTGGTTGCCTCTTGCACACGCCCTACTGGGGACCCGGCCTGCAACCCAGGCATGTGCTCTGACTAGGAATCGAACCAACGACCCTTTGGTTAGCAGGCAGGTGCTCAATCCACTGAGCCACACCAGCCAGAGGCACCTTTTATCCTGTTTGGACCACACCTGTCCTCTGCACAGCTGCCTGTGGATAGCACTTGATGCCCTGGGTGACGAGGTCATTTCCCAAGGGGAAAGGTGTCCAGCGCATGCACGAGGATCCCGCCGTTTTGTGAAAGGGTGACGGGGCAGTGGAGGGAGAAGAGAATCAAGACCCCAGAGCGTGAGCGTCTCTGCCGGGACAGCTGGCTGTGACAGGGTGGCTCCTGCTCGCTGGCCCATGGACCAGGCTGGCTTTCACGTGGGCTCAGTGCGGGAAGGGTGGTGCCAGGGGTTCCTGCTTTGTACCCAGAGAACGCAGGATGAGGCTCCCCTCTGGCCGTTTGGAGTCTGTCTCCTCACGCCATGGGATTCTCAAGTATCCGCCATCCAGGCCCAGGAAAGTTCCCAAAGTCTTTATTTATAAAACAGAACCCTGGCAGGATATAAACTTATGCATTCATATTTACATCACAGTCAATGTCTATTACAGCTTCAATTTATGGACAGAAATGTCCTGTCGTTTCTTCTTTTTCTTTTCCGTCTTCTTGGCGTCGCTGATCTGCATTTTCACTTGATCTTGTAATTGAGAAAAGAATGCTTGAGATGACTTCAAGGCTTTGTCCTTACCTTCGTCCTGCAATGGAAAAGGACACATGCTCACAGGTGAAAACCCCCAATGAGGATGACAGCAGTCTGTCAAAGTGTATCAGGGGTGTCCCACCCATGGCCCTGGGGCCACGTGCGGCCCAGGCGGGCTATGAAGGCGTCCCAACACAAAATCATCAATTTACTTAAAACCTTTTTTTTTTGCTCATCAGTTTTTGTTAGCATTTGTGTATTTAACGTGTGGCCCAAGACAGCCCTTCCCCTTCCAGTGTGGCCCAGACACACCAAAAGGCTGGACACCCCTGGCCGAGGAAATTGTGAAAAATCCAGCCGGTTGGCAGAGAGATATCCTACACGCTCTGTGCTGCCACAGTGCTTTGTCATTTAAAGGAAGAGGGAGGAGAAAAACTTTGCTGTGAGGACCCGAGAGTGTAGGGCTGTACCACCAGTGGGCCGTGTCAGTGGCTCTGTCACTCCAGGGGACAGCCAGTCCCCTACCTCTCGCCATCACTCCTCCCAAAGGACCCCCCAGGCCGGCCAATCCCCGCCCGCTGGCTGCCCACAGCCTCACCTTCAACAGCGAAGCCCTGCCCGCTCTGGTCAGCTGCTTCAACTTCTCAGCAGCGGCGGCCTTGCTGTATTTCCCTGCCTGGTCCGGGTTGCTCTGTTCCAGGAGTTTCTTCCGCTTTTCCTTCTCCTTTATTTTCATATGCTTCCTCTGTTTCTTTTTCCTCCTTTCTCGCTTCCTGTCTGTCGCTGTTTTCTCAGCAGCAGTTTTTATATCTCCAGCTTTATTTTTCTCCTATTAAAAAAGAACCACCAACACACTGTACTAGTTAGTCTAATGCAGGGGTGTCAAACTCATTTTCACCGGGAGCCACATCAGCCTCGCAGGCGCCTTCAAAGCGCCGAATGTAATGTTAGGACTGTATAAATGTAACTACTCCTTAACAGTTCAGTGAGAGCTCGGTGCTGCCACCAGGGAGAAACAAGGTGGGGGGCCAGATTCGGCCCTTGGGCCTTGTGTTTGCCACCTGTGTGGTCTAACGTCTCAGGAGGAAACACCGGTGGCAAAGCCAGTCCCTGCTGCACCCAGGCCCCAGCCCGAGATCCATGCGCATGCCCAGGGCCCCCTGGTGCTCAGCCGCTGAGGACAGCCACCAGACTGGCCACAGGGACCCTGGAGACCGGAGGCAATCTACCCAGAGAGCTGCTGTTGTCTCTCGTTCCGTGCTCACAAGGCAGCGCCTGCCTGCACTCCGCATGTCCAGCCTCTCCCCATATCCAGATGGTCTGTTCTAGACCCTGACTCCGCTACTGACAAGCACGGAGTGGATAATAAGGGGAAAGCACTGCTGTTCCAAGACTTAACAGTATATAAGCAATATACGCAATCTGTCTGAAACCTAACACTGCTAGCATTGAAAGGGATCAGAACAAGACAACGATGTTGGATATTTGCCAACAGCTTTGACCGTAATCTGTAATAACTGGCACGCCCGCATCTCACAATGATACCTGATTATAGGAGCCTGGTATTGAACAGTATATACGCTGATAACATCATTTGATTGTACTCAGACGGTTGACATACATTAGAGCAAAGACCCCACACTCAAGGAAAATGACATGGAATGCAGATCCGGCTGCCAACAACTCCCATATCAATGGGCATTTAGCGTGTTGATGCTGGTGTGGCTAGCGTGTTTAGCGTGTAGTTAGTCGCACAGGCTCCATACCTTGACCTCCTCTGGCGCCAGCAGGGCTGCGTCACTGACACTCACTGGGGCGACCTCCTCCATGGTTATGGCTGGCAGATTTGACACGACTTTGATCTCGGGGACAGGCTAGGAGAGAGACAGTCCAGTGCACAGAAGTCAGACGTACTCCTCACAGAAGAACCTGGACTTGCAAACCTATCAAGTCTAACACGTAAGATACTTTGGGGGATTGTTTAAAACGCAAGCAGTGTTCATAGCAGAAGTCTGAGGCTCACGGGGTGACGGCTGTGTTGGCGGCAGCACCCTCGAAACCTGCGTGTTTCAGGGGCTGTCTCTGCTCTACGCCTGGAGCACCCGCACCTATGCTTTTGCATGGCGTTTCCACTGCGTTCAAACACCACTCTGTCCTTTGTCACGAAACTGTTTCCATCTCCATGTCTGCCTACACCCTCAGCGTTATCCACAGCTTAACAGAACCCGTGGGTTTCCGTAATGATACCTCGCCCTTGGTTACGGGGAAGAAAGGGCTCCCTCTAAGAACTACGTGGAAAGAGATGCACGGAAAAGGCTCACGGGAACAGGAGTCCAAAGGTGCTACTTGATCCACTTCCATTTCCCTGCTATGGGAAACGGACGTCTGCAGACGGACACCCAATCCGGGGCCCGGCCCGCCAACGCTCACAAAGGGACGGAGACCCCGCGCGCCCGGGCTCCACGCGACTGTGTTCCCGCACTGACCGGTTTGGGGGTGAAATGGAAGTTCGAGAGGGCGTCCAGCTTTAAGAAGAGGGAATCCATCATCTTCTGGATCTCCACGTGCTCGGGGTTTTCTTCTTCTTCTCTCTTCTCCTTGGGAAACAAGTTCAACAACATCAGCCTAAGTGGCTTGAGGTCTGATCACGGAACCACACCTTCCACGAAGGCTGATGAGGGGCCTCTCCCATTTCTTGCCATCAAGGCTTCGGCCCCAAAGAGCCTCCCGGGCGGCAGTTAGGTGATCAATACCACAAGGGCACAGCGCCCACCCAGGAAGACCTGTGACGTGTGTCCAGGAGCTGCAGCAGCCACTGCCTCCAGCACGTGGGACTGACAACTTAACCCCATTGGCATTCACACCCGCCAGGCACTAAGCCGGTCCCACGAGGGCGGCTACGGAGGCAGAAGCAAGGTAACAAGTGCCAGCGAGGAGCTGGGGAAGACGGAACCCTTGTGTACTGCTGGTGAGAAAGTGAGATGGTCCCGTCACCATGGAAATGAGCTAGCAGCTCCTTGAGAGAGAATTGCCATCTGACCAGCAGTTCCGTACCCAAGAGAACTAAAAACAGGCACTCAAATAACATGTGTACTCCCATGTTCAGAGCACTATTTGCAATAACCCCAAATAGAAGGAGCCCAAATGCTCGTCAAACTGAAGACCAGATAAAGAAAAAGTGTGGTACATACACGTGGCGGAACAGTATTCAGCCAAAAAAAAAAGGAAATGATGTAACAACACACGCCACAATCTTAAAGCATTACAGTAAACAAACTGTCAGACAGAGACGAAAGATCATGTAGCTTATGGTTCCATCTGCGTGAGATGTCTCGGATAGGTAAATCCAAGCCTGGTGGTCCCCAGGGGCTGGGCGCAGGGAGGGGTGAGAAGCAACTGCTCATGGGGTGTGTGGTTTTACTTCAGGGGTGGAGGAGATGTTTGGGGACCAGAGAGAGACAGTGTGCGTGAACACTGTGCGTGGAATGACCCTGAATCGCTCCCTTTAAAACGACTGCCTTCACGTTATGTGAATTGTCCACTGTCAAATGGTTACGTCACTTCGGTTTAAAAAAATAAAAACTGAGGGGTTAATGTAGACTTCGTAAAATTATCCAGCCACTTGAATTGCAGGGACTGACTTGCTTTTACTTACATGTAATTTGTGACTTACTCTGATTACTCAAATGGAAAGAAATGGCTGGCAGTTTTCATTTTACTGAGGGGAAAAGGCAAACTTTATACTTTTCTTCCTCCTCTGCCCAAACTGCTGCTTCTGGGTCTGTGTCCGGCGTCCGGCACCGGAGCTCCCGTGCCAGCCACACACATGCACACGCCTGCTGCTGTTCCTACTGTTTTAACCTCACTCATATTTAATCTTAAATGTGTCCCTTTGCCTTGCCCCAGGTGAATCACAGGACACACAGCCTCTGCCTGAATATGCATCACACAGACAACTAAGAGTAAAGGATCCCTTGTGAGCTGTTCCTCACCCTCTTGCCCATGACCTTGAGTTTGATTCCAGACCTCAGGAAATCCTGCCCATCGGGCTCAGCCCGACCCTTAAAGGCACAGGTCTGGAATGGGCCTCAGTGAGGTCCGCATTCGAAGGGCTGCGTACTGGCTGTGCACTCCCGACATACAATCGAACGTTTACGGGGCTGGTACTAGCTGCCTGGCAGACACTTAACCTCCTTTTTAACTCTCGAAGTTACCAACTCCTTTCTGTCTCTGTGGAACCTCCTCCAAGGAGCCAGGTGACATTCCATGAGCATCTCCCAAGGCCGTGCATGCGCCCTTCCAACACCACCTTGGGAGGCAGAGCGGCCGGGAAGAATTTCACCTCCCACCTCCCGTTCTCCCCCCTCCCAGTGGCACCGAGGGCACTGTCCGCTCTCACAGCATCAGCGGCAGCAGTGAACCAAGTCTGGCGGGATCGTCCACGGCTTTTGCAGAATAGAAACGCCACCTCATCCCCAAGCACACGTCGACCCCAGTCCCATTAAATCCAACGTAAAGGAATCATTCACAATTATTACACTGGGAGTGTATTCTTGGAAATAGGGCTTTGTTCTATTTAACCAGAGATGATATTTTTTTTTTAACGAATCTAAGTAAAAAGAAACAAAAACCGAAACTACCCATGGGACCCAAACATGGGAATGGAGTCGCAGATAACCCTATAAAACACACCCGCCCCGTCTCCACGTCTCCCGTGCGTGCGAGTGAGGAAGGGGGCAGCACTGTGGTCGCAGCTGCTGGGAAGTCACGTAGCTGTGAGCGCTGCTCCGGGCAGAACCACGCCCCAGGCCGCCACTCAGTGGGAGCCTTCCCTCCCCCTCTCTCCCGAGCTTGCTCAGTCTGCGCTCACACAAGACGAGGCCAGCCGAGAGCACGAGATGTCTACATTTGCTCACTCTGACCATCCCAGAACTGCTTCTCAAATGCTCTCCTTGAACCACGGCCTCCTTCAGGGGCCGCCTTACCTGGTGGAGCTTGACATACTCCTGTTCGTAAATCTCAGCGAGGCTCAGCTTGCTCTTCTCGTGGTCCAGCGTCAGCCGCTTTTTGTACTCGTATGCCTCCTCCTTAGGTTTCTCTTTCCGCACCACGTCGTCCCACGCCTGGAGTGTGAAAGGCAGGTGGAACGTGAATTCAGGAAAATCTGTCATTTCCTTCTAGGCTCGATTAAGAATCTGCCTCTGGAGTATCTAGTCTCGTCCCAGACGGAGCCAGCTGCCGCAGCGAGAAAGTGATTTGCAGCCCTGAAGTGACTGTTCCAGTCACAGAGAGTAAGTGTCGTGCAGAGCAGAGAGGATGTCACTCAAGTGGCCTTTGTTGTTTTTGTTTTAAGCGTGTCTCCCTCTCCTGGTTACTGATGTCCATTCCCTATCTCCCCTTCATGGTTTATTTAAAAGTCAAGATCAAGTCTGTCTCGTCTCATTTCAGATTTAAAGGTACTCTGCTCAGCCCACTCACCAGACCCTCCTGTTCTAGGCAAGCATCGCTCGTGCGTCCTGAAGCCGTCTCTCATTATGCGTGTCACACAGCCCGAGCTGTGTGCTAAGTGTACAGAAGAAGGTCAATTCTTGCTTATGTATTTATTTAAGATTTTATTTATTTATTTTTAGAGAGAGAAGGGAGGGAGGAAGAGAGGGAGAGAAACATCAATATGTGGTTGCCTCTCGCACGCCCCCTACTGGGAACCTGGCCTGCAACCCAAGCATGTGCCCTGACTGGGAATTGAACCAGTGACCCTTTGGGTCCCAGGCCCATGCTCAGTCCACTGAGCCACACCAGCCAGGGTGCAAGAAGGTCAATTCTTAACAGCTCTTTCCTACGTTTTTAACGTTTGATTTAAAAAAAAAAACAAAAAAAAACAAACCCAGACCCTTTGTTTGTCACACTGAATACTGTGCCCAGAGCAAGGGTCCCGGGTGTGACCACATTGAGTCAGACACCAGCCATCACACCTGCCACCCTCCCCCAGCTTCTCACACCACCCAGCAGGCCGGCAAGGTACAAGGGACCCTGGCACCGGCCCTGGCTGCCCCTACCCCTCTGGCACACACCCATATTTCCGGGGCACCCGTGGAGGCAGCACCTCACACAACAAAGCTGACGATGCCTTTAGCATAGATGCAGGGCTTTGAAATGAACTGACATACAACTTCTATGAAAACAGTTTATTCCTATTCCCCAAATACTCTCATAGTATTTCTGAAAATCCCTGTAAATTTCAACTGAGGTTCAGTTGCACTCTTACTGACCTGGTCTCTGATCCTCTGCTTGATGATGTCTTCTAGCTGAAGGGTGGTCTCCTCCGTGATCACAGGAGCTGGAGGCAACAAAACACGTTCTCAGTGGGAGACAGGACCGAGGCCAGCGTTTCGCAAAGGGTGGGTGGGGGGGGGGGTCCCTGAACCAGCAGCACAGACCCCTGGGGGCCGCTGGAAGGGTGAATTCTCAGGCCCCACCCCACACCCTGAAGCAGAGTTAGCGGGGGGCTCCCCTCTATGCTCACTGGCCTTCTGATGCTGTCTCCAATCACAGGACCACGAAACTAGAGCCCGAATGGTAGTCAGTGCTGACACTTTCATCTGAACACCTGGGGAATCCTGCCACCTCTCATCCTCTCCAGCAGTGGATACAATGGAAATTCATGTTGACTTCAGTGCCAGAGAGGGTGTGACGAGGTGATCAGGGGTCCCGGCCAGCTCACAAAGTAATCAGTGGACAATGACAGCAGGCACTGTAAATGGATCACTAGCAAAATTCAGACTCTGGCCCTGGCCCTGTAGCTCAGTGGAGAGAGCACAGGCCTGCAAACCAAAGGGTCAGGGGCTTGATCCCCAGTCAGGGCACACGCCTGGGTTGTGGGCCAGGTCCCCAGTAGGGGGCGCGTGAGAGGCAACCACACAGTGATATTTCATTCCCTCTCTTTCTCCTTCCCTTTCCCTCTCTCTAAAAGAAAAAAATATCTGACTGCCGTAGTATACGTTAGGCACCGTTAGTGTTTCAGTAATTCTTGGGTGGGCTGACATTGTTGTGGTTGTACAGAAGAATGTCCTCCTTCCAGGAAGAGCCAGGTGGAAGTACCTGGGAGTGAAGTGTCACAACACTGGCAACTTGCTTTCAAAGGATTGTGGGAAAAATGCACACACACAGCACACATACAACATGGGGACAGTCAGCGAGCTGAGGTGCATGGCAAACACTTCTTCACTGTGCTGTTTTCCCACCCTTCTGTTTGTCGGCAAGACTTTAAAATAAAAAAACTCGGGGGGAAGAGAAACACTCGTCCCAGGCTTCCTGTGAAGCAGACCCCCGGGGAAGGCACCGCAGGGACGGGGCGGAGCCCAGCGCGCAGGCGCACCCACCCATGCGGACGGCGTGGTCGAAGTGCAGCGTCTCCTCCAGAAGGCTGTTCTCCGGTCGCTTCTGTGCCGTCACTTCCCCCTGCAGCTGCCAGGGCTTTTTTTCCAACAGCTCTTTTTCTAACGATGCAATTTTTTCATTCATCTGAGAAAGGAACCAAAGGTGTTATCGCACTTTTAGGAAACAGAACCTGATGTCCAGTTGAGTAGAGGCAACTAGCATGTTTACAAGTGGGAAAGAAACGTACTGTTTTTCAGCACAAGTCTGTGGCGTCCCTGACCCCTTCATGCTGTGCTGGGAGTGACTCCCTCCTCCTGTCACCTGCGGTGGGGCGAGGACCTCTCTTCCCCACTGATGGGAAACACTGAGTCTGTCTGTCTATTTCTGCACCCTACTAGTCAAATGAGCTCTCTATGTACAAGCTACTAACAACTTTAATTATTAGAGCGTTCCAAGATGAAGTCATGTTTGTTATTACGTTAGTATCTGACGGATCCTGACGCTGTGACTCCACACCCCAATCCACGGGACCTCTAAGTGCTGAAAGACATTGTAACGACCACGGAGTGTATGGACCACCAGCCTTCTCGGCCCCGACTGACTTCTCTTCTTTTCCCTAGTAGCTTTTCAGTTCATTGGCCGGGTTTTTCTGATACTATCTGCAAATATGAATGCATTCATTTCCATTTTGCTTCCCTTTTATCTTTTTCTTTTGTAGTTGCATTGGCTAACACTTCTAAAGGAATGTTAAATAACAGTGGTCATAGGCATCATTTTGTCTTATTATTTTAAAGGGATGTCTCTAGAATTTTACCACTAAGCATGCAGGCACCTTTTGCCTAGATGTATTTGTATTCCCCTAGGAGTGAAAAAAAATTAGAAACGGACACTGAATTTTATCTAATGTCTTTTGGACATACATGGAGCTGACCATATGGTTTTTCTCCTTACTTGTTACAATCCAGAACTAAATGAATAGATTTCCTAATCCTGCATCAAGGGGATGAGGCCCACGTAGTTGTGGTAGCATTTCTCTTTCACTGTGCTAGTTTGGATTTTTGCATCACTATTCATACATGAGGCTGTTTGTGTGTGTGTGTGTTTTAATGTTCCCTTTGTCAGGTCTGGATACTCATGTTATAATACCTTCACAAGAAAAGAGTTTGTAAGCTTTACTCTGTACATGTGAGAATTGATTAAACAGCATTAAACTATCTATTTCTTAAAGGTCTGATATAGTTCCACAGCAAAACTAAACTTGCTTTTCTTTCTTCTTGTAGCGGGAGGGAAGGACACAAACTCAATGAAAAATTCCTTATTTTCTTTCACAGTGCTTTTCTTTTTATTCCTTTACACTTTCTCTCTCTTCTGAAGAAACTCTGACAATCCTAGATTTAACTCAGATTCTTGTTTCTTAAATAACTCTCTTGCTATCCTTGGTATCTTTGGCTATTTGCCTATACTCATTTCTAAGTATCTGATATGATTTTAAGATGGTTAAACGATAGAGCCAACGAATTGGAGCCTGACTACATTATTTTCAAAGGACATGTCATTGGTCTGAAATCACGTGACATGGAAAAAATTTCTCATCGACTTAGGAGGATGAGTTTGAGATGGTGTTCATTAAAACTCAGTCTACACAGCACCCACAAAAGCCACCTGCAGAGGCCCTCAGAAAAATACCCAGCATCTGTAAGAGCAGCTACCGACAGTTGCAAGGAGGGGTTCCCAGGACAGCTGATTTGGAAAGACGTGCCACAGTTGTGAGGACAGCCGGGACAGGGAGAGAAGCAGGGTTTTGTAGAGGCGTCACCCACCGAAAGCCACAGGCTGGGGTAGGCAGCACCGGCTGTCAGAAATCAGCTGCGTTCCCCACGGGCGGCTCCACAGTGAGCTGTACTGAGCAGCAGCAAGATGTGTGTGTGTGTGTGCGCGCGCCTGCGTGTGTTTAATGGACAATTAAGCATTCTACCAAGAAAAACGGAGTAGATTAGGAGTCTGCAAGTTCCTCAGTCACAAACGCATATTAACAAATTCCTTAAATTCCTACGTGTTACCTTTTCCTGCCTTTTTTCAAAAGAGGATTTCACTTCAGCAGAATCTTTCTGCGCAGTTAAGATTTTCGTGTCTTCCATGTCCTCATCGTCTGGCAAAGCAAAGGTCACTCTTTTCGAGGTTTCTTTATGTGGTTTGTCGTCTTCAGCTTCTTCAAGGTCATGATCTTCATCCCTATAGTGTTGAAACACGCATAACAGGAAACACACCACTTTTCAACAGGAAAAGAAAAAGAAACAGATTCTCTAGTAATTAAAGCTCTCTTCTGTCAAGCTGATGCAACTAAATATTCAGGGCTTCTAAAGTCATCCAGTTGTTAAAGACCAACAGAAGGAATTATTTAGGTGAAGTGGAACGGAAGTATGCAACATAAAGAAAGTCAATTACTATCAACCTATAATGCAGTGTTACCTCGCACATAACAACAGGGTATTATTTTTAGGGGCACAAAAAACAAATCAAAGCTCGTGCAATAAAGGTTTGAGTGCTACTGGTAGAGATGTTTTATCTTCATTAGGTGATTTCCCATGTCTGTTTATGATGACTTTTTTTTCATATTTATTGTTAAAAATGTTTTCATTGTTGTTCCATTATATTTGTCCCTATTTCCCCCCCATGTTCTCCCCTGCCCTGGCCCCCCCACCCCACGTTCAATCTTCCCCACTGTTGTCCTTGTCCATGGGTCCTTCATACATGTTCCTTGATTCAACCCTTCCCCTTCTTGCCCCCGTTATAAGTTCACTTTCTTCTGTCCATCTTGAGACTATGTGATCTTAGAGAATCTAACTTCTTAGGACGTGGCTGGGCAGCTTCAACTACGTGTAAAGGATCACTGAAAAAACTCACGTTTCCGACACGCTGTCTCCTCCTTCTTCAGCAACTTCCTCCTCTTCTTCCTCGGAACCCGGTTCTTCATCACGAGCACTTGCTGCGTCCTCATCGCTTTCAACCGGATCGAAGAAATCTTTGTATTTCAGGTTCCTGGAACTTTTACTGGACTAAAACAAAAAGATTTTTAAAACTTTTAATTAAGGATAAGAAAATGCATTAAGTCATGCTTATATGTGTATATAAGTGTTGTATAGGGAAAATCGACCAATAATAACACCACTGTAAATCCCTGAGAACTATTAGACCATAACAAACTAGAAGTCTGGATTCTTTGTCTGATTAGATAGAGTGCCATATCATTCTTTTTAAAAAAAAATTTTAAAGATTTTATTTATTTATTTTTAGAGGGAGAAAAAGAGAGAGAAATAAAACCATCAATGTGTGGTTGCCTCTCTCGCATGCCCCCTACTGGGGACCTGGCTTGCAACCCAGGCATGTGTCCTGACTGGGAATCGAACCAGTGACCTTTTGGTTTGCAGGCTCACAGTCAGTCCACTGAGCCACACCAACCAGAGCCCTATCTCTAAATCTAACTAAAATTATTTTCAAAATATCCCTGCCTAAATAAAGTATACAACTGCCTTCCTTTCACTATCATTTCTAGCGCTAGGTGAAAATACACGTTAGAGGGAATACTCTGAATGTCTCTAACAAATGTGATTATGGTTCTTAAGCTACAAGTGTTCTGTGATAAAGAAACGACGGCTTTGGTTTAATTTTTCCAGTCAATTCCTTTTAACTGATCTAAATATTTCTCTCACGCCCTGGTGAGTTTTGAGGTATTTTAACCTTTTCTCAAAAAAAAACAAAAAACAAAAACAGAACAAAATGTAACTTGAGGAGGTAAAAAGTACCCTTTCTTGCCCTGGACAGTGGGGCTCAGTTGGTTGGAGCATCATCCCGTAAACCAAAAGGTTGTGGGTTCGATCCCTGGTCAGGGCACGTACCTGGGTTGCAGGTTCAGTCCCCAGTCAGGGTGTGAGCCGGAGGCAATGGATCGATGTTTCTTTCCTATTTGTGTCTCTCTTTCTATCACTCTCTCTCCCTTCCCCTCTCTCTAAAAGTCAGTAACATATCCTCAGGTGAGAATTAAAAAAAAAAAAAAAAAACGACTCCTCTCCTCTCCCAAAACTTTACCTTAAGTTTTTGTGTCTGGCTTCCAAACAGCCCTCCCTCATCTTCATCCGAGTCAACATCTTCAAATAAATCAATCTCTTCCTCCTCAGCATCGTCTTTTCGCTCCTCTTCTTTCTCCATGTTTTCTAAAAAGGTCTCCATTTCGGACAGTTTGAAGAACTTATCATCCACTATGGACTTTTCTCTGGGTTTCCTAGGCACTCTGTTTTGCACCTTGCTCTGCTGTTCCAACTTGCCAATGTCAAAGTCAAGATCGGAATCCTCATCGCTGAAAACTGGGCTTTCCTGCAGACCACGTTTGCTGGGGTGTTTGGCTGTCTCCTCCCCTTCTGGCTCATCACCACTCAGGTCTGACCCTTCCTCCTCCTCCTCCTGCACGTGCCGTTCTAGGTCCTCCTGGCCATCAGCTTCCATCTCTGAGCCGTCCCCTTGGTCCTCCTGCTCTTCACTCTCTGGGAGAAGACTGATGTCTTCATCGTTGAGGGCTTCGCTCACTGCATTCTCAAAGTACTGTAAGGCCGGCCCGTTCTGCAGCTCCAGCTGCTGCCAAATCTGCTCATCATCAAACTTGTCTATCACCAGTTTCTGTAAAGGGCTTCCTCGGACCCTGCCATTCTCTAGGATTTTGTTAAAGTCATAGAGTACTTTTGTTAAAGAAGTGAAGTTTGATGCCAATTCATCTTGAATCCTATGAAGGGGGTTGGGGAGGAAGTTAGATGAGATTTACATTTGTAGGTAATAATTTCACAGCACTTTGAAATTAAAAGGAAAAAAAACACCCAACTCTTGTGCAAAATCAAATTTGAATGAAATGTCAATTTTATCTATGGATTCTGGTCCCCAGGAGTGGGCAATCTTGCTGATGAGCCACCTTAACATATAAAAGTATCAACTAAGTATTTATGGATCTGCTGTAGGATTTTAGGCAGGGAATCTGTTGCAGATCAATTTGCCTTGAGTTACATGATGAACCTCAGTCTTAAATTCTCAACTCTGATATTAAATGCCACTCCTGCTTTGGCACAGGTGGACAGAATAGCTCTCTGAGGCTGTGATATCCAAGACGAGACCTACACAGAGGGAGTCAGTCTTACTAAGATCTCTTAGAAAGTCTTACAAAGATTCTAGGCAGAAGAAACTACAAGAATAAATTTCCTGCCCTGGCTGGTGTGGCTCAGTGGATTGAGCGCCGGTCTGCAAACCAAAGGATCGGGGGTTTCATTTCCAGTCAAGGCACATGCCTCGGTTGCAGTCCTGATCCCCAGTAGGGGACACTCAAGAGGCAACCACACATGGATGTTTCTCTCCTGCTCTTTCTCCCCCCCATTCCCCTCTGTCTAAAATAAATAAATAAATAAAATCTTTAAAAAAAAAAAGAATACATTTCCTAAGATGGACATGCACTTGGTGAGTCTGAGGAACAGAAAGGTCAGCATGGCTGGAGTGTGGCAAAGGAGGCGGAAAGTAAGATTAGAGACATAGGTAGGTGCCGAATCTGGTAGGGCTCAGAGTTACGAATTTGCCATTTTAAGTGTAAAGAGAAGCCATCCAAAGGTTTTAAGCAGAGGAGTAAAATGATCTAATGTATGCTTTGGAGAGATGGCTTATGGAGGAAAATGAATGAAAATAGGGGGATTAGGAGGTTGGTGCAGCCTTGTCTGCAAAGAATGAGGAAGAAGTATACTGAGATTAGAGCAATGGATACACTAAGTAGTCAGGATTAGAATAAGGTTAGAACTGACAGGATTTGCTAATGAATGAGATGTAGAATTAAAAGAAGTACATACAGGAAGTAGCTAAGTTTGTCTGGAAAGACAGAGGTGCCATTGACGGAGACAGAGAAGGCAGGTGAGAACAAGGGGAAAGAATTTCAGGGAGGGCAGAGTCTAGGGGAGTAAACAGAAGCAACGGTTCATTTCGAGCACCTTACACTTGAGATGTTGAGAGTACATAGGGGCTGCAGGTGCTGTGAGCCTAGAGCTCAAGGAAGAGGTGAGGTTTGAAGTAAATGTGAGCCACACTTTCACAGATCGCATTTTAAGTCCTTCAACAAAATACAAAAATGTATGCTTGGAAGAGAGAGGAAAGGCAGTCCTACTTCTCCAGCTCAGTCGCGGGGGTGGATAGACAGACAAGCGACATGTTAATACTTTATCAATAAAAGTATGATGATGCCTAAGTAAGCACCGAGATCTTTGGAAGCACAAGGGAGAAACCAACCAACCGAGAGTGCGGCGGTGTGCGTGTGTGTGTGTGTAGAGGCCAACCGAGCGTGTGGCGGTGCGCGTGTGTGTGTGTAGAGGGGCAGGGAGTGCATAAGGCTCTGAGCGTTATAACTGGGTTTTGATTTCAGCAGCACACGACTACGAGATCCGCACCATACAACTTTTAAGAGTTTTGTTAGGCTACCGGTGCGTAAACGATCTGAAATCTGGGGAAAAGAGATCTACGCTTCCCTTCACCTTACTCCTAGTCCAGATGACAGAGGCCCGCAGCCCGCGCCCATGTGAGATCTGGGCCGATCCCGAGCCCAGGCTCCGCGCACTTACGTAAGGAAGCACTCCGGCCGGCCTGTGTTTTTGCCCACTTCGTCCAGACACCGCTTCAGGGTCCGCTGACGCCAGACCCGCTGGGCCATGGCTGTCTAAAACTCCGCACCCGGCGCCGCATGCGAGGGAAAAAAGGATGCCCGGAAACGTGTCACAAACATGCGCCTCCCGCACCCAAGAGCTCAGAAGCGAAAGTAACGCGACGCACTTGTTCCGGGCCCGCCCCCAGCCTGAGCCAATGATAGCGCGAGGACCTTCAGAGGCTTGCACAGGGGGTGGAGCGCGAAGCTGAAAACGATTGGTCAGCTCGTGTGTCTTCGGAACTTTCTCCAAACATTCTATTTTGTATTCCAGAAGAGCCCACAGTGCGTGACGAGTCCTCCTTTTAAGTGCCTGCTTTAGATGCATTAAGATTCAGTACTGGGAACAGCGAGCCCGCCCCCAACACCGGTCAGAACCCTGCAACACCCGCCACACCCCCCGGTCTCCTATGCCCCGCCCCTCCGCCTCTCAACTCCGCCTCCGGCTACGTTGCCCCGCCCCTCGGCCGAGCTCCTGGCCGGTCAGGACCCACGTCGGGATTTAGCCTGCCGCTTCCCAAGATGGCGCGCGTGCTGAAGGTGGCCACAGTGGTGGTGGCGTCTGCGAGCGTAGGAGGTGAATACCCCGCGCCCTCGGGGCTCGCCGTGGGGTGGGGCGCAGGGGACAGAAGGCCCGGGGCTGCAGGAGTTGGGGGGTGGCCGGAGCGCCTCGGTGTACTGCGCTCTTCCCCTGGAGACGTGCTCCGTGGCTGCTGTCAGCACCTGTAGACAGAAGTATCTCCCGGGAACGCCTCAGGTTAGCGGGGTGGGCGGTGGGGGTCCTAGTTCTCTGGGAGTCTCACAGCCACCCTGGGAAGGGTGTGCAATTGAGGTTGTCCCTTTTTCTATGAAGTCCCGGAGAGGCTAGGGAATCTGCCCATGGGTACAGCCCCGTGGCTGGGACAGAAGTGAATGGCAGAGGGACAGTGAGTTTCTTTTTTGGCGCACCATAAGAAACGGGAGAAACCAAAAGGAAGGGCCAGTCCCGTAAAAAATGTAAGCTGAACTCCAAGCATTTCCACCACCCGCTGGGAGCACTTGAAGGTCAGTTGTGGAAAGAGGCGCGTGTTCTCCCCACCTGCGCTAATATAGTTATTTTCTTGTATGTGAGCAGGAAAGATCAAAGCAGACACATTTGTTAGCTTCCTTGAGTTATCCACATCTCCATTAAAAAAATCAAATAACAAGGCCGCCTAGAATCAGTGATGACAGAAACTCAGGTTTTCTGACTCTGCAGCCCACCCCTTTCTCCCCGTTCCCGCTTTTTCTTTTCCTCATTAGAGGAGAGGGCAGCTCTTTCTCTTCATCTGGAATTCCCTGTTAGGAAGGATAGCGCCAAGAGGTAGTGTCTCTGAGTTACTCCTGAACGTTTGCAGTAAACCCTTCCACTCAGTGCCTTCAGAACGTGTTTGTGGGGGTGAACCTTTAAGAAGGTCAGATTCCTCTCTGCACGCCACTTCTGAAACTTACCGCTCTGCGCACCCTCTGAAGTCTGGTCGTTTATTGATCACTAGTGGCCAGGGCGAAGTGGTGGGCCACCTACAGAGGAGTGTGGGAGAATAGCCTCATCACGTTATCTGTTTAAGGAGGTGATATGTCTACATGAAAAAATACAATAACAACTGTGAGGACAGCTTATTCAAGTGAATGTCAGATTAACAAGTGATACTCAAGTTCTGCTAATAACATGCCCTCCTGGACCCTCTCTCCTCTCCTTGGTAAAGTACAAGTCAGTATCTGATCTTACACCTTTGCAAGGAAAAAAAGAGCAGCTCTTTGCAAAAATCAAATAACAAAAAACTCATAAAAGAGTCATCTCATTATCTCTCAAAAGCCATCTCTTACTTAACAAGTAGATATTGCTCAGAGAACAAACGATATTCAAAATTGAGGATCAAAAGAATGGTGAACAGTATCAGAGGGATGAGGAAATTAAACATAATGGTTTAATAACATGAACTTCCATCCATGTCAGACAGACCAGGGCTTGAGGCCCAGCTTTGCCACCTAGTGTGCGTTTGAAGCAAATTACTTAATCAGGCCTATTTCCCTGGCCTCTAAATGGGAAGAATACTGCTATCTGATTTGTAGAGTTATTGAGATGATTAAAGGGCTCACTAGACTATTGCTACTATTTTATGCCGTAAGGACTCATGGGCAGAGCTGGGCTGCCTCGTGATCCACTCTTACTTTAGAATTTGTGATTTTATAGGTTGCTTGGGCAAGATTGCAGCCTTAGGCAAGATTGCATAGAAGTATGTTGCATAACTAACACTGAAACTAGTCCATGGGTCTCCACTAGGAAGATGAGATCAAATCAGGGAGAGGTCAGGCCGGAGGGTTCTGTCCCCCACGGATTCTGGATTCTAGCAGGAGAGAGGCGGAGGCATGTCTGCGTTGGGGAAGACAGCCAGTTTATAGGTTTTGGAAGGCAAAATTGTTACACATACAGTTTCCACTCTTACAGGATACTAAAAGGAGTTGCCAAGTCAACACAATAGTCCTGGGTGGTGTAAGGGAGTGACTATAAACAAGTAATTGTAACTTGGAAAAATTATAAGTCAGTATTCTTGTATCGAAATGCACAAAGAACCCTGGGCTTGTAATGCCCCCCACCTCCACCTGGAGGAAGGTAGTTGCTGAATATAGAAATATCACCCAGTAGGCCCCAGATCAGAGCCCCCACAGTACCATTCTCCAGAGTGCAAGGGGAGTACTCTCGGCATAAAGGGCAGCAAATTGTGGAGCGATGAAACGCTGTGGTGAATACAGCAGCGCTCCTGGGGCCAAACGCAGGCAGCGCTTGGCTGTTGAATGGGATGTTTGTCTTAAGTGTACCACCACGTACAGGGTAGGTGCATAGTCAGCTTTTCCTTTACAAGATACAATGTGAGAAACTTCCATTTATAAAGGAGTTACTGTGCAACCTTTCTAAAAGTGCTAATGATAAGCCTTGGAGTTTATCCTGCACTATGTGTGCACCAGGCTCTTTTCTAAACCCTTCACATGTATTCGTTTCAGTCTAACGTCAGTGCTGGGAGGTGGGCATTGTCTTCCCATATGAGAAGACGAAGGCGCAAAAAGGGTCAATGACCGGCCCGTGTCACACCGCTAACAGTGGGGCCGAGATCTGCACCGGGGCGGCCTAGCGCCAGAGCCCACGTCCCTACCCATAGGTACTTACCCACAGAACCTGAGGGTGAACGTGGAAGTAATCATTGGAACGTCAGAGAAGCATTGTGTATGTATATTTTTAGAAAGACTTTTATTCGGGATTTTACCCTTCACCCACAGGCTTTTATCACGATTTTCTTAAAGGGTATGCACACATAGTGTGAAAAATAACCATTTTAAAATGTACAATTTAGCAGCGTTTGTCCCATTCGCTGTGTCATACAACCGTCACATTTATTTAGTTCCAAGATATTTTCATCAGCACCTGGGGAAATCCCACCCCAAAGCCGCAGTCATTCCCCAGTCCTCCCTCCCTCCAGCCCTCGGCAGCCCCCGACTTGCTTCTTGGTCTCCATGGAGTCACCTGGTCTGGACATGGCATATAAGTGGGGTCAAACAACGGATGACCCTTTCTGTCCAGCTTCTGTCACTTAGAATAATGTTCTCAAGGTTCACCCACGCTACAGCGAGTATCAGCGCTGCATATCCGTTGTTTGGATCGTATTACATTGTACAGAATGAGTAACATCCCATTGGTTCTCGGGAGTAGCGCTGCTGTGAATATTTACGTACAAGTTTTTGTTTGAGTCCCTGTTACCAGTGAACTTGGATGGCTGGGAGTGGAATTTCTGGGACATACAGTCATTCTGTATTTCACTGTTTGAGGAATTGCCCACCTGCTCCATGCCCACCCTAGTATTTTACATCCTTACCAGCAATGCACAAGGGTTCCGGTTTCTCCACATCCTCATCAACACCTTTTTTGTGGGTGTGAAGTGGTACCTCGTTGTGATTTTGATTTGTTTTTCCCTAGTGGCCAATGACGCTGAGTATCCATTGTGTACTTTTGGGCCATTTTTGTACCCCTAACCCTTCATTTTAAAGAAGCTGAATGACTGAATTCTCACCAGCATCACTATTTATTTTCATCCTCTTCCTAGAACATAGGCTTTAGGAACCAAATAAAACCAATAGAGGGATATTTCCTTTCTCAAACTAGTTTACATTTCTAGAGATAAAATAAACCTCTACAGCTATAGTCTTGACTTTTACATAATATAAAGGTACTATTTATTTTCCTAACCTATTACGAAGATTTCATGTTCTGTTAAAAGGAAAAAAAAACCCAGTCATTCCAGGAAACTGCTTCTTCTTCTCCATCTCCAAATGATAAGGGAGTTTTGGAGAAAGTCAGACGGCAGCGAGGCTTCCAGTTTTTGAATGTCCCTAGAGCGAACTGGTGCTGTGTATAAAGCGTCCCCTTCACTTGGACATCTCGTCCGTCCCTCCGACATTTCTGTGTGCCCCAGTGCTGATAACAGACACCTGCCTGGGGCCCCCCCAGCTGCCCCGAGTCTGCAGCGATAACACGGGAGGAGCGTTCAGAAATACCGAGTCAGTATTTGACTTACCCTCCGAATTTTACAGAGCAGATGACTGATTAATGCACATGTTACTCTAAATGCACAGTTTTTTAATACAAATGCATTCCGTGCTGAGCTTCCATTGCAGCTGGTGCACAGAGGAGAGGCGCAGGGAGAGAAGGGATAGGCAGTTAGAGCAGTGATTTTGCCGGTGGTTCACATTTTGAAAGTTCTCTACCTCCATGACTTTGAGAGAGTTTCTTGGTCTCCACAGATAACCTTGCGTGCCCCTCAACTAGCAAACAGACATTGTATGTCATGAACAATAAGAGGGACTGAATTTATTGTGCACCTGTTGTATGCCTGGCACTGTGCTTTATTTTATACCAAATGTCTCATTGTCACAACAGACCAGCAAGGTAGAGGTTTAGTAGGTAGTATCTGTATTTTACAACCGAAATAAAATACAGTGGAATAGAAAATATGAGAGCACATCACCTCTAGTGAAGACTAGGTATTCTTTTTATCAAGTTCACTTCCAGTTGTACAATTATGTGTGTGTACTGGGTTGGAATACACTTGAATTTCGTGATAATGCAGGGAGTTCACAGAAGAGGTCTGTGCTTGCCTACCGATCATGGGAACCTTTAGATTGTTCAGTAATCAATCATACAGGCTGGAGCCTGGCAGAAGACCATGCCAGGCTGGCTTCCGCCTTCTACCGACTTACGGCGCGCCAGGTTCGTCGAGCAGAGCACCCCGCGCCAGGTATCAATCCCAGGGGACAGCCCTAAACCAATGTCCATTGTACCTGGGTATCGAGTCTCCTAGCCCCGTGTGGGGTCCACTCCACTCACAGAGCAGGAGCAACTCCAGTGGCGGGCGTCAGTCCCCGTGGCCAGCAGTGCTTTGTCAGTGGTGAGCACAGGACAGTTTGCATGCCCCCATCTCGCCCCATAGCAGAAAGAGCCTTGTCCCCTCCCCTCGGAAGACAGATGTAGCAGTGGGTTGGCCGTAGGATGCCACGCTGTCTGCAGAGACAAAGGGGTATTCATGGAGGCTGAAAGAGGAAGCAATGTTCCCAGCACCAGGTGGTGGGCCTGGCGCGGCTGGGTGGGCTGCACGTCTCTGTAAGGACGCTCTGGAGGCCTTGGGTCCGTCCTGTGTGCCTTAGTGGGGGTCAGAGACTGTGTGCGTGGGACAGCCTCTCCCAACAGGGTTTACGGCCTCAACTAAAATCGAGTAGTGTCACTTCGGTTTCCTTGTTATAAAAAATCTCAGTAAGGGGGAATTAATTTTTTGTCGTCTGAAGCACCATGGTACTAGGTACTGTTTAAACTGTTTTGCATTAACAGCTAAAAATCTATGATTTAAAATGTGTTCTTCAGTTTGCTATTTCTTACTTTTTTATCAAATGATGCAAGGCTGTATTCAGACGTTGTACATGCATATAACTTTCATTCCGGGTGAATCTGGCTCCTGAAGTCCAGAGTTTAGGGACAGAGGAAATGGAGTTATAAAACAGAGAACACATAGTAGGCCTCTTCAGTTTCCCAATGAAAGAGGTTTCTTTGCATTCAGAAGTGGTTCAGCTTCTAATCCTTCAAGATTATAAAAAAATAATTTTTAAAAATCTGGTGTCAGCGGAAAGTCTCATTGGTTTAACGACCCTCTTGATCTTTGCATCTTTCCCCCCAACAGTGAGATACTTTGCCGGGTTGATAGTCATTCCAGTAAAATGCACAGTGAGAAGTACTGTAAGTTCACGGCTTTAATGAACTTACTGCAGGTGGTAACACAAAGGATCGGTCATATAGATGGGGAGGAAAATTGCTTGTTCTCATCAGTAAATGTGCTACTTCACTATCATGTTCTAACTTACCCTTTGTGAAGTGCATGGAATAGCAAATAATCCTCAGTAATAGCAGCTACCCCTTACGTGTTCTCAGTAAATATAAGCTGTTATGAAAAATGACATTCTTTGTTCTGAATCTAAATAGCTCAGAATTAGCTTTTTAATTTCAGACAGTTATTTCAGAACAGAGTGAGTAATTTTACAGTTTGGCCATTTATCTCCCCTGATCTAATTTCAGTCATTGAAAACACTAGGTATGTAAATGATGTCGACGTTGATTATTTATGTCATTAACAAAACACTTTCAGAAGTGCATTCATCTCAAAAAGAAGGATCTCAATGACCGCTCTGTTTTTCAGCGCTTTTCGCCAGACTCCAGGCTCCAGTTCCAGTGGTCCGGGCTCTGTCCACCCTGAAGTCCCCACCTCAGGTGGCGCGTGCAGTGTGGAGCCTGGGGCGACTGAATCACGTGGCCATAGCCGTGCCCGACCTGGAGAAGGCCAGGGCCTTTTACCGGGACGTTCTGGGGGCCCAGGTCAGCGAGGCAGTCCCTCTGCCCGACCACCGAGTGTCCGTGGTTTTTGTCAACCTCGGAAACACCAAGATGGAGCTGCTCCATCCACTGGGAAGTGACAGTCCGATCTCGGGGTTTCTGCAGAAGAACAAGGCTGGAGGCATGCATCACGTCTGCATCGAGGTATTTCCTTTACTTGAATGCTTGCTGCTTTTAATTTCTTGTTCACAAAATGTCTAATTTTTTGAGATTATATATAGTTGACATCATCAGAAACTCGTATTAAGTGCTTCTGTTTTAAAGTGTTTTTTTAGGTTTTATTTATTTTTAGAAGGGGGAAGGGAGGGAGAAAGAGAGGGAGAGAAACATCAGTGTGTGGTTGCCTCTCACTCGCCCCCTACTGGGGATCACAACCCAGGCATGTACCCTGATTGGGAATTGAACCAGTGACCCTTTGGTTTGCAGGCCCATGCTCAATCCACTGAGCCACACCAGCCAGGGCTGAAACTTGTATTAAGTTCTTTAAGGGGAACAGTTACTATTGGTCCTACTCAGAGATGGATTCACAGATATGTATTCTCTTTTCCTCTAGACAACTGCAAATAATAATAATGTAGTTTATGGGATCTGGATTCCACAGGCACCAAAGTTGGCCGAAATACATCTGAGTTTTGACTGTAGTATTTGTTCGTTGTGTACAACCCCCAGTATAACGGAAACACAACTGCTTTTACTTTCACAAGGCAATTAGGAGAAGCAACTAAAAGGGCTTTTATAAAGTAAGAATTCCCCTATACATGCTAAATATTTGTGAAATTATTTTCCACCCTTAAAATTCCATTAGCTTGTTTCTTACTACAAAGGCAACACATTTTCCGTTACTGACCCTTGCATCTGCCAACGATTCCTGGAGAAAACGTGAAATGTTTGACAAGCACTTTCTCATCAGAGAGCCTTTATCTGTAGATGTTCACGTCCAGATAGCTGCCTTTCGGAACAGAGTATCAGCTGTAGCAATTATGCTTTAATTTAAATTCTTTGGATGGGACGAAGGACACAGTTCATGGTTAGCTTCATTCCTAATCCAGACGAGAGGAGTGTTGGATTCTAGGATTTTCGTAGTCCACATTGCAGACAGATCTGAGAGCCCACACTGTGTGTGTCCTTGACCGTGCCCTTGGGCTTGGCGATGAATGGGACAGGGGCCCTGCCCACAGGGAGGAGGGCCTCGCTCAGTGCCCCTCGACAAGCAGGATTAAGATGCGTGTCTCCTCTGTCGCACCAACGAGGGAAAGATGGGTTGCTGCCGGCAGGCTGAGGAGGTGGGGAGGCATCTGTTCAGGAGTCCCCCAGGTGGGCAGGAGGAGGACGCGCTGCCAGGTGGCAGGACGAGCGTGTGGGAAGGCACCGAGTTGTTATGAGGGCCACCGTCGGGCCCTCTGGTGTGGTGTTTTCCCGACTCTCTGAGCCACCATGTGAGGGCACCGCTCTCCCCATGTGGCAGGCGAGGGAGTTGCGACACAGAGCATCTTGCCCAGGGTCCCCTCAGCAGGGAGTGCCGAGGCTGGGGTTCAGGCCCAGAGTCGTTCTGATCCCAGGGTCCACACACTGTTAGCCACGATGCCAGACGGTTAGCGTTGTGTGAGCTGAGTTTCAAACCTGGGCCGGGGGACCCGTGAGACGTTAGGCAGGGGAGCTAGCGAGGCCCCATGTCGAACCTTCATCCCTTCCTTAGGAGGTGAATTCTGGCTGCAAGTCTTTATCGCATTGGACCCGAGTGTTTGTCTGAGACCCCCCAGGGTGACAAGCAGGTCCCCAGCCTTTGAATCCACTCCTCCGTGTCCTGCACGGCACTGTCTGCGTCCGACATCAGAGCCCAGGCCTTCAAAGGAGCCGATGCGAGTTAGAAGTTCACTCAAGTTGAGAGCGGTGCAAGTTCAGTAGTGTGCAGCGAGTTGGGGAAGAGAGCCTGGGGGAGACGAAAGTGTGTATCGGTGTGAAGTGGAGGCGGGCCCCAGGAGGAGGCGTGGAGTGGGTGGTCAGTGGCCACGTCTGCATGTCACTGCCCATCATTGTCCTCCGTTGCCTGTAGACAGCCGAGTGGCTCCCCCAGGAGTTCAGGTAGATTTTACTGTTATGCCCTCGGTCTGAGAACGAGCTGTCCCAGCCGCCGGGCAGCCCTGCCGTCGTAGCTCCCGGTGCCCGGGGCTGCCGGCCGGCTGCCGTGGGCGCTGGGGATGGGTAGCTGCGGAGAGGACAGCGTCCAGTCCTGCCGCACTTGTGCCCTCAGGCCCTGCGTGTCCCGCCGAGCGTCCAGGGGACGTGTGCGCCCTCACGCCCTGCGTTCCCGCGAAGGGTGAGAGGTGACGGACCGAAACGAAGCCTGCGAGGCGCCCAAGGTCAGCATCCTAACGATGCAGGTTTGAACACAGGGAATGGAAGGCCAGTAAAACTGACGGGAAGATTCGTGTACCCACCGGTTCTGCCAGACACCGCTCCCTGGTTGCCAGAGAAACGGGAAAGTGCACACTGTGAAAAGTGGCTGCGGCCTCGCCCCCTCCCCTCCCCTCCCCGTCCTTCCCACACAGTTCCCACCGGAAGACTCAGGGAGGGCAGAGCCCAGGCCTGTGCACGCTGCAGGGGAGAGCTGGGGGAGCCCCTCGAGGGCTGTTGGCTCTCGGGTGGGGGCGCAGGGCTTCCACACGCTCTCGCTGCTGGCCCTGGGGAAGGCCGGCCAGTCGGCCGGCCAGTGCAGAGCATCAGAGTCTGAGCAGGGCGGGCTGGCCAGTTGGCGGGCTTTACCCCCGAGGCGGCCAGGCGTGGGGTGTCCGTGAGGAGGCATCCGCATGGGGGCCTGCCCAGTGCAGGCAGTTGGAGCCCAAGCTCGCTGAGGGAGGGGTCATCCGTGTACGGGCAGGGGGGACAGGTGGAGCGTGGGAGCCTGTGCCAGGGAGTGTGCGTGTGTGTGTGTGCACACGCGTGCGCCACAGGGGTGGGGTGGGGCTGCACCAAGGGAGGTTTATCGAAGGAGGCAGCTCCTGGTGCCAGAGAAACGGGCTGCAAGTGCAGAGAGGAAGTCGGATTTCATCTTGCAGTGACCCGTGCTGTGCCAGGCTGCTGGGGGCGAGCGCGTGATGGAAACGGTATTTCAGAAATGAGAGAGAAAAAGAGTGGAGAAACGGCAGCAGTTGTCACAGTTTTATTTTCTGGGCAGTCACGTAACAGGTGACTCACGTTCTTGTTCATGCTCTTGTGTGTGTTATGGATCTTTCCTCACTGAGCATATGTTCCCCGAGAAGGGAGAGTTACGTAACTCCAAGGTAGAAGGCCAGCGAGGCGGCTTATCTCCCGCGTGCTGGGAGACGGCCGTTCTTCAGTCAGAAAGGCAGAACACTCTACTTTCCAAAAAAATTCCATTCTCTTTTCGGCTTCACAGTGAACCCTAGGGAAGGGCTAAGCTCCACGAGGCGTCTGTGTACCCCCAGTTCCCAGGTGTGGGGCTTTTCGAGAAAGATAGCGTTTCCAGAGAACAAAGCAGAAAACACAGGCAGTGTGATAAAGGTTGACACTTTCTGTGTTATTAACTGAAGAAAAACTTGGCGATGTCCATCTCCTGCTAACATGGTTTTGTACATGAAAAGGCATTTTATTACCAGGAAAAAGGAAAGCAGAGGAAAATTTAAGATTTGGAAGAACGCAGGTCAAACTGAGTACAGTGGTCACGACCCCTGGAGAGGAGAATGATGGTCAGTGGCGGTCAAGGGTTACTTACCTCTCCTTGTCTGTTTAAATGTTCATGCCCGGCGTGATTTAAAAATTCTTTTCAAGTGGGAAGACTGAATCCGGACTGACTCCGGGAAAGTGGAGAAAGAGGCCCCCGTCCACAGAGTCAAAGTCATTATCTCGCGGTGCAGAGAGGTGCACGGTCGGGAGAAACCCCACTGCTCCGGAAAGACGGGGACAGACAGCCGTCTCACGGCGGCAGGAGGGGACCCTGCTCACCGGACGGTCAGGGCTCAGCAGAACATGCAAGCAGAAAAATGTTGTTTGAAGAAATCATAGTTGGTTTACAGTAACATTTCGTGTCCTCATCGGTTTTTTGCCCAGTTTTAGAATCCAGGATATATCCAGTCCTTGGTTCTTTGAACTAAGACTGTACCAATATGGGCATTTGTTAAATGTGTGTATTGGGTGTGACTGTTTGGAGTGCTGTGAGGTCACTGCACTCCAGGGTGATCTGCGGCTGCCCTGGAGCACGGCTCTCTCTTCGTGTTTCCCTCTGTCCCGTCCAGCGGGGCTCCCAGCTCAGAGGGCGGTTTCCCAAGGCAGAGGGGCGTCATTCTCCCACTGCAATACAAAGACACATTTGCTGCTTTCCTAGGCCACCAATAAACATGAAGAAAACAAATGATTTAGAAGACAGTTGCAAAATTAGACATGTTTGGATTTTTTAGAATGGAAAACCACATTTTGGTTATAGCTTGCTAGTGATTTGCATGTAAATGAAGTTTTAATTTTAAAAGTACCAACCAGGTAGTTTGACAGGTGGGAGGTCTGGGGGTCGGGGACACACAGACATTCTTTGAGTGCCTACTGTAAACTTATTTATCTCCTTTTAATCTCCTGCCCATTTATACGGCAGGCCCCCCTCCCTGTTACTGGTGGGGAGCCCAGGCTCTCGGGAAAAACCAATGTGCACAGTGTCACTGATCGTACCCACGGAAGGAAACATCACAGAACGTAGCATGTGGTATTCAGGCTGTAAGGAGGCATGTCTGCGGGCGGTGAAGATGCTTCCACACCGCGGGTGCTCACCTAGGAAAACTGAGCGACAGCTTCTCCTTCTCTTACTCTGGTGACGGTTTAAGAGCGGCTCCCCTGGGGGCGGAGGAGACGAGGCACCGGACCTTGCGCGGCTCCTGCTGAGTCTCGTGCCGCTGCCACTCCCTGCCTTTGTGATCTCCAGCGTGTTCTTCTCCCCTCCCTTCTCTCAAGGTGGACAACATCAATGCGGCCGTGGCGGATTTGAAGGAGAAGAAGATCCGGAGCCTAAGTGAAGGGACCCAAATAGGAGCGCACGGAAAACCGGTGATTTTCCTGCACCCTAAGGACTGTGGGGGAGTCCTCGTGGAACTGGAGCAGGCCTGACCTGCACCTGCAGGGGCTGAGCCCCCCGGCCTCGGGGGTGTGATCAGCGCGCAGTCGGCGTGGCGTCCTTCACTTCTCTGTTACTTCATAGTTAAAACTGAGTCACAGAAAGGGGTTCAGAAAATTATTTATATGTCCACCCACATATCCACATGGATATCTGTTAATCACTTTGGGCTATCTCCCGATTTGGAGAAACTTTTGATCACTTAATACCTGGGGAATACTGCTAAAAATTATGTTCATAGTAATAAATTATTTTTCTTCTGAAATGGGACAATTATGGACAGAACATTGGCGGTGTGAAAGGGTATATGTGTGTGTGTGTGCATGTGAGAGAGAGAGGGAGGGAGAGAGAGAGAGTGAGGGAATGAGGCGAGATGGGCACCCAGAGAGGATTAGGGTCGCAAAAGCTTTGCTGTTCTGGAACAATCGTGTTCACATGTTCCGCAGGGCATGCGTGCGGGCTGCAAAGCACGAGACGCACAAATAGGAAGTGCCGTGGGGGATCTGCCGCGTGATCTGTGGGTTGCATAGAGAGCGGAACTCTTTTTTAAGGCAGCAGACACGGAGAGGCAGTGACCTCGTAGAGTTAGCTCTCATTCAGGTGCCAGAACACAACCGGTCCCGAAGGAATGTTCAGAGTAAATAGAACCCATTGCTGAGGAGCTTATGGTCCGGCTGGGAAAGCGACTTCGGGAAATAAATGTAAATACCCACAAAAACACGTGCATGAGCTGAAAAGAAAAGGGAAAGGAATGTAGCTCTCACAGGACGGGCCTAGAGGCCCCTCGGGTCTTCGGTGAGACTTTCACATACGGTAGGAACAAGTATCGGATGAGTCTGAAGAATCGCGGATGGATGGGTGTGTAGGATGCACAGCGCGTGGGACAATGGTTAACATCTGAAATTCACGGGTGGCTGGATGTCGAGTGGGTGAGTAGGTGTGTCTGTGCTGAGCTTGTTGCTATGGAAGCGGCTGAGCCACTCGGCCAGGGCTGTGCTAAGCATGTTAAACTCAGCCAATCTGTGAAGTGAGATTGGACACTGACACTAACCCACTTCACAAGTGAGGAAATAGCTCAGACAAAAACCCGCTTCTGCCTGGGCTGCCTGAGCTGTTCCCTTCCACTACGTCTGCTCCCGAGGAGGAGACGGCTGCTTGTTTTAGGGGACCCTGTGACTGTTCGGGGCAGAGTCTGGATCTGCCCTCCTCCAAGTATCTGAACCCAGGGTTCTGTGCTGTGTTTGCAGTGGCCGTGGGTATGCGAGCGGCAGGATGAGAACGGGACCGGAAGCGGTCTTCTGGCAGACAGGAAGATCTCGTCTTAGAAAGTAATCTTGGAGTCCAGGGCAGGAGAGTAGATCTTCTGTGGCTCTCCGCCAACACGTCTTCCACAGCACCGTTCTCAGGGCCCTTGAAGCAGCCCTAAAATCAGGGAGAGCTGAGGGCTTTCATGGCCTTGTATGTGCTCTTTGGTCAGGTGACGATGGTCAGCGCCCAGTGACATTAACGACAGGTTTCCGTGACTCCGGGTGACCCACAGATGGGACACCAGGTTCCCAGAATCCACAGGGTATGAATGTGGGTGGCACCACCCACTGAGTTCAAAGCCAGGATGGCTGTTATTTCTCAGTCAGGCAAGTATTTTACTTCTATATGCGCATTCCTTTCTTTTTAAAGATTTTGTTTATTTATTTTCAGACAGAGGGGAAGGGAGGGAGAAAGAGAGGGAAAGAAACATCAGTGTGTGGCTGCCTCTCACGTGGTCCCCACTTGGGACCTGGCCTGCAACCCAGGCATGCGCCCTGACTGGGAATCGAACCAGTGACCCTTTGGTTCGCAGTCCACGCTCAATCCACTGAGCCACACCAACCAGGGCTATATGCATATTCTATACGGAAAGCTACCTCTTGATTTTAATTCAAATCATAGTTGTTAAAAAGCCAAAATCTATTGTACATTTTTATAAATGGAGAGCATTGGTTTTTGTGAGCGAGGAAGGCTGCCGTGTGTTTTACTGAGAGCAATGCCAAGCAGTCCTCCTGCGGACTGGAGATAAGGAGAGAAGGGCTTCCCTCTGCCAGGCATGCAGGCAAAGCCCACTGGCAGCGGCTCTGGCGGAGTCCTCTCCTGAGGATAAACCAAGAGGTGGGCGCAGATGCACGGCAAGGCAGTCGTCCCCGCACTCCCGTCGAGGTGACCGGAACAGAGAGGGAGGCTCTGAGTGCAGAACAGGGACGTGAGTGGAATTTATTAGCGAGGAACTTAACTGTTTGCAACAGGGCTGTGTGAAGGGGACAAGGGTGATGGATTGGGGGTAATGAGAAGGGGGTACCTGGGCAGCTGAGCAGGCGGAACCTGGGCCCCTTCCCAACATTGGCCACACCCCCAACCGTGTGTGCCGGGCCCTGGGGCCTGTTTGTTCCTGCTGCTGTGCAGGAAATGAACTCTCTTTGCCTTCCTTCCCTCTCCTTCAAATAGGTCTGTCAGGCCAGCCTTCGAGGTCTGCCTGGTGGCGACCTTTGCCATCCTGAATGAGTACCATGCAGTTCCGGCTCGTGCGTCTGTCTCTCTGGGTTTGGTTACTCTGGGTTTTATTCCTGCGAGAGGGTCACTTGCGTGTGCCCACATGGGTGTTGGAGCTGCTGGGCTGGGAGACGGCCCTGTGTAAATGCCACTTCTGTGCTTGTCGGCAGGGAGTGGTCAGCTCAGTGGTCAACCCATTGTCACCAGCCCGCTGGATGCAACTGCAGCCAAAGACCCTGGGAAGATGAACTTGAACCTTTCCTTTGTTTCAGGTTTTGAGTGCATCTTCTGCAACGTTGCCTCGTTCGAGGGCAGCACTGTACCTAAACGTATGTTACAGGACGCACATAACGCGGCAGAGTGAGAGAGATTGGAAAAGTCACGGCACGTGGAGGTTCGGGGCATGATCGTAGAGTAACCCCCCTCATCCGTTCCCGCGAGGTTTCCACAGGTCGGCCAATGTTTGCGTCTGGTCTCGTGAGCAGCCGAACAACCCAAGAACACAACCAGTTACAACTCTTGTGAGTTCTAGGAGATAAAGCCTCACCCATCGTCCAGGACACGCAGGTTTTCCTAGTAGTGAGACGTGAGAGGAATTTCCCTTAGGTTCTCGCAAAGCAAGGACGTGTCCTCAACAGCTTCCCCATAACAAGCAAGGAGCCCATGCATCAGGATCACCCAGAGGGAGCACAGTACAGATTTCCGGGCACTGCTCCTGAGAGCTCCCGAGTCTGCAGCCCTGGGGTGACCCCTGGGAATTGTCCTCTCCAAGCAGGGACCAGGCAGTGCCACTGTTGCTGGAGGGGGGGATACAATGTCAGAATCACCGCCCTAGACAGACAGGCGGGCAACCACTCCTCCCTTTTGGTGTCGTTCGCAGACCCGGCCTGTGAAGCGTCAGAGCCAGGGACTGACTGACCGGCCCTCTGATTTCTCGGGCTTGTTGACGGGGCTCTCAGCCAGGAGTCTGAGGGGAGGGCCAGGGACCCTGGGGGCCGTGGGGTGGAAAACGACACAGGTCGTCACGATGGCGTCTGTCGGATGTGGCTGGTATTTGGTGGTGAAGTTCTTTCTTTTTCTCTGAGGAGAGATAGACCTATAACCGTAAACATCACATCCCCCCCGCCCTGTTGGCCGTTACTGCCCCCTCCACCTGAAATAACAGACTCAGACTGGGTGGGACCCACGCAGCCGCCCCGAGAACGTTGACATTGCGCACCTCGGGTTAGAAGGCCGCTCGGAAGCAAGAACTTGAAGTTCAGGGGCATCACCTGGCTCCACAGGCCCCGTGGGAGGGAGCTGTTTTCGGGGAGCCCTGTCCACCAGCATCATTTGGGGGAGTTATTGAAGTGGCTGCATCCGGGCCGAACCCGGCCTCAGGCGCCCACAGCCTCCGCCACCCGTCCCCGGGCACACGGCCCCTCGGCGCACTGCAGGGCGCAGAGAGCTGGTCCGTGTTTCGCACGCGGGGCCTGAGCCAGCTCTGTACATGCCTGGTTTACTGGCTTGGCGTCTTAAACGTGTGAAATCCCAAATATGTGTTAACAATGTGAAACCCCTCAAAGGGGGAAGAGTAAGGCGCAGCGTGTAGTAAGTGTGGGAAGTTCGTGGTTGTCATGGCGACAGTGGGACACATATGTACTCTTTGCCCACACACCTGCCTCAATGAGGGGCCCCTTCTTTCCCCAAGTTGCATGAGCTGGAGATGAAGTTGAATCCTGACATGGCCTCTGCTCCACCGGCCGACCCCCCAAGTGTGCGTGTGGGGGCGCGCGCACACACACACACACACACACACACACACACAGCTGTGACAGAGGCCTCTTTGTTTAGGCTTCCCAGGAGCTCGGTCCATCTGCCGCTGTCCCCGGCCTCAGCCGGCTCCCTGCGCCCACTCCTCCCACCCGCAGCCCTGCCTCGGCAGCCAGACATGTGCCTGCGTTCCGTGCGTGGTGGTCATTTTCCACAGCACACGGGTCGTCGTGTCTGCGGCCACTAAACGTGTCAGTGGAACCTCAGCGGTGTAAATAATCCGGGGTGGGGGGGGGCTGCAGGCCTCGCGGAGACACCGTTCCCGGATCAGCGTGGCCGATGCGAGACACCATCAGTCCGGGGGAAGCCGGCCGGGGCCTCGAGTGGACGGCCACGTGAATCCGGAGCTCTCCCCGGCCACGCCATCGCCCCAGGGGCTGGGCAGTCCCTATCAAAGTCATACGTCCGCCTATCTCAGACCCAATTTCAGAAATGTGCCCTGGAGGGCAGAGTATGGGGGAAGGCTAGGTATTGCTCCGTTGTTGGTGATAGCGAATGGTTGGAAGTGCCCTAAAGGTCATCGACAGGGGAGAGGTCATTATGCGTGAGGGGACACTCATATCACGGGATTCAGTACAGCCGTGAGAAACGCCGCAGTGCTCCGTGTGCCGGCGTAGGGTGTTCTTTAAGATGCGTGGGGACGGGAGAAAAGGAAGTAGCCCTCGGCGTGTGAGCCAGCGTGCATCCGGTTGTACGCGTGTGTGAGGTCTTCCTGGGCGGGCACACCGGAGACAGGGGAGGCGAGCCGTGGCGAGGGCGTCGCGGGTCTGTGGGGACCTTCCCCTCTGTCCCCGGGTGTCCCGTTACAATTTCAAACCATGTCACTGTGTTACCCACTCAAAAAGTAACTACGTAAAAACCGGTAAGATGCGTTACCTCGGCTCCCACAACACTGCGCCTGGTGCTTAGTAGCTCTTTGGTGCTCGCTGAATG